CGAGAGGAACAAAATGGCCTGTAAATTTCCCAGCTAACAACCTTAATCCGGGGTTATTTAAAGCCAGGAGAACCTCACATGTGCAGATAAAGCCTTTCCTCAATCACTCAAAGCTGCAGTATTCCCAGATGACCTGCCCTGGAGCTTTGAGCTGATTAGACATAAGAACCATCACCCTCCTCCTAATGAGGGCTGAAGTCTTGGCCACCACTCACCGAACGACACACGTGATCAGACCCACTTAAGAGGATTTGTTGGAAGCACAAAGCATATGTTTTCTTCCCCCACCCCCCCCCCGACCCCCTTGCTCTGTTATTACCTCTGAATTCCCCGTAGCTCAAAGGGGGGGTTAGACCCCTTCGCCTCGCGAGCCAGAGGACCCGGGTGCGGTTCCCAGGCGGGTCAGTTCGGGGCGAACCCTTAGGCACAGACACACAGACGCAAACACACACAGACGCACGCACTCAAAATATAGTCAATCAACTCGACACTTATATCCTGTGAAGCGCTTTGAGACGTCTCAACGACGTGATAAGGCTCTGTGTTGTATCACCCTGTCCTGCCTCGTCCCTGTAGCTCGGGAATCGAACCCGGGTCCGCTGGCTCGTGAGGCGAGGGGTCCAACCCCTGAGCTACAGGGAGACACTCCATTGAAGGGTAAGGTTTCAGAAGGGCCAATATTTTAATTCACGCAAAGTTCAATGAAAAACTCCGGCACCGACAAAGCACAGCCTCACCCACTCGCGCTTGGGCCCTTGATCTGAAGCCGTCTGAAATCCCACCTCCCTCCTCGCTCCCTCGAAGGCACAGTTCTGCAAGACAGTTGTAAGATAAGCTCTTTCTTCCCGCAGGTTAGAGGGTTGTATTAAGGGTCTAATAATGTCACTTACGTCAAGGACATCATATTTAACTTCACCCAGGCTTCCGAGCAACCGCGGAAACATGAAATTACAGGCAATAAGTCAATCAACGTGAGTGTTTGAGATTCAAGTACGTTTCGTTTTTCTTTTTCAGTGGCTTTCGGCTGAAAAGCCACTGAAAATCGCTCAAAGGAAGGCATTTGTGGGCGTCTCACCCTGTAGCTCCAGGGGTTGGACCCCCTCGCCTCGCAAGCCAGAGGATCCGGGTTCGATTCCAGGGCAAGTTTCCTTACTTCCCCCCACCCACACACACACACACACCCCCCTCCACGCACACAGACACACACACACACACACACACACGTCTCTGTTTCCCAGCAGTCAGTAGGAACCCGGTTGGATTGTCAGTCGATCGGGGGATAATAATAATAATAATCTTTGCATTTGATATAGCGCTTTTCACGTCGGGAGGACGTCCCAAAGAGCTTCACAGAACACACTGTAAAGTGAATTGACTTGTGGGCGAACGCGGCAGCCAATTGCGCACAGCAATGTCCCACAAACAGTTGTGGATTGAAAATGACCAATTTATTATTGTTGTTGGTTTTGGAGGGATTATTATTAGGCTCTGTGTGGAGTAAGGAAACTTGCCCAAGGTTTCGCCCTCTGCCTGGAATTGAACCCAGGTCTCTCGCTTGCAAAGTGAGTGCTCTAACCACTGAGCTACAGGATCACTTTTCCGGGCATAATAATCCCTTCAAGTTAAAAAAAAAAGTGTAATAAATCGGTCACTTCAACCCACGACTGTTTGTGGGGAGGTCGCTGGGCGCGATCGGCTTGCCGCCTTTCGCCCACAAAACACACAGTCACTACACTTTGAGACGTCTCGCAGACGTGATAATAACGCGCTGGGTCGAATGCCCTGGACAAACACGCATGTTTCCGGCTTTTTCTCCAGTTGATTTTTTTCCCCCTCCTTCCTCCCCTCGAGGAGTTTAGAATGGAGGACGAGAGCTTCCGGTTTTCCTCCTAAACTGTTGTCTCCGTCTTTCGTTGTGTTTCCCATTCATTCCCAACGCATTCTCCACCGTTTGTCTCTCCCATTAAACCACAGAAGATGGAGTTCTGCCCCACCTAGTGGAGTCTGGAGTAATAGTAATAGTAATAGTAATAATCCTGGCCTTTGACCCGGCGCCTCATCACGTCTCAAAGTGCTTCACGGGATATCGTGTAAACTGTAGTGACTGTGTGTTTCGTGGGCAAAATGCGGCAGCCAATTGCGCCCAGCGACGTCCCCACAAACAGCCGTGAATTAAGTGACCTGATTATTAGTCCTATTTATTTTATCAAGCCAGAGGACCCAGGTCAGGGCAAGACCTTAGGCAAGTTTCCTTACTCTTCCCCCCCCACCCCCACCCCCTCACCCACACACAGACACAGACACACACAGACACAGACAGACACACACACACGGTTGTTAGTCGACTGGCAGATCCCAGGGGTAATAATCCCTTCGAAAGAAAATAATAATTTGGTCACTTCGACCCGCGACTGTTTGTGGGGACGTCGTTGGGCGCGATCGGCTGCCGCGTTTCACCCCCCTCAACGTACACAGTCACTACACTTCACAATACATCCTGTGAAGCGCTCAGAGACCTCTCAACGACGTTTCGAGGCGCAGTATCAAACGCAAAAATTATTATTATTATTATAACCTAAATCATGGTCCGTATCTCTACGATTCCCGTTGTGCCCTTAATAGTTTTCATCCATCTATTTTGGAATAAATCCCCACCCCACACACACACACATTCATCTAAAAGGTTAGCGTTTGAATCCAATGGGAAGAGACAGACTTTATGAGCCAGCGAGTGGGGGATTAAGTTGGTGGAGAGATTATTAATGACAGGGTTGGGGTATTATGTTAGAGGGAAGTTGGCAAGGCAAGAGGCCTGCTTTCAGGCCATCTTAAACAGGATTAGAGGATTTGTATGTCAGCAATGATAATGTTCCCCTTCTGCTCTCCTCGGCCAGGACAGAATAAACGTTTGCTGAAGGGCAAGGGGTACTGTGAAATGGGAAATGGCTGGAAAGGGTTGTTTTTACCAGACCCCCTAATTCCTACCTACCTTAGGGAGTGTTTTATTCACCCAGTCGGGTGTCTGACGCACGCGGAAACCCGTGCTTTATCAGTCTCCCAAGCTCAACTGAGAATTCCATGCCTCCTGCCTGATGACAACGATACCACTATATTAATAATAATCCTTGCATTTGATTCAGTGCCTTATCATGTCTTCGAGACGTCTCGAAGAGCTGCTTAATTATGGAAATATCAGAGATTCCCGGGCAGGTCGGGGCGAAACATAGGGCAAGTTTCCATACCACACACACACACACCTCTGTTCCCCGGCAGTAAATAGGAACCTGGTTGTTAGGGGATTGGGGGGAATCACTTTCCAGGGGGTAATAATCCCTCCAAAAAAATAATAATTTGGTCACTTCAATCCACGACTGTCTGTGGGGACGTCGCTGGGCGCGATCGGCTGCCGCGTTTCGCCCACAAAACGTACATTTTTTTATGAATCTGGTGGAGCCGAGACCAGCAAGGAGGGCATTGGGAAAATGGAGGCAGGAGGTGATGAATACACGGATAAGGGCTTCACTAAATAAAAATAGATCAGTGCTAATGCTTCTGTATTGGCAGTATAGGACAACACTGAGCTCCTCTTAAGGTTAGCGGTGATGTTAACTCCAATGGACAGAAATCCAATCAGAGGAAACATCTATAATTAACTCCACAAGCCGAAGCCCCAACAGGTAGGGCGGTCAACCTCTCTGCCCCCACCCTAAGGAACTCCATCCCACAGCCCCTTTCTCGTCAGGAGAACGTCCCAAAGCGCTTCACAGGATAATACTGTCGAGTGCGGTGACTGTTTTGCGATAAAATCCCACGAAACAGCCACAAAGCGAATGAACGCTTTTATTTTGGGGAATTACTGTCCGAGGCACCAGGGTAGAAAATAAATACTCCCTTCTCTTTTCCAATGGGCCCCTGGATCTTTAGCGGCCCCGAGCAGGGGAGTGAGTGAGGTTTAACGTCTCATCCGGAGGACGGCGTCTCCGACAATACACCACCACCCCCCACCACTGCATTGGAGCATCAGCTCAGACTGTGTGATTCTAAGTCCTGTCGTGGTGGGGCTTAACCCCACAAACTTCTGACTCAAGAGGCGAGCGAGCGAGAGCGAGCGCTAACACTGAGCCAGACTGACCCACCTGTTATCTCCCACTCTGGAGGCTTTTGTGTTAAAAGTTGGGATTGTGACTGTGGTTGAAACTGACTCAGTTGGATTCAGCTTTGCATTTGCCGCCCTCTCCTGGAGCTGAATCAATGTACCTTTCTAATTCCTCACTCAATAATAATAATAATAATAATAATAATAATCCCGGTCTTCTCGCTTGCGAGGCGAGGGCTCTAACCCCTGAGTTGCGCCTGGTAGTTCACGGACATAGATATAAAGACACAGGAGTCGAGGGTTTATTTTTTTTTGGGGGGGTTCCTCATATCTATTTAATATTAATATCCATGGGAATATTTTTCTTTCGTCGTTGCCCAAATTACAAAGTTCGCAATCGAAACCACCCGCGACCCCCTCTCCCTCCCCGCGACGTGTAATCGAAATAAGACATTTTTTAAAAAAAAAACACAACACGCGTAGAAAATAAACACCAGAGCTTAGTCTGGGAGTGGAGTGGAGTGGAGTCTCATCGAATCCAAAAACTAAAGTGGGGCAAAAACCTGCCCCCGAATTCTTAGTGAACTGTCCAAACAGCCTATGGGTCAGACTGACCCACACACACAGCCGAACGACACCGACTCCGAATCTGGTTTTGCTACAAAACCGAGTATTGTATAAGTATAAATACTTCCCCCCCCCTCCCCTTCCCCCCTTCCCCCCCCTTTTATTGTTTTATTTAAAAATGTCGGAGGCGCGCTCATATTTTTTTAAAAAAAGCAAAACAAATCTTTTTTTTAAAAAAAAGTTTTTTTTTATATACATATATTTTTCTTTTGTAAACCCGAGTTGTTTAATTTATTAACCCCTCCCAATGGGGGGGGGGGGGGTGGTGAGGGGGGGCAGCAACAAAAAAATCGCGTTCTTTTCCGCTATATACACACACACACACACGGAGAACGATCTAAAAAACCTCTCCCTGGTCGACCCCGATTATTATGTACGATTCGTGTTACCATTTGCTAACGGGTAAGAAATAGGGCAAACGATAAGCCTTTTTTTTGTGTGGTGAGGGGGGGGGGGCTAAAATAATAATAATAATAATATAATAATAATAGAGAATATCAGGAGAGATGTTGTTGTTCCCCGCTGGCCGGCTGTTTCGCTCTAAGCTCGTTCCCCACGGATTCGACGCGCCAATTGGATGTCCTTGGGCATGATTGTGACTCGCTTGGCGTGGATGGCACACAAGTTGGTATCTTCAAAGAGACCCACCAGGTAGGCCTCACTGGCTTCCTGTGCGTGAGGAATCATAGAATTATACCTCACAGAAGGAGGCCATTCGGCCGGTCGTGGGGTGGGGGGGGGGGGGGGTGGAGCCGGAGGCGCAGTCGAAGAGGAAGGTGAGGTAGGGTGGGGTGTGCATGTGGGACCCACCCCCACCCACCCCCGTTCTCGCTTACCTGCAGAGCCCCGATGGCAGCACTCTGGAACCTCAAGTCCGTCTTGAAATCCTGCGCGATCTCGCGCACCAGGCGCTGGAACGGAAGCTTCCGGATCAGCAACTCGGTGGATTTCTGGTACCGTCGGATCTCGCGCAGAGCCACAGTGCCGGGTCTTAAGCAGAAAAACCCAGAGACACGTTAAAGCCTGAAAACCTTCCTCTCTTCGACCGGTCACCACTACCACAATCGACTAACCAGCGAGTTCCCACTGACTGCTGGTAAACAGAGGCGCGTGTGTGTGGTGGGGGGGTAAGGAAACTTGCCCAATGTTTCGCCCCGACCTGACCCGCCTGGGAATCAAACCCGTGTCCCTCTGGCTCGCGAGGCGAGTGAGCTACAGGGGCTGTGGGGTGCGAGGGGAGGGGTCTAACCCCTGAGCTACAGGGGCTGTGGGGTGCGAGGGGAGGCGTCTAACCCCTGAGCTACAGGGGCTGTGGGGTGCGAGGGGAGGGGTCTAACCCCTGAGCTACAGGGGCTGTGGGGTGCGAGGGGAGGGGTCTAACCTGAGCTACAGGGAGAGACCCCAGCATCACGGTGGGGGGGACGGAGAGCGTTGTTCGCGACACCTACCTGTAACGATGAGGCTTCTTGACGCCCCCGGTCGAGGGGGCACTCTTGCGCGCCGCTTTGGTCGCCAGCTGTTTGCGCGGGGCTTTGCCTCCGGTGGATTTGCGAGCGGTTTGCTTGGTGCGAGCCATCGCGAGGAGCTTTCACGACCGCCCGACTGCTGCTGTGGGGTGGGGGGAGGGAGTGGTGGGGTGGGGGTGGGGTGGGGGGGGGGAGGGGTGGGGTGGGGGGGGGAGGGGTGGGGTGGGGGAGGGGGGGGGGGTGGATGGTGGGGGATCACAAGAGCGGGTTTGCATGTGTTAAAAACGACAACAACAACAACGCCACTCACACAGGGGGCAGCTTCCCAGAGCGCTTCAAAGAAGACCGTGTGTGTACCTGTGTTGAGTGTCTGTGTGTGTGTCTGTCTGTGTCTGTGGGTGTGTGTCTGTGTATCTGTCTGTGTCTGTGTGTGTGTGTCTGTCTGTGTGTGTGGGGGGGGGGGGAGGGGCGGCCTTCGCCAATGAGGAAACACGAAAAGGGGAAGAGAGAGAGTGAATTATTAATGGTTTTTTTGTGGTGGTGTTTGGGGAGAAGGGACACACACACACACACAGACCCTCACACACACACACACAGACCCTCACACACACACACACACAGACCTCACACACACACACACACACAGACCTCACACACACACACACACACACACAGACCCTCACACACACACACAGACCCTCACACACACACACACAGACCCTCACACACACACACACACAGACCCTCACACACACACACCCTCACACACACACACACACAAACCCTCACACACACAGACCCTCACACACACACAGACCCTCACACACACACACACACAGACCCTCACACACACACACAGACCCTCACACACACACACAGACCCTCACACACACACACAGACCCTCACACACACAGACCCTCACACACACACACAGACCCTCACACACACACAGACCCTCACACACACACACACAGACCCTCTCACACACACACAAACCCTCACACACACACACAGACCCTCACACACACACACACAGACCCACACACACACACACAGACCCTCACACACACACACACAGACCCTCACACACACACACACACACCCTCACACACACACACACAGACCCTCACACACACACACACAGACCCTCACACACACACACACAGACCCTCACACACACACACACAGACCCTCACACACACACACAGACCCTCACACACACACAGACCCTCACACACACACACACAGACCCTCTCACACACACACAGACCCTCTCACACACACACACACACAGACCCTCACACACACACACACAGACCCTCACACACACACACACACAGACCCTCACACACACACACACAGACCCTCTCACACACACACAGACCCTCACACACACACACACAGACCCTCACACACACACACACAGACCCTCACACACACACACACAGACCCTCTCACACACACACACGCGCGGCGGCAACAAAGGCCTTTCTCCTTTTTTTAAAAAAACGTTCCTCCCCCTCCCCCCCTCCCGGGGTGTTCATACTCCCCGTGAGGAGCCGCCCCCCCGCCCCCCCCGCCCCGAGCCTCCCCCGCCCCGAGCCTCCCCCCCCGAGCCGCCCCCCCGGGCCCGGGCCTCCCCCCCCGCCCCCCCCCGGGGCCCGAGCCGCCGCCTGAGGTAAACACGTGAGGCGGAAACGCCGCCCATCTCCGCTGTTCCTTCTCACCTCCTCCTCCGCCGCCGCTGTTCACACTCTCCCCCTCTGTCTCTCCACCTCTCTCTGTCTCTCTCTCTCTCTCCCCCTCTCTCTCTCTCTCTCTCCCTCTCTCTCTCCCCCTCTCTCCGGGGTTCAGGGGTTGAGGGGTTCGCGGACAAAGGCGACGCCGCAAAGATGGCGGCGGTTCCGACCCACAATCCCCCGCGCGGCTCCACTGCTCACACTCACTGTGCTCACACTCACTGCCTGTGCTCACACTCACTGTGCTCACACTCACTGTCTGTGCTCACACTCACTGTGCTCACACTCACTGCCTGTGCTCACACTCACTGTCTACACTCACTGCCTGTGCTCACACTCACTGCCTGTGCTCACACTCACCGTCTGCCTGTGCTCACACTCACTGCCTGTGCTCACACTCACCGTCTGCCTGTGCTCACACTCACCGTCTGCCTGTGCTCACACTCACCGTCTGCCTGTGCTCACACTCACTGCCTGTGCTCACACTCACTGCCTGTGCTCACACTCACTGCCTGTGCTCACACTCACTGCCTGTGCTCACACTCACTGCCTGTGCTCACACTCACCAGCCGCCGGACTCACTGATTTGTTCCCTGAGGCAGTTTTGGTCTCCGACTCTTCGCGTTTCTTCATTAATGTTAATTTTTTCGGAGTAAATGTCCAAATAAAGTTTAACTTAACTTTCCCTCTTCGCTGCAACACCGATGTACCACTCCCCAAATCGCTCAGTCTCGAATTAGTTGATCAATTTACCCCCAAAAAAAGTTTCCCCCCCAAAATAGAGGTCGATTATCCGCCTCATGGTTCCAGTGCGTCCGTCTGTTCCTTTATTTCTGAACTTTTTTTTGCTTAGAAACTGCATTTTTTGGAACACTGGAGACGGTTCACAAAACACACAGTCAATTCCCGTTCACCGTGAATCGCTTTCGAGACGTCTCAACAGAACGTGTGTCCCACCCCAGTGATTTCCCCAAAGCAAAGTCGTTCCCAAACTACTCTCAGAGCTGCAAGATATCTGACCGGGCACAGGCAAGTGACCCAGCCAGCACGGACAGGGACACGGACACTGACCCGGACACTGACCTGACCGTCAAGGTGAGAGCGAGGAACCTTTCACACCGTTTCCATTGAGTGGCACTTTTCCGTGTGTCCCGATCGCTGTGTTTGTGTTGTGAAGTCACAGTCACCACGGCATTGTGAGTATTGTGAGCTCACCGCTTCTTAAGGCGTAGAGGGAGGTACCGAAACTTTGACCCGCAGACCAGGTGAACCCTGGCCAAATAATAGCCGGAAATAGGCTGACCTTAAAAGTCTCGATAGGAACCTTCTCATCCAACTGAGCCAAGTTACCACCAAACAAACCTCTGCTGAAAACACGCGGTCACTCCACTCGACTGTATATTCTGTGTAGCGCTTTGTGAGGTCGCAGCGACGTGATAAGGCATTATATCAGATAGAAGGATGATTATTATTACACACCGTCAGTTTGGAACGATTCACAAAATACACAGTCTTTACACTTTGCAGTAAAGCGCTTTGGGATGTCTTCCTGACATGAAGGGCCCTACATCAAATGCAAGGAATATTACTGAGTTTCCAGTCTCAGTGGTGGTGGTCAGTGATTGCCCGGCCGGGTGTCTTGACCCGCGCGGAAACCCGTCACTGTTGCTTAAGAGGCTCCAAACCCAACTGAGAATTCCATCCATCCCACCTCACCCCTCACCAGCTAAACCTGCATTGTTATTGCCAAGCGTTCCCGCTGCTTGTCCAGCTAGGACCACCCTACCCGGCATGTCACCTTGGAGCCAGTTCAGTTAATAATATAACAACAACAACAATCCTTGCATTTGAGCGCTAAGGAGACCCCGTTTCATGGTGGCTTTGATTCGTCTCTGTCGCAGATAATGCAGAGAAGTAGATCAGAACTGGCGAGTCGTGAGCAAAAGTGCAAACACAAGAACATCACAGAAGTCAAATAATTTTTTATTGCAGTTTTGGAACAAGATTTGAGTTGTCAAATGCTATTCACTAAGCCTCAGTGTTACCCACTTTGAAGAGAAATAATTTTACAGATCAGAACACTGTCTCCTCCCATTTTGGAATATATAGGATCAGGAGGAAGCGATTCAGCCCCTTGAGCCTGTTCCGCTATTCTATAACTCACGGCTGATCTGTACCTCAACTCCATTACCCACCTTTGCCCCATATCCCTCGAACCCCTGACCTCACAAACATATATCCACCTCAGTCTTGAAAATTTGAATGGATCCAGCCATAATCTTTTGGAACACATAGGAACAGGAGGAGGCCATTCAGTCCCTCGAGCCTGTTCTGCCATTCTGTAAGATCAAGGCTGATCTGTACTTCCAACTCCAATTTGAAGAAGTGACGGTTGAATTCTGTCTGGTGACGGCTATGTCAACGCTGCGAAGTTTGGATGGGGCACAATTTACTGAAGTGGGTTTTTTCCACGTTGTTTTGGGTGGGGGTCCGGGGGTGGGGTGTTCGGGGGAAGCCTTTGACAGTTCCAAACGAAATGAGCGCCCGGCCTGCCACTTAGTGCATTGCACAGTTACTGTCAGCTTTGATTACAAAGAGCAAGAAGAAAACACCCAACCCTGGTAAGAAAAGGGGGGGGGAAAAAAAGCTAAAATGATCGCAACCCCGAAATACAAGAGTCAAACCCCCCCATTAACTTTGGTCACAGCGACGTCCCATGTTAGCATCTGGGTGTGGTCGTGCCTCATCTGAAGACATTTTGGCCACTTCCATCATTCAGCGGTCAGTCGCGATGAACAAAGCCAACGGCGGTTTAACTGGAAGAGAAGCACAGGTTTGATCTCACAGGAGAACTGACCTCACGATTGCGACAAACATTCACAGACGATCACGACACCAATTCTCACCCCCAACTCTTCCCCCGAGGACTGTTCGCCGTCACGCGCAGATAAATAATAATAATAATCCTCGCATTGGATCCAGCGCCGAACTTACCGTAAGGTGGAGTGACTCTGTACATTGTGGGCGAAACACAGCAGTGTCCCACAAAGTCGTGGGTTGAAAGCGAACAACTTATTATTTTTTTGAAGGAATTATTACCCTCGGAAAACTGGGTTGCTATTTACTGCTGGGTAAACGTAGGCACGTGCGTGGAGTAAGGAAATTTACCGAACATTTCGGCCTGCCGGGAATCAAACCCAGGTGCTCTCGCCCGCTATACAGGATAGTTGGCACCGGGAAATCCTATAGGAATATGAGCCCCCTCTGTCCCACTCTGCTCTCTTACCCCCTCACTTATGCAATAGGTTTTCTCTCTTAAAATACATTGGTGCCCTTTGCTTCAGCCGTGGCTCCTGTCGACATTGGAATGAAATCGGACACTCACCTCCATTACACACCACACGGCTGCTGCCTTCTCATTTGCGGAGAGCAGCCTGGATCCAGGCCACTATCTTCTGAAGCTTATCGTTGTCCACAAAGCCCTCTCCATTCTGGAAGAAATCAAGAAGCATTTCAGAATCAGACTCTTTTCTGCTACTCACAAGCAGTGCCCGTTGTGAGGCCCCTATATTTTACTATAATAATAATAATCCTGGCATTCGATACAGCGCCTCATCACATCTTCCGAGGCGTCTCAAAGCGCTTCACAGGACACACTGTAAAGTGACTTGACTGCGTACTTTGTGGGTGAAACGCGGCAGCCAATGGCGCACAGCAGCGTCCCCACAAACACTCGGGGATTGAAGCGACAAATTATTTTTATTGGAAGGGATTATTGACCCCGGAAAAGCGATCCGCCAGTTGACTTAACAACCAAGTTCCTACTTCCTGCTGGTAAACAGAGGCGTGTGTGCGTTTGTGTGGAGTAAGGAAACTTGTCCGGGAATCGAACCCACACACACAAATCAAAATTTGTAGATTGTTAACGAACCTCTTTTGAGTGCAACACTTTGCCATCCTTTGTCACAACCTCAAATTTCCCTGATCGGGTCTGTGTCCCCTCCCCAGTCTGTCAAAGGGAAGAAATTTCAGTTCAACAACAACAACAACTTGCACTTACACAGCAGGGCAGCACTTAACAGTGGCGGAGCCTGACTCCGAGCAGGGGGTGGGGGGGGGCGCGGTGGGGGGGAGAGGGGAGGTGGCCGTAAGCATGGTGGAAAAGGAAGGTTTTAAGGCGGGACTTGAAAAAGGGGTACGAGGGGGCAAATTGGAGGGATTGAGGGAGAGCGTTCCAGAGTTTTGGGGCGCGATGGCTGAAAGCGAGACCTCCAGTGCTGGGGCGGAGGGTGCGAGGGACAAGCAGGAGCCGGGGGCCAGTCGAGCGGAGGCACCGACCGGGTGATGGATTGGGGGGTGAGTTGGTCGGAGAGGGAGGAAGGGAGGTGCCGGGGAGTGAAGCGTTTCAAGCGACGCACAGCAGAACGTTACAGCGATACACACAATACAACATCACATTTGCACAGCGCCTTTCACGTCGGGAGGTTGGGCACCCGAGTTGGGGGAGGGAGCCGAGGGTTGTGGAGAGGGAGGAGATAATAATAATAATAATCCTTGCGTTTGACACAGAGCCTCATCACGTCTTCGAGACATCTCAAAGCCCTTCACCGGATACGCTGTAAAGTGAATTGACCGTATGTTTTGTGGGCGAAACACGACAGCCAATTGCCCACAGCAGTGTCCCCCACAAACAGTCGTGGGTTGAGTGACCAAATTATTATTATTATTTTTTTCGAAGGGATTATTACCCACCAACCACTGGGCTACAGGAGATGAACAAAATCTTGACTTACTATTTCCAATTCCCCAGGAAATTCCACTTCAAGGGATTTCTTGAGTTGGAGAAACTGAAACAAGAAGGGGAAAAGGCTTTCATATTAAAATAAAGACAGTTTCGGACGTGGTAGAACTCCTTTCCCCTCCTTTTTTTATGTATCCCGTCGATTGATATAACGTCTCTCGCGTCAGGGGGACGTCCCAAAGCGCTTCACAGGATTCACTGATGTGCAGAGACTGTATTTGCGGCAGCGACATCCCATAAACAGCCATGGAGTGACTGAGCCATTTTATTGCCGGGGTGGGAGGGAGGTGTGTGGGGGTGATTCTCAGCCACGACAACAGGGCAGAGAGAGAGAAATTCCCTTTTGTGGAGTCCTCTTGTTTACCAGCAGTCAGTAGGAACCCGGTTGTTAGTCAATTGGCGGATCACTTTTCCGGGGGTAATAATCCCTTCAAATAATAAATAAATTGTTCACTCAGTCCACGATTGTCTGTGGGGACGTCGCTGTGCACAATTGGCTGCCGTGTTTCTCCCACAAAAGATACAGTCCATTCACTTTACAGCGTATCCTGTGAAGCGCTTTGAGACGTCTCGAAGACATGATAAGGCGCTGTATCAATGCAAGGATTATTATCACTTTCTTTTCCACGGCACTGTGGGATCTGTAACAGGCACAGACGAGGTCTCAGTTTAACATCTCGCCCGAAGGCACGGCGTCTCCAACAATGCAGCGATCCCCAAATAAATACACTTTAAATGATTTTCTCATCCCTTCCCTATTAATGTGATGGATCACCACTGTCTAATCACTGGACACCCTCCCAAACTGGTCTATCCTTCCAGAGATCAGGGACCCAGAGCTGAATCAGGTTTAACAATAACAATCCTTGCATTTGATTCAGTGCCTTATCACGTCTTCGAGACGTCTCAAAGCTCTTCACAGAATGTCCTATAAAGTGAACCGACTGCATATTGTGTGGGCGAAACTGTTTGTGCCGCACAAACAGCCGTGGATTGAATAATAGCAATCCTTGCATTTGGTACAACGCCTTATCACGACATTGAGACATCTCAAAGGGTTTCGCTTGAGAGGCTCTAACCACAAAGCAGCAGGACTCCAAATACACTCGATTTTATGGCTCGAGATGCTTACCTTGGACTTGTAACCTCAGGAACCACTGGGGGGGAAAGGGGAAAACGTGTTAATACAGCACACAGGTACAATCAACAATATCTCTGAAATGCAACCCCCCAGGACACAAATTTTAATCTCTCTTGGGTCTCCGACTTCAAGTTCGTTTACACGTAGTGACTGCAGAGCTGCTCTACCTACAAACGCTAGTTCCCACAGCACAATTTAGCTCAATGGAGGCACGTGAAACCGCTTTCCTCAGATATCCAGGATATACTGTAAAGTGCAGTCGCTTGTGTATTTTGTGGGCGAAAATACACGTCGCTGTGCACCAGTTGATGTCCCACAAACAGTGGTGGATTGAGCGACCACATTACTTTCTATTGATCCTGAAGGGACTATTACCCACGATAAAATAGGGTCAGGTTTCTATTGGAAACGAGAGAGCAATGGATATTCTGTGAAGTGCAGTGACTGTGCATTTTGTGTGAGCCACCTCAGCACCTGACGAAAATAGTCCTTGCGAGGCGCTTTCGTTGGGAACGATCCCCGCCCCTGGTCACAGCTAAATATTTCGAAGTCTTTAAGAGGAAAAACCTGTTCCACACCGGCGCTTCCAAGGTTGTTAGATATCAAAACAAGACAAACTCATTATAGATCTCCTCCTCCACCCCCTCTCAGACACAGGCACACCCTTCCTTCCTCCCTCGCACGCACACACACACACTCCCTCCCTCCCTCGCACGCACACACACACCCTCCCTCCCGGGTAAAACGCAGTAACAGGAGGAGGCCACTCAGCCCCTCGAGCCTGTTCCACCATTCGATAAGATCACGGCTGATCTGGACCTCAACTCTAATTACTAAAGTAACTCCCTAAAGTATTTTGTGGCCGAAACACAGCAGCCAATTGAGCCCAGCGACGTCTCGCAAACAGTCGTGGTTTGGGTGACCAATTATCATTATTTTTTGGAGGGGTTATTACCCTCGGAAAAGCGATCCGCCAATCGACTAACAACCGGGTTCCAACTGACTGCTGGTAAACAGAGGCGTTTCTGTGTGTATGTGTCTGTGTGTGTGCGGAGTAAGGAAACTTGCCCAGTGTTTCGCAATGACCTGACCCGCCCGGGAACCGAACCCCCTCTCTCTGGCGAGGCGATGGCTCGTCTCGTAAATCATTCCATAACAGTTTGAACGTCACGAAAGCGCTTTACTGGGAGTCGCCGTCGAGTGTGTATTCATAATGACTGAAATCAGCCAATTTCATAGAATTATACAGCACAGAAGGAGGCCATTCAGCCCATCGTGTCTGTGCCGGCTCTTTGAAAAGAGCTTCCAATTCAATCCCGCTCCCCCGCGCTCTCCCCGTAGCCCTGATCAACCCCACTCCCCCGCGCTCTCCCCATAGCCCTGCAAACTTGCCCTCGCAAACATACACACAGCAAAGTCCCACAAACAGTTCAGCGCAAGTCCCCCGTCTCTCTCCCCAAATCCCACATTTCCTACCCACCACCCTCCCACACCATCGGTTCATTTTATCCCGGGGCTTGCTTTCCGAACGGAGAGAGAGGGAGGGAGGGAGGAAGTGGAGTCCTGAAGCTCAGTGGTTAGAGCACTCGCTTTGCAAGTGAGAGACCTGAGTTCAATTCCAGGCAGAGGGCGAAACCTTGGGCAAGTTTCCTTACTCCACACAGAGCCTAATAATAATTCCTCCAAAACCAAAAATAATAATAAATTGGTCATTTTCAATCTACAACTGTTTGTGGGACATTGCTGTGCGCAATTGGCTGCCGCGTTCGCCCACAAATATACAGTCAATTCACTTTACAGTGTGTTCTGTGAAGCGCTTTGGGACGTCCTCCCGACGTGAAAAGCGCTATATCAAATGCGAGGATTATTATTATTATTATAAGAGAGACGGGAGAGAGCGGGTCTTACCAGAAAACCACATGAATCTGGAGACCCATGCTAACAGCTGGACAGTGCGGACAAGAGACCAGACGAGATGACCAGACAGACAGACAGGACACAATCTAACAAACTAGAGGCTGCCCCCCCCTCCACAACAAGTTATAAAACATCACAGCTGGGGGGTGGGCGGGGAAACATCGCGGAGGAACTCCCTAACCTTCTGGGTGTGTTGGTGCGTGGGGGGGGGGGGGTAGTGTAAACCCGCGTCTCAGGGGATAATGACTCCCCATTTCCCACCCGTGCACTCTCCCAAGACTCACATCCCACCCCCACAATCGGTTCATTTTCGTTCCAAAAAGTTGACTTTTGTGGTTATAAACGCTCACTGACTCGTTGATGTCCACCCTATTCTTTTTGCAGCGATGGTTCAGCCGGCAAATTGTTCCTTCCCCTTTGTTTCTGCCCCCACTTTACTCCCCTCCTCCCCTTAAGATGATTTACAGACACTCACAGCTTCTGTGAAATCACATACGGCGCTCAGAGAGACCGAAATATTTCAGGAATTTCCTGTCAAATAACTAACGCATAAATCACTCTGCACTCCGACTGACCCTCAGAGCTCAAAACCATCCCTCCACTTTTGACCCCCCTCCTTCCCCATTGCCCCTGAAGACTGCCCAGTCCTCTTCGACCGTGCCTACGGCGCCCCCCACACCCCCCAGCCCCTCACCCCCGCCTCAGCATCGTGCTCCGCCACTGTCCAGCGCTCTGGGGCGCTACCCCCAGCGTGAGGGGCAGTGCGAGTAGTCGAGTCAGTCGGAGGTTACAGTCCGAGATCCTGGTCTTCACTTTCAAAGCCCTCCACGGCCTCACTCGCCCCCTGGCTCCGGGTCCCCCCCCAACTCCCTACCAGCCTGTCCGCTCCCTGCTTCGCGGACCCCCAGCCTGGCTCTTCCCACCATTGGCGGGGGGGCATTCCGCCTCTCTGACCCCCCTCCACCACTCCATCCCGCAGTTCCCTCCGCCTCGCCCCTCCCTCCCTCCCTCGCCCCCTCCCTCCCTCCCTCTCCCTCCCCCCCCCTCCCTCCCTCGCCCCCCCTCCCTCCCTCCCTCGCCCCCCCCCCCCCTCCCTCCCTCCCTCCCTCGCCTCCTTCAAGACCCATCTCGAGGCCAACACAACACACCACACACACACGCGCACACACACAGTCACTACAGTCCCGCCAAGCGCTTTGTGAGAGACGTCTCGAGGACCCGATGAGGCGTTGGGGGATTAACATTAACATTATTATCAGTAACTATTATGATGTCACCGACCCCGAGGGTCACCCGTCCCCATGACACGTGTGTACACGCGTGTGGGTTGACACGTGCGTCAGTGCCACGTGTAGGGGGGGCTCAGCCCCCACCTCTCTCTCTCTCTCTCCCCCTCTCCTCTTGCAAACAGCCATGGAGGTGTCCTATCCGCTCGTCATCCTCTTCATCCTCTTCCTCATCATCATCTTCCTGATCGGCCGCTTGGAAATCGCCGCCTCGCCCGTGTCCAGAGAGAACATCCAACTGTACGGCCCCAGGGGGGGGTAGGAACCTTCCTCCGCGGGTCGCGCGCTCCTCCGGGGCTGACGGACTGACGGACGGACGGCGTCCGTGGCGGCACCGGGCGGAGCGTTTTGAGCGACGGACCGAACCCGAACCCCCGCGCCAGGACGGAGGGGATTTTTTTTCCTTTTCCCCCCCACCCTCCCCCCCGGGCGCGAACCGCTCTCCAATGGCCGACGCCCGAGGCGAAGACGGAGGTGAGCACCCGGCTCCCCGGAGGGGACTCGCGATTCCCGCTACCGGCTCTCCCGCCCTCCGCGCCCGTCACCGGCGCTGTCCCTCGCGCTCTGTTTGCTGGCGACAAAGATGGCGGCCGGAGAGGCGGCGAAGGGCCGAGAAGACGCCGGAAGGCAGGAGGGAAGGGGGCGCGGCCTGTCTCTCAGCCGGACTGACGTCAAGCCCGACCAATCAGAGCTCGCTCCCGGCCGCCCAGGCAACGCCGGCCAGCCAATCCGAGGCGCGCAGGGGGGCGGGAGCGTCACAAAGGTCACCGCCCCCTTTCTCCTGCCCGTTTACATGGAGGCGGGGAGGGGCGTGGCGCCGCCTCCGGCCTTAAAGGGGAGGGACGGAGGCGGAGGGTTGGATTGGATTATTTGTCGGCAGAGGCGTTCTGTCCCTGATTACGCAGGTAACTGCTTGGAGAGCCGGAAGAGCGACCAGCATGCGGCCCGCGGGCCACAAACGGCCCGTTGGGTGATTTTTGGCGGCCGATAGTCTCTAAAATTGCGTTTTGCCCTCGAAACACACAGCCACTGCACTTTTACGCTGTATTCCCCCAAGCGCTTTGAGACGTCTCGAAGGCGGGATGAGGCCCTGTGTCAAATGGTGTGTTTTTTTTTCCCCCCCCCCCAACCCCCTCCCTTTTCCCTCCCTCTCAGCCGCGGCTCCCAGCGAGGAAAAACTTCCCGAATCTCAGGTAAATAAAACATACAAAAACTTTTTTGTTGCATACTTCTAGTCATCTCAAAGCCTCCTAAGTCACCCTCCTTACACCCCCTCACCCCCCTTCCCCCGCCCTCCACCCCCTCCTGATCCCAACCCCCAGCTCGGCTCCAAATCCCTGACTGTCCAGCAAACTTGGGACGTCCTCCCCGACGTGAATGTCGCCCTGTAAATGTCGTGCGGTGTTGTTGTTGTGGTTGTTGTCGATGACCGAGCTTCCGAATGGAACCATCTTCCTTCTGACCCCCAACCCTGATCCTCTTAACTGACTTCTCTTCCTTTTCCCGCCAGGATTCTAGTCCAGAAGAAGGACTGGACCCGTCGGCTGGCGAGCCTGAAAGTACGTACCCCCTTCTGGGGCTTAGTCTTGTCTCGGTTGCTTTTTTTAATAAAAATAATAATAATAATCCTTGCGTTTGATACGGCACCTTATCGAGACGTCTCGAAGCTGCTTCCCAGGCGACACTGTTATTTACACTGTCTACAAAACTACAAAATCCAGTTACTTCAAAATTCCGCCGCCCACATACTCACACACACTAAACCCCGTCCCCCCATCACCCCAACCCTCGCCAGGCTCCACTCGCTCCCATCACACACACTAAACCCCGTCCCCCATCACCCCAGCCCTCCGAGGCTCCACTCGCTCCCATCACACACACTAAACCCCGTCCCCCCATCACCCCAGCCCTCGCCAGGCTCCACTCGCTCCCCATCACACACACTAAACCCCGTCCCCCCATCACCCCAGCCCTCGCCAGGCTCCACTGGCTCCCATCACACACACTAAACCCCGTCCCCCCATCACCCCAGCCCTCGCCAGGCCTCCACTGGCTCCCTATCACACTCAACACTCACTAAATTCCGTGGGTCCCCATCACCCCAGTCCTCGGCTGCAAATCCCTCCAAGCCCTGGCACCTCCCTACCTCGCCGACCTGCTTCCTGGAGTGACCAAATGATTATTATTTTTTAAAGAAAAATTTGGAGGCATTATTACCCCCGGAAAGTGATCCCCCAATCGACTAACAAGTGGGTTCCTACTGACTGCCGGGGAACACAGGCGCGCGTGTGTATGGGGGAGGGGGGGAGTAAGAAAAGTCTCCCTTGCTTTACACTCTCCCCGTTCTTTTGCAGTGGAATGCCTGAGGAATCTGCTGATGCGTACAGGACTCCAAGACCCTCCGGCCCAGAAAGTGTTGGATGAATGTTCGCTGTCTGGAGTTGCCAAGTACATCTTGAGCGGGAAATGTAAGCCATTAATCGCTTCGCCCACAAAGCACACAGTCACTACACTTTACAGCGTATCCTGTGAAGAGCTTTGAGACGTCTCGAAGACGTGATAAGGTGCCGGGTCAAATGCGAGGATTATTATTACCCAGTCCAGACCTTGGTGTCTTGTTTGACCCTCTACCCCACATCTGCCCATGACCCGCTCTGCCTTCCCCCACCTCCGCAATGTCGCACACCACAGGCTGCCAAGACCCTCATACCATAACATAATAATATTCATAACATCGAGGCTCGACTACACAAACTCCCTGCTTGTCGACCTCCCCAACTCCTCCCTCCCGAGGCTGCGGATCATCCAGAATTCTGCAGCCCGTGTCCTCTCTCGCACCGGGCTCCATGACCCTATCACCCCCATCCTCGCCCGACTCCACTGGCTTCTCATCACACAGAGGGTAACATTCACTTGAACTGGGCGCAGACGGGGGGGGAGTGAGTGAGGTTTAACTTCTCATCCGAAGGACAGCGTCTCCGATAATGTGGCTCTCTCTCTCTCACCCCCCAGCGCTCTCTCTCGCTCTCTCTCTCTCTCTCTCTTTCACCCGCTCAGCGCTGCACTGGATCGTCAGTCAGTCTGGACTGTGAGCTCAGACACCCTGACGTCTTCAGGAAGGCCTTCTCAATTTGTTTTATGTTAAATAATTCACGTAGCTCTTTATTCCCTTTGCTCTCAGGCAACAGAATTATTTGTATCGTTGGAGCAGGCATCTCAACATGTGAGTCATGTTTTCTCTCTCTCTGTCTCTCCTCAGTGGTGTCTGTATCCCTGTAGCTCAATGGTTAGACCCCTCGCCTCGCAAGCCAGAGGACCCGGGTTCGATTCCCGGGTGGGTCTGGACAGGGCAAAACATTGGGCACGTTTCCTTACGCCGCACGCAGGTAGGCAGGCAGACTCACACACACACACACAGGGGAAGTAAGGAAATTTGCCCAACGTTTCACTCTGATCTGCTGGGAATCAATCCAAGGTTTCCATGTTTATTTTCCCTCTTTAGCGGCTGGTATTCCAGATTTCCGGAGTCCAGGCACCGGGATCTATGACAACCTCAAGCAGTACGAACTCCCTTACCCTGAGGCAATCTTTGAGATTGATTACTTTAAGGTACAGCTGTGTGTCTGGGTGTGTGGCCGGGTGTGTGTGTGTGTGTCTGGGTATGTGTGTGTGTCTGTATGTGTGTCTGTCTTTGTGTGTGTGTGTGTCTGTATCTGTGACACTGCCCTTTGAGACATTAAACCTCACCCACTCCCCGTCTATGCCCTGTTCAGGCAGACGGACGTTTAAAGATTTCCCGCTAGCGCTGTCAGTGTGGGGGAGAGAAGGGAGTTTCTCTCTCTCTCTTTTCCCGGTGTCCTGGCCGACAATTCCTCCCCCCCCTCCACCCTTCCACCCCCGATAAAACCCCTCGCTTGCTTCACAGCCGTTTGCGTGGACGTCGCTGTGCGCACAACACATAGTCACTACACTTTACGGTAAATTCCTGGTAAGCGCTTTGAGTCCCGCTCCCCTCTCTGCCCCCACATCTCTGGAACTCCAGCCCACAGTCCCCCCCCCACCCACCCACCCCGCCTCACGCTGATACCAATCTCGCCTTGTGTTTCAGAAACATCCAAAGCCTTTCTTTGAACTCGCGAAGGAACTCTTCCCCAGTCAGTTAAAGGTGAGACGTGAGGGGTGTGGAGTGTTCGTCAGCGAGAAGTGAGGGGCAAGGGCGGGGGGGAGAGGAAGGGAGGGGGCAGAGAGGCAGAAGGTGGGGGCACGTGAAGCAGGCTGGAGCCCGCTGAGTGGGGGGAGAGGACAGGTTGATAATGGGGTTAGGAGATCAGAGAGGTGGGGGGAACGAGGCCCTGGGGAGCTTTGAAGGCGAGGGTGAGGTTTTTGAACTATCCTCTGGGGAGGGTAGGGAGTCAGGCGAGGGTTGGGGGCGATGGAGGTCACGGAGCCTGGTGAGGGAGAGGACACGGGCTGCGGAGTTCTGGATGATCTGCATCACATTCTCTCTCCCCCCTCTCTCTCGCAGCCCACAATTTGCCATTATTTCATACGAATGCTGAGAGATAAGAAGCTGCTTCTACGCTGTTATACGCAGGTATCTGATCTCTGCCCTATCCTCCCTCCAGCCCCGACCCCAACCTTCACCTTCATCCTGGTTTACCAGATTGTGGAGTCCCTGTAGCTCAGGGGTCAGAGCCCACATCTCGCAAGCCAGAGGACCCGGGTTCAATTCACACACACACACGCCACACACACATACACACATATACACACACATACACATGCGCCTCTGTTTACTAACAGTCAGTAGGAACCCGGTTGTTAGTCGATTGGCGGGTCGCTTTTCCGGGGGTAATAATCCCTTCAATAACAAAAAAATGATAAATTTGTCACTTCAATCCACCATTGTTTGTGGGGATGTCGCTGGGTGCAATTGGCTGCCGCGTTTCGCCCACAAGACACACAGTCACTACACTTTATAGCGTATCCCGTGAAGCGCTTTGAGACATCTAACCCCTGAGCTACAGGGGCTGTGGGGTGCGAGGCGAGGGGTCTAACCCCTGAGCTACAGGGGCTGTGGGGTGCGAGGCGAGGGGTCTAACCCCTGAGCTACAGGGGCTGTGGGGTACGAGGTGAGGGGTCTAACCCCTGAGCTACAGGGGCTGTGGGGTGGGGGCGAGGGGTCTAACCCCTGAGCTACAGGGGCTGTGGGGTGCGAGGCGAGGGGTCTAACCCCTGAGCTACAGGGCAGAGACTCCACGATGCCAATCAGTGGTTTTGTTTCAGAATATCGACACCCTGGAGCGTGTGGTGGGGCTGAGTGATCGGCATTTGATTGAGGCTCACGGCACATTCTACAGGTCACACTGCGTGAACAAGCTTTGCATGAAGAAGTATGACTTCGACTGGATGAAAGGTCAGTAGATTTTCCCTTTGTACCGCCATCGAGCAGAGGACACATTATAATAATAATTCTTGCCATTGCTCTGGCGCCCAATCATCACGTCGCTGAGACGTCTGAAAGCGTACGTGTGCTGTCAAGCGGATTAACTGTGTATTTTCTGTAGCTCTTGGGTTAGACCCCTCGCCTCGCAAGCCATAGGACCCGGGTTTGATTCCCGGCGGGTCAGGTCGGGGCGAAACCTCTAGCCAAGGTTCCTTACTCCCCACACACCCCCCACCCTCTCCCCCACCACACACACAGACACGCACACGCCTGTGTTTGCCAGCAGTCAGTGGGAACCCGCTTGTTAGTCGATTGGGGGAATCACTTTTCCGGGAGTAATAATCTCTTCAAAAAAAAACGTGGTGGTCACTCAACCCACGACTGTTTGTGGGGGCGCTGCCGTGCGCGATTGGCCACAAAATACACACCCACAAAAGATGACGGCTTATCCTGCGAAGCGCTCTTGAGACGTCGCGAAGATGCGGTTGTGTGTGCAATGGATAGCGTTAGTGCCGCGAGTGTCAGTGTCCGTGTTAATTGTTGCTGTTTATGCACAAAATACACAGATAAGATCTTCACCCAAACAATCCCCTTTTGTCAGAATTGTTACTCTCTCGTGAAACCCGGTGAGTGAGGTGAGGAGGCCAGAGGGTGAGGGTGAGGGGTGGAGGGGCTGTCTGTGTGTGTGTGTGTATTGGCATTGTTGTGTGTGTTGGACGTTCCCAGTGGATGATGATGATGTTGGAAATTGTTTTTGGTTTGTGTCTGTGTGTGTGTATGTGTGTGTATATATTTGTGTTTGTTTGTGTATGTGTGTATGTGTGTGTTTGTGTATGTGTGCTACTGTATGTGTTTGTTGTGTATATACGTGTGTGTGAGTGTTGTGTATGTGTGTGTGTATATGTGTGTGTGAGTGCATGTGTATACATGTGTGTGTGTATACATGTGTGTGTGTGTTATGTGTATATGTGTGTGTGAGTGTTATGTGTATATGTGTGTGAGTGTTACGTGTATATGTGTGTGAGTGTGTACGTGTATATGCGTGTGTGTATGCGTGTGTGTGTGTAACCGCCCTTTTCTCTCCCCCACCAGATATTGTATTTTTTGGGGAGGGGCTTCCAGAAAAGTTCTTTGAGGCCATGCAGATGGTGAGTGACTGAGCCCCACCCTCCCCAGCCCCACCCTGGCCAGCTCCTCACTACCCCCGCTCCCCCCCCCCCCCCCGCTCACACTGCAGAAGTGCTCACTATTTGCACAAGGTCACGGCTGACGAGCGACACTTGTGTTTCTTTCCAAAGGATTTCCCTTCATGTGACCTTCTCATGATCATGGGAACCTCGCTCCAGGTGCAACCCTTCGCCTCCTTGGTCAACAGGTCTGTCCCCTCGTCTCCCCTCGGGTTCCTTTGCCAACTATCTTAAATCTACGTGGCCTGGTTACCCCCCTCGCCCGCCCGCCAGAAGAAATGGCATCTCCCCTATCTCGTGGAGTCTCTCCCTGTAGCTCAGCCGGAGGACCCGGGTTTGATTCCTGGGCGGGTCAGGTCAGGTCAGGGCGAAACATTGGGCAAGTTTACTTACTCCCCCCCCCACACACAGACTCAATCACACTCACACTCACACACACGCACGCGTTTCCAGCAGTCAGTAGGAACCCGCTTGTTGGTCGATTGGGGGAATCACTTTCTGGGGGTAATAACCCCTTCAAAATTGGTCGCTTCAACCCATTCAATCTGTGGGTTTTGTGGGCAAAACACGGCAGCCAATTGCGCACAGCGCCGTCCCCACAATCAGTCGTGGGTCCGAGTGACAAATTATTTCTTACGCATACACCTCCCCCCACTCCCTCTCCCCCACCCAACCCCTGCCATGCCTCGCCCCCACCCTCAAAATAGTGTGGGGGGGTGGGGGTTGCTCCTGCCTTTCCCCCAAACGTGCAGAGGGAGTATCAATGGGGTGAGTGAGTGAGCGAGCGAGTAAGCGAGCGTGTGGTGCTCATGGCTGTATCTTCCTCCTGTGCCCCTTAGGGTTCCGCGTTCTACTCCGAGGCTCTATATTAACAAGGAACGTTTTCCTAAGGTAGGCAGCAGGGAAAACCGTCCGTCCGTCCGTCCATCAAACCCCACCACCACCGCGCGCACAGCAGTCGTGATCAGTCACAAAGTTGTTGTTGTTGTTGTCAGCCTGGCCTTATCCTGATAGTGTTTGTTCTCCCCAGAAAGATACCTTGAAGGAGTTTCTGGGCTTGTCTGTCCAACTCGACTTTCATTCAGGAAAGGCGTACAGGCAAGTGTTCTGTGATTGATTAATACTCAAACGCTGACGGGTGCTGTACAACTGCTGCTGCTGTTGTTGTTGTGTGACCCTCGCGTCCTCGAGACGTCTCAAAGCGCTTCACAGGATACGCTGTCCAGTGACATCGACACAAGCAGCAGTGGATTGGGGGATTACTCACCCACCCCCCCGGAACGTGATTCCCCAATTGACTAACAACCAGTTTCCTACTGATTGCTGATAAACAGAGGTGTCTGTGTGTATCTGTGTGTGTGTGTGTGTGTGTGTGGGTGGGGGGTGGGCGCGGGGGGAAGTAAGGAGACTTGCCCCAACCTTTCGCCCTCACCTGACCCACCCGGGAATCAAACCCGGGTCCTCTGGCTTGCGAGGTGAGGGGTCTAACCCCTGACTACAGGAGCTGTGGGGTGCGAGGCGAGGGGTCTAACCCCTGAGCTACAGGGGCTGTGGGGTGCGAGGGGAGGGGTCTACAGGGAGAGACTCCATGTTAGTGGCCTGAAATTGTACCGTTTCTTCCTCTGTAGGGATGTAGCCTACATCGGACTGTGTGACGATGGGTGTCTGGATTTGGCTGAGCTCCTTGGATGGAAGGTATTTTGTGGTTCCCTTACACCCTCCCCCCCTCGGCCCCCACCCCACACCCTCTCTCCCCTTAATCTCCAACACAGACACGATGGGTGGGAGAGAGAGAGAGATAGAGTAGAGAATGGAGTTAGAGGAGAGAAAGCTCTACCCTCCTCTGGGCTGAGTTGGAACTTGGGGATGTTGTGACTCTGTCCCTCTCCCAACAGGAGGAGTTGGAGAAGATCGTGTTGGCGGAACACACAAAGATAGACCAAGCCGCCCTGAGGCCCCACCGCAAAAGCTCTGTGGGCAAGAGGGTAAGCCAACGGGTTGGCAGAAGCGCAAGTTCATCATCAAGCGAGACCCAGGATTGAGGCCTTTGACACACACTCATGCACTCACGCACGGGGAGAGGGGAAATGACCAAAAACACAGTCAAAGAAGCAGATCTCGAGACGGACTTTGAATGGGGGGGGGGGGAGAGTGAGGGAATGAGGAAGAGGAGGGAGAGGGGGAGGGAGAGAATGGGAGGGGGGGAGAGTGCCAGAGAGGGAGGGAGGGGGGGTCAGGATGGCTGAAAAATCATTAACCTTTCCGACTAGGCTTGTTTTTGTTGCTGTTGAGTTGAACACTAACTTGAAATATAATTAGCGGCTGTTCTGGTTGATTGCAGTTTATTTGATTCTGTTTAAGCCAACCTGCGAGGAGATTCCCCCTCTCCCCCACCCCCCCTTTCCCACCCCCTCACCCCTCCGCGCCCCCCACCGAACCACCCCCTGATTTGATCCAATGAAGAACTTGAGAGCTGTGTGTGTGTGTCTGTGTGTAACCTCACATTGTATCTGCCTTCAGTCACCCTCCTACCCCCTATCCCCGCCCTCCACCCCTTCCTGATCCCAACCCCCAACTCGGGTCCAAACCCCTGACTGTCCAGCACCTTGGGACGTCCTCCCGACGTGAAAGGCAACGTGTAAATGTCGCTTGTTGTCGTGTAATCGCTGGGAAGCTAACCTGTTATTAAGCTATCGAATAAAACCACCAGTTAAACTGCACAGGATTCTGCATTTTTCCCCCCGGCCGGGTGTCTGACACCCACGGAAACCCGTCACCGTGACCGGCCGGGTGTCTGACACACACGGAAACCCGTCACCGTGACCGGTCGGGTGTCTGACACACACGGAAACCCGTCACCGTGACCGGCCGGGTGTCTGACACACGCGGAAACCCGTCACCGTGACCGGTCGGGTGTCTGACACACACGGAAACCCGTCACCGTGACCGGCCGGGTGTCTGACACACGCGGAAACCCGTCACCGTGACCGGTCGGGTGTCTGACACACACGGAAACCCGTCACCGTGACCGGTCGGGTGTCTGACACACACGGAAACCCGTCACCGTGACCGGTCGGGTGTCTGACACACACGGAAACCCGTCACCGTGACCGGCCGGGTGTCTGGCACACGCGGAAACCCGTCACCGTGACCGGTCGGGTGTCTGACACACACGGAAACCCGTCACCGTGACCGGTCGGGTGTCTGACACACACGGAAACCCGTCACCGTGACCGGTCGGGTGTCTGACACACACGGAAACCCGTCACCGTGACCGGTCGGGTGTCTGACACCCACGGAAACCCGTCACCGTGACCGGTCGGGTGTCTGACACCCACGGAAACCCGTCACTGTGGCTTAAGAGTCTCCAAACCCGACTGAGAATTCCCCACATCCCCTCCACACCCGGGAACCCCAGAGAGAGAGTGTCGGGATGGGATGCGCTCTCTCTCTCTCTCTCTCTCTCTCTCTCCCCTGGGTAACTGCTGGAGTCTAACCGGCTAAACCCACACACAGCTCGGCCATCGAGAGAGGTATTATTGTTATACCGACTCACACTCACTCACCCACTCACACATTCATTCACATTGATTCACACCCTCACTCACTCACACACACTCACACACACTCACACTCATTCACTCACACACTTGCTATTATTATTAGCTGATTCAGGTCTGGGGATTAGATGATTCAGGGCTTTAGATTGATTACCCCTCTATACAGCCCCCCACCCACCCCCCCCCCACCCCCACCCCTCACTCAAGGTAGTGTTTCCCCTTTATATACAGTGAATAGTGACCCAGATACAGAGATTTAGGCTTCGGGCTGGTGTTATCTCAGCCCGGGGTCAATCCACGAGGGTTTAACCACATTCACAATGTGTCAGGACGACTGGTCCTGATTTGTTCCTCGCCCTCTGGCTCCCGGAGCTTCTCTGCGGCTTGTGTTCAGTTTAATTAACGTTCGCTAATTTAAACACGAGATGTTCCCCGAACGCTCTGTACGTTACCAAGTTCCAACCGGGAGACCGGCAGAATAACATGCCGAGTGCGATTCCCTGGCCGGTCGCATTTATTCTAATAGTAATAATAATTATAATAATACAATAATTATAATATATAAGTTTCCTTACTCTGGCGTGTGGGACACTCAAATTTGCTGTCGAGTTCTGTCCACAGATCACACAGTAAATTCTGTGAAGCGCTTTGCGATGTCTCGACGACGTGATAAGGTGTCGCGTCGTACACCAGCAATATTCTTATGTTAATTAACTTTTATTTCTTAACTTGTTTTCCAAAAATACATTACATTGAAAATAGAGTACAAAGTTCTCCCTGTTTCCCCCCCTCTCCCCCCCCCCTTCCCCCAGGGCACAGGTTAGTGGTGGGGTGTGGGAAGAGTGAGAGAGAGAGCATTACACAGACACAAGCTCATACAGTGCAAAAAAAACTACAGACTCGGAGATACTGATCTTAATTTCAAAGCCCTGTACAGTGTAGTGACTGTGTGTTTTGTGGGACAAACGCGGCAGCCGATCGCGCCCGGCGACGTCCCCACAAACAGCCGTGGGGTTGAAGTGACCGAATTATTATTGTTTTGAGGGGATTATTACCCCCGGAAGGTGATCCCCCAATCGCCTGACAAGCGACTGACTGCCGGGGACACAGGCGCGTGTGGGGGTGGGGGTGGGGGGGGGGTAAGGAAACTTGCCTAAGGTTTCGCCCTGTCCTGACCCGCCCGGGAATCGAACCCGGGTCCTCTGGCTCGCGAGGCGAGGGGTCTAACCCCTCAGCTACATTCCTCCTGTACTGAGGCGGAGGGCAGCCCCAGTTCAATGCCCCCCTGTATCAGGCTGGTGGGGACGAGGGGGTTGATAATAGGGGCCGGGGGTGGGGTGGGGTGTGGGGGGCAACAGGCAAAGCCTGTGCGTGGTTGGCACGGGGGGAAAGGAGAACCAAAAGCTCGTCAGTGGGGCAGAGCAACTGGGGTTGAACCGTGCCCCCGCCCCGTGCGTTAGGAGGGCTCCAGCCACTAGAGGGTCCCGAAGGGAGGTGGGCTGCCGCCCCCCAGCCACGAGCCCCCCGAGACCCCTCTTTGCCCCCCCGGGCAGGGAGCCTGGCTTGTGCCAGCGACGGTGTGAAGCCAGGTTTGCTGGGCGCGCAAAGATCTTGGGGCAATCGGGGCAGCAGTATTCCGGGGGGATTATCCGGGAACAGTTGTGTTGAGCGAGAGCGAGGGAACCCGGGTATTCCTCCTTGCACAGCTGGCAAATAAATGCCCCCAACAGCCCCTCGAACGCTCCCCGTCTGCGCCCCGGACCGTTCCGGCTTAGGGTGGTCCCAGGTTCACGTCCGTGCCAAGGGGAGAGAGTCGCTGGGGGCCGGGGGCTATCCTGAGGTTGGTTGGGCTGTGAGCGTAGGCTCGAGGTTCCCCTGCCTCCTGTCGCGATTGGCTCAAGGTCACTCCCTCTCGGACCGTCCCCCAGCGTCTCCTCCCCAAGAGATCTCCTCGATCTCGGATGTCCGTCCGACCACCGATGTGACCTCTTGACCAAGAAGCCCTTCGGCATCTTCTCTCCAACCTCTCGGGCAACAATAACAGCAGCAACGACAACAATAACAACAGCAGCAACACATTACATTTACACGGCGTCTTTCACTGGACGGTCGGGGGTCTGGACACGAGCTGGTGGTTGGGGGGGGTGGAGGGGTAGGGGTAAGGGGTGGGGGGGGGTGCCAGAAGGTGCGGCTGAAGAGGGGCAAGCGAGGGAGATGGAGAGAGATGTCGGGGTGAACGCAATACCTGGTGTCTTGTCTCTCCAAACAGCTTCTGTTTGCCAGGAGGTCCCAGAATTTATTCATCGCCCTCCCAGCCACTGCCGCGCGCGCGTGTGTGCGTGTGTGTGTGTGTGTGCGCGCGTGTGTGTGTGGTGATGGCTTTAACACGTACTCCATTAGCACATGCGAGCTGTTAGGAATAGGAAGTCTCGCTTCGAGCTGAACGAAGCCCATTAACACCACAGCAACACAGCCTCGCAAACCAGAGGACCCGGGTGGGACAAGTCAGGGCGAGACCTCAGGCAAGTTTCCTCACTACAGATACACACACATACACGGACACGCACACGCACAGACACACGCGCACACACACGCGCGCCTGTGTCCCCGGCAGTCAGTCGCTTGTCAGGCGATCGGGGGATCACTTTCCGGGGGTAATAATCCCTTCAAAACAAAAATAATTTTGTCGCTTCAACCCGACGGCTGTTTGCGGGGACGTCGCCGGGCGCCATCGGCAAAACACACACACACACACACACAGTCACTACACTGTACAGTGCATCCTGTGAAACGCTTTGAGACGTCTCGAGGACGGGATCGGGCGTCGGGTCAAACTCCAGGATTATTATTATTATTATTATTGCTATTATTATGGAAGCCTTTCGGGCTGTGGGTTCCAGACCCTCACAGCTCTCTGGGGAAAAAAAAACCTGTCCTCCCCTCTGGTTCTTGTGCAGATCATCTTAAATCTGTGTCCTTTGGACCCCGCCCCACCCGCCCGCCAGAGGAAGCAGATCCCCCACTCCCCACCACCTACTGTGTCAAAACCCCCTCACGACTGTGAACCCCTCGATTAAATCTCCCCTCAACCTTCTCCGCTCCACGGAGAGCAATCACAGCCTCTCTGGTGTCTCAGTAGCTGATGTGGTTGTTAGTGACAGTCAGGAAATGAGCAAAACAACTTCACATCTCTCGCTCAGCTCAGCCGTTAATACATCAATCGCTCGCGCTCTCGCCTCCGAGTCTGGCTGTGGGTGTCAGCCCCGGCCCCCCTCCCCCCTCCCCCCCCCCTGGCCCCCCAGACACGATGGGAAGAGTGAGTGTGTGAAAGAGAGAGAAAGAATGGGGGGGGTTCAAGGAAAGAGAGCTCCAGTGTGGGGGAGCGAGCCCCAGCGCGGATACGATGGGGAGCGAGAGAGAGAGAGAGAGAGAGCAGGGGTTAGAGGAGAGAGCTCCAGTGTGGGGGAGCGAACCCCAGCGCGGACACGATGGGGAGCGAGAGAGAGAGAGAGAGAGAGCAGGGGTTAGAGGAGAGAGCTCCAGTGTGGGGGAGCGAACCCCAGCGCGGACACGATGGGGAGCGAGAGAGAGAGAGAGAGAGCAGGGAATGGGGTTAGAGGAGAGAGCTCCAGTGTGGGGGAGCGAGCCCCAGCGCGGACACGATGGGGAGCGAGAGAGAGAGAGAGAGAGAGCAGGGGTTAGAGGAGAGAGCTCCAGCGCGGACACGATAGGGCAAATGCGACTTCCTTTGAGCACATTTTAAGTGGGTCACACCTTTCAGACAGAGAAAAAAATGGGGGGGGTTTGAGAGACACGGAGATCGGTAACCGCACACACAGGTTTGCTGACTTTGCCGTATGTCCGTGCGCGTCTCTCTCTCTCTCTCTCTCTCTCAAGGGAAGGCTTGGACTCATAATTCGACCCGGCGCCTGATCCCGTCCTCGGGACGTCTCAGAGCTCCTCACGGGATACGCTGCGAAGTGTCGTGACTGTGCGTTTCGCGGGCGAAGCACGGCAGCCAACTGCGCCCGGAGACGTCCCCACAAACAGTCTGTGCGCGTCTGAGTGGGCGCGGGGGGGCTGAGGCGGGGGGGGGGGGGGGGGGAAGGTGGGGGAGTGAGGAAACTTGCCTAAGGTTTCGCCCTGACCTGACCCGCCCGGGAATCGAACCCGGGTCCACTGGCTGTGCGAGGCGAGGGGTCTAACCCCTGAGCTACAGGGGCTGTGGGGTGGGGGCGAGGGGTCTAACCCCTGAGCTACAGGGGCTGTGGGGTGGGGGGCGAGGAGTCTAACCCCTGAGCTACAGGGGCTGTGGGGTGGGGGGCGAGGAGTCTAACCCCTGAGCTATAGGGGCTGTGGGGTGGGGGCGAGGGGTCTAACCCCTGAGCTATAGGGGCTGTGGGGTGGGGGGCGAGGAGTCTAACCCCTGAGCTATAGGGGCTGTGGGGTGGGGGGCGAGGGGTCTAACCCCTGGAGCTACAGGGAAGCTCCACTTGAATCTTGAATGCAAAACCCCCGCCCTGCGCAAGCCCCCCCCCAAAAAACCCCCACCACCACCACACACTCACACACACACACAAACATGAAAGAGCAGTCACCAACGCCCGACCGGATATAATCGAATGCGATCAGACGCCGCTCTCGATGCTTGAAGTGTTGGGAGAGTTTTAATTACGGTGTCGTACTGTTTCCGACTGTTTTTCTGTGCGTGTGCGAGTGTGTGTTCACGTGTTCACGCGTTCGCCTGTACAAGTTCTTCGATAGGGTCTCTGCCAGTTCTGGAGGATAGCGTGTGAGATACAGTGGTTTTTTTTCCCCTCTCTCTCTCTCTCTCTATCTCTCTCTCTGACTTTCTTTGTCTCACTCTCCGTCTCTCTCCATCTCTGTCTGTCTCTCTCTCTCTCTCTCTCCGTCGACCGCAAACTGTTCGATGTGCCAAAGGGGGAACCTTAGCGCAGTCCTGACGGAGACTGAGTGGTGCTGATCGATGCCATGGAGGGGCCGGGTTGGCATCGAGAGTGACGCAGACGCTCTGCCCGCCATCACCCAACCCTTCATGAATACCGAGAGGACATCCTGTCGCCAAGACCCGCTGCCAAGCCATGACGTGCGGCTTTCGAAACCTTTTCCTTTCCCCCTTTGGACCTCTGTGACCTCCTGACCACCTCCCCACCACCCCTCCCAGCGCCCCCCCCACCCCTCCCAGCCATGGCCAGGTCAGGCCTTCATCCTCTCTGCCCCCTCCACCCTCTGGAACTCCATCCCCGCAGTCCCTCCGCCCTCCTCGCCCCGTCCCTCTCTCCCTCTCTCTCCATTCCTTCCTTTAAGACCCCCTTCTTCGACTGACTGCGCCTTCAGTCACCCTCCTACCCCCCCCCCCCCCACCCTCCACCCCTCCTGATCCCAACCCCCAGCTCGGGGCCAAACCCCTGATCGTCCAGCAAATGTGGGGACGTCCTCCCGACGTGAAAGTCTCCGTGTAAATGGGAGTTGTGGTTGTTGTGGTTGTTGTAGTGGTGGTGATGGTTGTTGTTGTTGTGGTGGGGGGTGATGGTTGTTGTTGTTGTGGTGGGGGGTGATGGTTGTTGTTGTTGTTGTCTGGCTCTGTCTGTGTTATTAATATCACTCATTATTACTAATTATTATTGTTGTTGTTACTGTTTGTGTTCAGCCTCCCGCCCCTGTGCAATGGCCGTCCGTCAGCCTGGCTCCGCGACCCCTCCCCTCAAGCCGTGACCTGCGACCTCTTGCCTAAAGCCATGACCTGCGAACTCTCACCTCAAGCCGCGCCCTGCAACCTCTTACCTCAGGCCAGCCTCAGTGACCTCTCACCTCAGGCCAAACGGAGTGACCTCTCATCTCAGGCCGCGACCCGCGATCTCTTACCTCAGGCCAACCTCAGTGACCTCTCACCTCCGGCCAGGCTCAGTGACCTCTCACCTCCGGCCAGGCTCAGTGACCTCTCACCTCCGGCCAGGCTCAGTGACCTCTCACCTCCGGCCAGGCTCAGTGACCTCTCACCTCAGGTCAGACTCAGTCTGTTTGAGAAGCTCAGGATGTCTCAGGGCATTTGGCTTCAGAGCGACATCGAACAATCAGATGTTCACAACGTCTTAGTGCGTCAGCCATTGGGGGTGAGTACCTCTCCAACAACTCATTCACCCAAGTGTAGCCCCTCCCAGAGTCTTGTCAGTGGCGGAGAACGAGACTGAGTCTCGGGGATTGGGGTGGGGGGGGGTTGTGGGTGGGGGCCGTGGAGGTGACTGTAGACACTGGTCGAAGAGTAAGGTCTTCAGGTACGATCTGAAGTTGGGGAAGGAAGGAACGGGGCGAGGCGGAGGGATTGGGGGAGAGTGGGACAGGATTTCGGAGCGCAGTGGGAGGAGCCGGGGGGTGAGTGGGACCATCAGGAGGCCAGAGCCGGTCGAGCGGAGGCAGCGGGTAGTGGGGTTGGGGTTTGGTGGGGGGGTGTTGTGTTGTTGGAGGGAGAGAAAGAGAGAGGGAGAGAGGTGGAGAGAGAGAGAGAGAGAGGGGGCGGGGGGGAAGGGAGCGACATTTCTGTGATGTTTTTCTCTTTGTAATTCCAGACGTTCCTGGTGTGGACGGACAAATGTGGGAAAAGGAAACTCGCGATGAGACAGAGCGACGGGAATAACCCAATCGTGACAGATTACATCATTCGGGAAGAAGCCGAAGGTGAATGAATTCTCCCCAGATCCCCAACCTGATCCCCTCCTGATCCCAAGCCCCGGCTCGGGTCCAAACCCCTGATGTCCTCCCGACGTGAAAGGCGCTGTGTAAGATGTTGGCCATTGCTGTTGTGGTCTAACCACTGGTTTGTCCTCTTTATTTGCAGTTTATTTCCTTGAAAATTCCCTCCTTGGATTCGGGGATTTGTTCCAGTTGATCGGATATTACTGTGTAAGCAGGTGAGCTCAGCCTCGCTCTCCACACCCTCCCCGACACTGCAAACCTTGCTATCTGGGTCTCTCAGCCTTGGCTCAGTCGCTCAGTCTCTCGCTCTCTCACCTTTGGGTCAGGAGCTTTGTGGGTTTGACCTCCAAACCACCACCCCCCCAGGGGAGTGGGGGACTAGTTGGGGTAAGAGCGCGGGGGAGTGGGGTTGAATTGGAAGCTCTTTCCAAACAGCCGGCACAGACACGATGGGCAGAATGGGGCTCCTTCTGCGCCCTAAGATTTCATAAGGTTGGAGAGAGTGACAGAGAGCGAAAGAGCGAGAGAGAGAAGGTGAGAGTGACAGAGAGAGAGAAGGTGACAGACAGAGAGAGAGAGAGAGAGAGATTGATGTTGTGAGCAAATGGACTTGCAAAAACAGGAAGCCACATAGTATAACTAGGAAGCTTTGCGGGCGGAGTGCGTGCGTGTGCGTGTGCGCGCGTGTGCGTGTGCCTAAAGTCAGTGTCTCTGCGGCTCTCTCACCCACAGGGATGTGCTGCCACACAGACTGTGCGTCCCCCCGGCTCTGCTCGAGCCCTCCCACTGCCAACCCGCCCTGGAGACGCTCTCCAGCCTCGGAATGAGTGAGTGTTTCGTTTCATCAGCAGTTACCGTCTCCGTCAGGTTATACACTTGTTGGTGGCTCCACTTCCTGCTTCTGCCGAGTCTCTCCCCTGTACCTCAGGGGTTAGACCCCTCGCCCCCCACCCCACAGCCCCTGTACCACAGGGGTTAGACCCCTCGCCCCCCACCCCACAGCCCCTGTACCACAGGGGTTAGACCCCTCGCCCCCCACCCCACAGCCCCTGTACCTCAGGGGTTAGACCCCTCGCCCTCCACCCCACAGCCCTGTAGCTCAGGGTTAGACCCCTCGCCTCGCACCCCACAGCCCCTGTAGCTCAGGGTTAGACCCCTCCCCTCGCACCCCACAGCCCCTGTAGCTCAGGGGTTAGACCGCTCGCCCCCCACCCCACAGTCCCTGTAGCTCAGGGTTAGACCCCTCCCCTCGCACCCCACAGCCCCTGTAGCTCAGGGGTTAGACCCCTCGCCCTCCACCCCACAGCCCCTGTAGCTCAGGGGTTAGACCGCTCGCCCCCCCACCCCACAGTCCCTTTAGCTCAGGGGTTAGACCCCTCCCCTCGCACCCCACAGCCACTGTAGCTCAGGGGTTAGACCCCTCGCCCCCACCCCACAGCCCCTGTAGCTCAGGGGTTAGACCCCTCCCCTCGCACCCCACAGCCACTGTAGCTCAGGGGTTAGACCCCTCGCCTCGTGAGCCAGAGGACCCGGGTTTGATTCCCGGGCGGGTCAGGTCCTTACTCCCCCCCCCCCCCCTCCACACACACACACACACACACACGCGCCTGTGTCCCCGGCGGTCAGTAGGAACCCACTTGTCAGTCGATTGGGGGATCACTTTTCGGGGGTAATAATCCCTTCAAAATAATAATAATTCGGTCACTTCAACCCCACGGCTGTTTGTGGGGACGTCGCCGGGCGATCGGCTGCCGCGTTCGCCCCCCAAAACGCACAGTCACTACACTGTACAGCGTATCCTGTGAAGCGCTTTGAGACGTCTCGAAGACGTGATCAGGCGCCGGGTCAAAGGCCAGAATTATTATTATTATTACTATTATCAGTGGGAAATCTCAGCCACGATTAATCCCTCTCCCTCTCTCCCTCCCTCTGTGTCTCTCTCTCTCTCCCTCTGTGTCTCTCTCTCTCTCTCCCTCTGTGTCTCTCTCTCTCTCCCTCTGTGTCTCTCTCTCTCTCTCCCTCTGTGTCTCTCTCTCTCTCCCTCTGTGTCTCTCTCTCTCTCTCCCTCTGTCTCTCTCTCTCTCTGGCCAGTTTTCTGGGACTCCCCGTTCAACTTGCCCGAAGACCCCCACCCACAGGTGCCATTGACCGTGACTGACTTACCCGAACCCAACACAGCCCCCACCCTGGAACTCTTAAAGGGCCATCTCCCCATGTGTTCCGTCACCGTCACGGCCGAAAATGGGGCCCTTTTCTTCATCAACCCCCTCTTCCTGAAGGAACACGGCGACATCTGGTTTCAGCACAGCCCGCGGCCCCCCGAAGACCCCCGTGAGGCCCCCCGATGTCCTCAGCCGGCCGTGGAGCCCGGAGACAGCCCCCCCTGCCTCCCCCAAGAGGGGAAGCAGCTCGGGGGCTCGGAGACGGAGCAGAAGCAGGCGCCAGAGACAACGACGAGGGCAGGTGAGTGTCCCAGGCTGGACTGACACTGTCGCTGTAGCTCAGGGGTTAGACCCCTCGCCTCGCACCCCACAGCCCCTGTAGCTCAGGGGTTAGACCCCTCCCCTCGCACCCCACAGCCCCTGTAGCTCAGGGGTTAGACCCCTCGCCTCGCACCCCACAGCCCCTGTAGCTCAGGGGTTAGACCCCTCCCCTCGCACCCCACAGCCCCTGTAGCTCAGGGGTTAGACCCCTCGCCTCGCACCCCACAGCCCCTGTAGCTCAGGGGTTAGACCCCTCGCCTCGCAAGCCAGAGGACCCGGGTTAGATTCCCGGGCGGGTCAGGTCAGGGCGAAACCTAAGGCAAGTTTAGGCAACCTGCTGTTGCCTCGGGCGTTGCTGAGCGCAAACCGGACTGTGGGGTCTGTGCTCAAACGCACGGTCACTGCACTCGAAGGTGACATCCTTGAGAAGCTCTTCGACCCGTCCTTCCCGAAGTCGCTGGATCGATCGGGAGGTTCATCCATTTCTCCTTCATTCATCTCCTTCAAGACCCTCCTCTTCAACCCGGTCTTCGGTCACCCTCCTACCCCCACCCCTCCACTGCCCCCCACACACCCCCAACCAGCTCAGGTCCAAACCCCTGACCGTCCAGAGCCTTGGGACGTCCTCCATTTGGTTTGGGAATAATTCCCTCTCTCTCTCTCTCTGGACCTCCTTAAAAGGGGATTCATCGCTCGAGCCGGCCAGCCAGAGTGGTGGGGACCACAGCCAGGCTGCTTTAAGGAGGAAGACCTTCGTGCGCAGGGCTGCCTGGAGCTGGGGCGAGGAGGTGGAGTCCGCGGGCAAGGCGGAGGCGGCCAGGGAGGAAGCCGGGGGCAGCCACAGTTTCCCGGCCCACTACCGGGCCTCCTGGCTGGAGGGATCGTCCCACCGGGAGCGGGCGGGAACGCTGACCAAATCCCGCTCGGAGAACTCGCTCTACGCCTGCGAGGCCTCGCTGCTGCCCCCTATCTGCGAGCTGGACTCACTCTCCCTGAGCAGCGTGGAGGAAGACACCGAGCCGACGGGAGGAACTTCGGTCCACCACAGGCAGAAGCGACACTCCACGGGCCTCACGGATAAGGTCCGCTTCCGCCTCTCTGCGGTCGGCCACGTCTTCACAGGCCTCATCTCCTCCGACCGGAAGGTCCGCAACAGGATCGTGGAGCTGGCTCAGGACAGGGGCTCCTACTTTGGGAACTTGGTCCAAGGGTTCATTAGCTACACCATAGAGAAAAAGGAGCAGGACACCACAAGCACCGAGTTCCTGCTGGAGATACATCAGATGCTGACCAGCCTGGGGAACTACCTGACACAGAGCTCCGAGCTCAATTTCCTCCTGGATCTGACAGACGAGGAGGGGCTCACAGGTCAGGCCCCAAACCCGGTCGCTCACCCCAACCACTCCACACCCCCCCCACCCCCGTTTCTGCCCGTAAACCACACGGTCTCCGTACCTCACGGGGCGTCCTGTCAAGCGCCTCGAGGCGTCTGGGTCAAAGGCCAGGGTTGTTGTTGGCTGTTGTGGTCTGTTCTCAGAGGCGAGAGTGAGCCGGGCTGACATGCACACGCACACACGCACGCACACACATGCACACACGCGCTCACACAATGCGCACACGCTCACACATACGCACTCACTCTCACTCACACCCACGCACACACACGCACGCACACGCACACACGCGCTCACACACGTGCACACTCACACAGTGGGTTAAGTTGGAGCTGAGGCCCTTTGATAGTTTCTCGCGGTAACTGAGTCTGTGTGTGACAATTCCGGGGGGGGGTTTGGGGACAGGAAATGGGGTGATGTCAACGGCAGTGAAGCAGAGGAAATTGACTGCGGTTTCCCTTCCTTCCCCTCTCTCTCCTTCCCTCCCCCACTTCCCCTCCCTCGCCTTCCCTCCCTCGCCTCCCTCCCTCCCTCCCCTCCCCTCCCTCCCCTCAAACCACACACACAGAAGCAGAAATTCCAATAAAAGGCCCCCAATTTCAACACCGTCCCTTGCGATGGGGCAACAGCCACAACACGTGGCACTTACGTGTTGGCTTTCACGTCGGGAGGACGTCCCCAAGTTTGCTGGACAGTCAGGGGTTTGGACCCGAGGGATCAGGAGGGGGTGGAGGGCGGGGAGGGAGGGAGGGAGGGTGGGGCAGGGGTAGGGGGGTGACCGAACCCGGGTCCTCTCACTACGGAGGTGAGCCCTCTAACCACTGAGCTACAGGAGCTGATATAATAATAATAATATAATAATAATAACCCCGGGGTTTGACCCGGCGCCTGATCACGTCAAAGCGATTCACGGGACCCACTGTAAAGTGTAGTGACTGTGCGTTTTGTGGGCCTAATACATTATTATATAATTATTATTATTATTATTATTATCCTGAGAGGCGGAAACCGATTCGATAACCACTTACGAGAGAGAGAAGCAGACAGGTATTTGGGGAGGACAGGTTTGCAGGAGGAGAGAGCGGGGGAGTGGGGACCAGTTGGGGTAAGAGAGGGGCAGTGGGAACTGTTTGGGGTAAGAGAGGGGGAGTGAGGACTAGTTGGTAGTTCTTTCAAAGAGAGGGCAAGGACATGATGGGCCGAATGGCCTCCTTCTGTGCTGTAAGGTTCTACGACTCTATGACAGCAGTGGGTCTATACCCCATGACGACCTCCCATTACACTGTGTGACGCTCTCTCTCTCTCTCTCTCTCTCTCCCGCTGCCGTGTTTGGCACGCACAATACACAGTCACTACACTTTAAGCGTGTGAAGCGCTTTGAGGCGTCTCGAAGGCGCGACGAGGCGCTGGGTCAAACGTGCGGATTATTATGATTCTTATTGTAACCCTCTCCGCCCTCAGACACAGCCATAGAGCGTGCGTTACACAAGTGTGTGCTGAAGCCTTTGCGGGAGTTTATCTTCGCCCGTCTGCTGATCTTCCACAGCAGGGATGGGACCTTGATGAAGTTGAAGGAGAACCAGGAGGTGGTTCGAGGCCAGAGTCTGGAGCAATTGGGGGTCACGGCCTGTGTCCCCGACTCTGTGGCCCTGGAGAAGATCCACAGCAAATTCCAGGCTATGTTCCTGCTCTACTCCCCCAGGAAGAAAATCACCCACCTCCTCAAGGCCTGCAAGCTCATCTATGAAGCCATGTCCGCAAACTCTGGTAGGGGTGGGACCTTCCTGATCATCATGGGGGCGGGGGAGGGGTGGGGTTTGGGGGGAGCACGGAGGGAGGGAGGAATCTCAGAGGCTCAGAGGAAGCCATTCAGCCTCTCCCCCTCTCCCCACCCGTCTGACTCTTGTCTCTATCCTTCTCCTCCCTAACCCCCCTCTTCTCCCCCTTCCGCCTCGCCTCCTCTTCCCTCCACTGACTGCATTCCCCCCTTCCCCTTGCCCCCCATCACCTCCCCCACCTCCCTCCATCCTCCCTCCCAGTTCTGGTCCCCATATTATAGCAAGGACAAGGGGATCCTGGAGAAGGGGCAGAAGAGGTTTTCGAGGATGATACCGGGGTCTAACTGCGAGGTCTTAACCGAGGTCTTTAAAACGATGAAAGGTTTTGATAGGGTAGAAGCCGTAGAGAAGATGCTTCCACTTGTGGGGGAGACCAAACCCAGGGTTAGTTGAGTAAGGAAACTTGCCCAATCTTTCGCCCAGACCTGACCCGCCCGGGAATCGAACCCGGGTCCTCTGGCTCGCGAGGGCAAGGGGTCTAACCTCCACGACTTGTCCTCATAATTCAACCCTTTAAGCCCTGGTATCACTCGGTTTGCGGTTGTTGTTGTCGTTGCAGGGAAACCTTATGGAGCAGATGATTTCCTGCCAGTCCTGACCTACGTTCTGGCTTTCAACGATGTGAGTAATCTCTCGCTGGATGTGGAGTATATCATGGAGCTTCTGAACCCAACCGAGCTGCAAGGTGAAGGTATCTATGCTTGTCGGCCTCCCTCCCCCAACTCCCCCCTCCACGGGCTGCAGGTCATCCAGAACCAACTCTGCAGCCCGTGTCCTCTCCCCCCACCAGGCTCCCCGACCCCATCACCCCCATCCTCGCCCCCACTAGGCTCCGTGACCCCATCACCACCCATCCTTGCCCGACTCCACTGGCTTCCCGTTCCCTCCCAGAGGATACAGTTCAAAGCCCCCCCCCCCCCTCACCGGGGGGAGGGGACCGTAGACACTGGTCGAAGAGGAAGGTCTTCAGGGGCGACCTGAAGATAGGGAAGGAAAGGTGGGTAAGAGGGAGGGAGGGAGGGAGGGAGGGAGTCTCCCAGCGCCTCATCACATCTTCGAAAGTCTCAAAGTGCTTCACAGGATACACTGTGGGGTGTTGTGACTGTTTAGTGGTTATTATTAGTAGTATTAGTATTGGATTATTATTATGACGATGATTATTATTAAGGGGTTGATTGATATTCCAGATGAAGATCTTGTGGTTGTGTTTGGTGTCTAGGGGGCTACTATTTGACCACTCTGTTCGGGGCTCTCTACCACATCAGACACTTTGAGCCGAGGACCTTGACTCGCAAGATCAGTAACGAGGCCAAGACCTCCATCCACCAGTGGCATCGTCGGAGAACACTACACCACAGCAAGTCCAAGAGGTGTTCCGCCAAGGTCAGTGCCCGCACAGGCCCTCGAGACGCCTCGAAGCGCTTCACGGATTATACCGTCAAGTGTAGCGACTGTATACTTTGTGGGCGGCAGCCAATTGCGCCCACAAAAGCCACGGTCACGACACTTCTCAGCCGGTCTGACCAGGTGGCTTTGAGACGTCTCGGAGGCCCGATAAGGCGTTGTGTTATCACCAACGCTGTCTCGCCTCACCCCGAGGGGTATTGATCGATTATCGGCGATTGATTATTGACCGTCTCGTTGGCAGGATTTACTCTACATCTCCTTCGGGAACTCTCAGTGCGATCAGAAGGCCATCATGGTACGAGAGAACGTGACCACAGCTGACGTACGCCAGCTTTTGGCTGAGAAGTACCAAGTCAATGACCCGAGCGGGTTCGGACTCTTTATCTCCAAAGGCCACGGCTTTGAGCTGCTGGAGGACAGCTGCTGTCCTCAGAGGGTTAAGGCCGAGCTGCAGGCCAGCGGAGAGAGGACACTGCATTTCGTGTACTGCCCGATCGACCAGCAGCAACTCTCGGCTGCCCCGTCCGAGATGTCGACTCAGCTGTGATGAGAGGGAGAGAGGGAGAGGGAGAGACGGACCGGGGGCTGGGAGGTGAGGGAATTCGATGGCAAGTTTCTTTACCGATTGGTTGGACGTTAATGGCAGTGAGTGGCAAGACCCACAACCCAACAGCCAATAATAGTAATAATAATAACCCCGGCGTGTGACCCGGCGCCTGATCGCGTCGGCGAGACGTCTCAAAGCGCTTCTCGCCCCTCGCCCCCAGCCCCTCGACGACTATTTAATAAACAAGATGGTTTCAACTCCCACATGGCTTCCTCTGTTCAATCTACTCCCCCTCACACACTGACACACACACACCTACCGACTCCCACACACTGACACACACACACACACACACAGACGCATAGAATATGGGGACCAGAACTGGACAGCGTTCTCCACGTCTGGTCTGACCCAAAGCTCCACAGGGCTCTCACCTTCTAGAAATGAACCCCAACCCCTCATATTTTTTTGTGGCCTTTATTGACTGCATCGTTATTGCCGGTGATTTGTGTCTCGGTTCCCCTCAATCCCTTTGGTCCTCGACCCCCTTTAGCTCCCACTCCCCACTGCAACCAACTCTCCAACCCCGACCCTTAATGACACGCGGGGGGATCACATCAATAATAATCCCCGGTGCGTGACCCGGCCCCGATCACGTCTTCGAGACGTCTCAAAGCGCTTCACGGGACACGCTGCAAAGTGTAGTGACTGTGTGTTTTGTGGGCGAAACTCGGCAGCCAAATTGCGCCGCCCAGCGACGTCCCCACAAACAGCCGTGGGGTGAGTGAGTGACCCAATTATTATTATATTTTTTTGCGGAGGGGAAGGGATTAAAGTGAGTGACTGTGTATTTTGTGGGAGACACAGTGGGGTGTGGGGAGGTTGGGGAGAGGGGGGGATGGGGGGGGGGTCAGTGTTCCTGATGTTTCTGGAGGAGAAAATCACAGCCTTTTTTGGGGGAAAAAAAGCTTCACAAGTTTAATGCCGGTGATTACATTCAGTGGTTTCCTTCCGGATCTTTCCGTGGCTGGTCCCCGGGAACAGCTCTCCGCGTCTCCTCGTCCCCCCTCCCCAACAACCGCCCCAACCCTCGCCCCAGTCGCTCCATCACCAGCTCTGCCGTCTGACACACACTGTGCTGTGGTGGGGAGAGAGGGGGTGAGAGAGGGGGGAGAGAGGGGGGAGAGAGGGGGGGGTGGGGGACGAGTGGGGGGGAGAGAGAGAGAGAGAGAGAGAGAGAGGTGGGGGGGGGAGAGAGAAGGGAGAGCGGGGAGGGAGAAAGAAGGAGACAGTGTGTTTGATTTACTTTTCTTCAAACAAACTGGTAATTTTATTGCAGGCAAAGGAGTGTGCGCGTGTGCGCGTGTGTGTGCGCGCGGAGGTGTGTGTGCGGAGGAGGTGTGTGTGTGCGGAGGAGGGGTGTGTGAGTGTGCGGAGAAGGAGTGTGTGCGCGGAGGTGTGTGTCTGTGTGCGGAGGTGTGTGTGTGTGGAGGAGGGGTGTGTGTGTGCGCGGAGGTGTGTGTGTGCGGAGGTGTGTGCGGAGGAGGTGTGTGTGTGCGTGGGTGTGTGTGTGTGTGGAGGAGGTGTGTGTGTGCGCGGAGGAGGGGTGTATGCGCGGAGGTGTGTGTGCGGAAGTGTGTGTGTGTGGAGGACGGGTGTGTGTGTGCGCGGAGGGGTGTGTGTGGAGGTGTGTGTGCGGAGGTGTGTGTGTGTGAAGGAGAGGTGTGTGTGTGCGCGGAGGTGTGTGTGTGCGGAGGAGGGGTGTGTGCGTGGGTGTGTGTGTGCGGAGGAGGGGTGTATGCGCGGAGGTGTGTGTGCGGAAGTGTGTGTGTGTGGAGGAGGGGTGTGTGTGTGCGCGGAGGGGTGTGTGCGTGGGTGTGTGTGTGCGCTAATCACCTGTAAGATGTGCAACCCTCTCAGTGACACCACAATGAGCTCACACAGTCCATCGCCGGTCAGGTCAGCATAGTCCAGTGACAGCAGCGGACTTTGGAAGCTCCTCTTCCACAGCAGCTGGTACTGACCCCGGGGTTCAGGCTGTGTCCCCCACTCCCCCGCCTCGGCCCCCAGGCCCTCCGAGGCCCAGTGCTTGTAACACAGCAGCTCCTAACAACAACAGCAGCAGCAACAACAAATTACACTCGTACAGAGAGCTTCACGTCGCAAAGGCGTCCCAGGGCACGGGGCAGTCAGGGACTTTGTGAGGGGGGGGGGGGGGGAGGTGGTGGTGTGAGTGAGATACATACATCATTGAGACTCCTCAAAGGATACACTGTAAAGTGTAGTGACTGTGTGTTTTGCGGGCGAAACAACAGGGAGGGGAGAGAGGGAGGGAGGGAGGGAGGGAGAGAGGGGCAGAGAAAGAGAGAGAGGGAGAGAGAGAGAGAGAAAGAGACAGAAGGGGAGCGAGCGGGTGGGGGGAGAGGTAGGGAGGGGGAAAGGGGGAGAGTGAGAGAGACAATTGCGTCCAGTGACGTCCCCACAAACAGTCCCGTGTGTGTTGTGGGTGTCTGGGGTACGGGGAGGGCTGTGAAGCCAGAGGTACAGGACCTAGCGACTTGCAAACCCCCCCCCCCCCCCCCACACGGGGACAGTGTCCCGCAGATCTCCATTACCTGCCCGTAAGTTCCCAGGAGGATTTCCTTCACTCCGTCAAAATCCACGTCGGTGACTAAGGCACAAAGGACGCTGTCAAACTGATCGCTTTCAGGTAAAATCCACTGATCAGCGAGACCATGCTTCAACACGTCCCTGAAACAAACGACAGGGAGTGTGTGTGTGTGTGTGTGTGTCTATGTGTCTGTCTGTGTGTCTATGTCTGTCTGTCTGTGTGTCTATGTGTGTGTCTGTCTGTGTGTGTCTATGTGTGTGTGTCTGTCTGTGTGTGTCTATGTGTGTGTCTATCTGTTTGTGTGTGTCTATGTGTGTCTATCTGTCTGTGTGTGTCTATGTGTGTGTGTCTATCTGTCTGTGTGTGTGTCTATGTATGTGTGTGTGTGTCTGTGGAGTAAGGAAACTTGCCCAACGTTTCATCCCAACCTGACCTGCTCGGAAATCGAACCCGGGTCCTCTGGCTCGCGAGGCGAGGGGTCTAACCCCTGAGCCACAGGGACACCACACAGTCAGTCATCGCTAACTGACCTGTAAACAACTGAGAGCTCGATAGTAGAGGTCACTAATAGGCTGTAATCTTCCAAACACTTTCCAACTTCATCCTTCCAGGAAACTGTACTGAGAGAGAGAGAGAGAGAGAGAGGAAGGGAGGGGGGAGAGTGGGGGGAAGAGGGGGAGGAGGAGAGAGAGGTAGGGGTGAGAGAGGGGGAGAGGGAGAGAGAGACAGAAGGGAAGAGAGTGGGGGGAGGGAGAGAGGGGTAGGGAGGGGAGAGTGACAGGGAGGAGGAAAGGGAGAGAGAGAGAGAGGGAGGGAGGGAGAGAGGGAGGGAGGGAGGGAGAGATAATAATAATAATGTTTTCGAAAATATTCTTGTCTCAAAGCGCTTCGCAGTTTCACTGTGAGCTCCGGCCTGCTTCACGCCCCCCGCCCCGGCCTTCAAGCACTCTGCCCCCCACCCTCTGGAACTCCATCCCCGCAGTCCCTTTGCCTCGCCCCCTCCCTCGTCCCCTTCAAGACCTTTCTCTTCGAGTGTGCCTTCGATCACCCTCCGAAAGGCACCGTGTAAATTTTACATGTTGTTGTTGTTGTGTTCATGTGCAAAGCTGCCCCCTCCCTCACCACTGACCTGTGCTGGGCCGGGGGGCCGGGGGGCTGCGAGTATCTCTGCCCGAGCTCGATAACGTGAAGAGGAGGACAGTGGAGATCGGCCCGTCCTGCTGAATGCTCCAACTCTGGAGGATCTCTGCCGGAGAGAGAGAGTGTGAGTGAGAGAGAGATAATGAGAGAGAGAGAGGGGGAGAGAGACGGAGGGATTCGAAATGTCTCAGACCTTTTGTGTCCTGGTTGACGTGGGAAACACTGACCAGCCCACTCTGGCAGCCATAGGCGGTCAGTCTCCTGGGCTGGGAGCTGCCCGCAATGTTCACCACATCCAACCACAGCACACTGTACACAGAGAGAGAGAGTGTCAGCCCTTACACACACACACACACACAGTACACAGAGAGAGAGTGTGTCAGCCCTTACACACACACACACAGTACACAGAGAGAGAGTGTCAGCCCTTACACACACACACACACACAGTACACAGAGTGTGTCAGCCCTTACACACACACACACAGTACACAGAGAGAGTGTCAGCCCTTACACACACACACTGTACACAGAGAGAGAGAGAGAGAGAGAGTGTGTCAGCCCTTACACACACACACACACTGTACACAGAGAGAGAGTGTGTCAGCCCTTACACACACACACAGTACACAGAGAGAATCAGTCCTTACACACACACACACTGTACACAGAGAGAATCAGTCCTTACACACACACACACTGTACACAGAGAGAGAGAGTCAGCCCTTACACACACACACACTGTACACAGAGAGAGAGTCAGCCCTTACACACACACACACACACACACTAGTGAGTGAGCCAGGCTGACACCTGTATCTCAGTGAGGAGGAGGATGATGATGATGATGGAATAAGACCTTACTGACTGGGTAACTCCGTCAGCTCCGGGAACAGCATCTCTATCGGCCATTCCTCAAACTGGTGCAGAGCGCCGTTCTGTTGGGACGACAACAAGCAGAGAGGCCATTCAGCTCCCGGGGGAGGGGGGAGAGGGGTACGCTGGGGCCGGGACCCAGTGGGGTGGGGGGGGGGCGCCACAGCAGGGGGCGGAACCAGGCGAGACACTCACCTCTTTGTACAGGTGGATGCGCTGATCATGGCCACTGAGTAGGAAAACTGTCTCGTATTGTCCGCTACACCTCACCCTGAGCATCATCATCATCACAGGAGAGAGAGAGAGAGAGAGAGAGACAACAACAACACATTACATTTACACAGAGTCTTTCAGGTCGGGCCGGACGTTTCCCCCCCAAGTTTGCTGGACAGTCAGGGGTTTGGGGGGTTGGGATCGGTCGGGCGGGTGGGGGGTGGGGGGGTGGGAGGGTGACCGAAAGCGCGGTCGAAGAGGAGGGTCTTGAGATGGGAGGTGAGGGAGTGGGGAGGGAGGGAGAGAGACAGAGAGAGAGAGAGAGAGAGATACGGACAGAAGGAGAGAGCAAGAGACTGAGAAATGGAGACAGACAGCGAGAGAGAGAGAGCAAAAGCTTGGACTCACACATGCACACACAGACCCCCAGACACACTCACAAACGCCCCCCCCCCAGACACAGACAGACACAAAGACACACACACACAGACCCTCAGACACACTCACAAATACACACCCCCAGACCCAGACCCAGACCCAAACACACACACTCCCCCATCCCAGTCACGGACACAGATTTACTTACTCCACGTGGTAAAGTTGGAAGGGAGTGAACTGAAGCTCCAGATTCAAGCAGCTTTCTACAAACACAGCAAAACATGGGCAAGATTACAGTACCCCAGGGCACAGCCACCACCCCCCCACCCCCCTCTCTCCCTCTAGGGCACAGCTCCCCCAACCAGATCCCCCCTCACCCCCTCCCTCCCTCCCTCCCTCCCAGGGAACAGCAGATGCAGCTGCTTAGGATACACTGTGAAGTCTATTTTGTGGGCTGTACATTTTGTTGACTGTATGTATTAAATGCGTGGATCAGGGTGTGTGTATGTGTGTGTGTGTGTGTGTGTGTGGGGGGGGGGGGGGGGGAGTAGGAAACTTACCTAAAGTTTTGCCCTGACCTGACCCGTCCGGGAATCAAACCCGGATCCTCTGGCTCGCGAGGCGAGGGGTCTAACCCCTGGGCTACAGGGGCTGTGGGGTGCGAGGCGAGGGGTCTAACCCCTGAGCTACAGGGGCTGTGGGGTGCGAGGCGAGGGGTCTAACCCCTGAGCTACAGGGGCTGTGGGGTGGGGGGCGAGGGGTCTAACCCCTGAGCTACAGGGGCTGTGGGGTGCGAGGCGGGGGGTCTAACCCTGAGCTACAGGGGCTGTGGGGTGCGAGGGGAGGGGTCTAACCCCTGAGCTACAGGGGCTGTGGGGTGCGAGGGGAGGAGGGGTCTAACCCCTGAGTTATAAGGATTTAATACCAGAGTTTACATTGATTGAGGGGTTGGGGCAGTGGCAATGCTGCGGAGTTGTTGTTGTTGTTGTTGTTTGGGTCTGTGGTACTCACGGGCGATCGAGTCCAGATTGTATTCCGATCCAGGTTCGTAATCACAGTAGATATTAAGGAACGGACTCGCTTTGTCCCCGGAATCCTGTGGGAGAGGGAAGCGAGTAAACGACAACGGCCCTCACGCGGGACCCCGGGGCCCCATCGCGTCGTCGAGACGTCTCAAAGCGCTTCACAGGATTACACTGGCAAGTGTAGTGACTGTGCGCGCGCGTCGTGGGCCAAAACCTGGCAGCCAATTGCGGCTCAGCGACGCACCCCCCCCCCCCACACAAACAGCCGTGGGTTGAGCCTCATCCTAACCCCCAACTCCCCAGCACTGGGCAGGCAATGAGCTCAGAGACAGACCGGTTCGCCCGGACCCTCTGAGACCACGACCACGAGACGTCAAGGAGCGGGAGGAGGCCATTCAGCCCCTCGAGCCTGTGCCCCGCCATTTAATGAGATCCACGGCCGATCTCCTAACCCAATTCCATTTACCCGCCCCGTCCCCCCCCCGATGCCTCAATCCCCTCGATCCTTGTCCTGAGTGCGTCACAGGTCCCAGCGATCTCACCGCGGAGACACGACACGAAGACAAGACCCCCCGGGGACGGCCATTGAAGACGTTTACCTTAATAAACGTGATCCCCACCACCAGACCGCCTTTGGGGGGCGACTTGTTAAAAGCGTCGATGGAAACAATTTCTGCGTCGACTGAGAGAGAGAGAGAGAGAGAGAGAGAGAGAGAAGTTCAGAACCTCGGTCCTGCCTCAGCCTCGCACAGGGCACACGGAAAGGTGCAGTGACTGTGTGGTTTGTGGGCTGGGGCGGTGGGGAGGAGGAGGGGCTTATTAGTGGGGTTGGGGGAGGGGCTTATTGTCTGGGGAGGGGCCTATTACCAGGGAGGGGGGGCCTGTTGCCTGGGGTTGGGAGGCGTGGCCTGTTGAATGGGGAGGGGAGGCGGGGTCTGTTACTTGGGGAGGGGAGGTGGGGCATGTTGCCTGGGGATGGGAGGCGTGGCCTGTTGGATGGGGAGGGGAGACGGGGCCTGTTACGTGGGAAGGGGAGGCGGGACCTGTTGCCTGGGGATGGGAGGCGGGGCCTGTTGCCTGGGGAGGGGAGGCGGGGCCTGTTGCCTGGGGCTGGGAGGCGGAGCTTGTTACATGGGGAGGCGGGGCTGTTGGATGGGGAAGGGAGGCGGAGCTTGTTACATGAGGAGGGGAGGCGGAGCTTGTTACATGGGGATTGGAGGCGGAGCTTGTTACATGGGGACAGGAGGCGGAGCTTGTTGCCTGGGGATGGGAGGCGGAGCTTGTTGCCTGGGGATGAGAGGCGGAGCTTGTTGCATGGGGAGGCAGGGCCTGTTGGATGGGGATGGGAGGCGGAGCTTGTTACATGGGGACGGGAGGCGGAGCTTGTTACATGGGGACGGGAGGCGGAGCTTGTTACATGAGGAGGAGAGGTGGAGCTTGTTACATGGGGATTGGAGGCGGGGCCTGTTGGATGGGGATGGGAGGCGGAGCTTGTTGCCTGGGGATGGGAGGTGGAGCTTGTTACATGGGGATGGGAGGCGGAGCTTGTTACATGGGGACGGGAGGCGGAGCTTGTTACATGGGGACGGGAGGCGGAGCTTGTTACATGGGGACAGGAGGCGGAGCTTGTTATATGGGGACGGGAGGCGGAGCTTGTTATATGGGGACAGGAGGCGGAGCTTGTTATATGGGGATGGGAGGCGGAGCTTGTTACATGGGGAGGCGGGGCCTGTTGCCTGGGGAGTGGAGGCGGAGCTTGTTACATGGGGATGGGAGGCGGAGCTTGTTACATGGGGACGGGAGGCGGAGCTTGTTACATGGGGATGGGAGGCGGAGCTTTGTTACATGGGGAGGCGGGGCCTGTTGCCTGGGGAGTGGAGGCGGAGCTTGTTACATGGGGAGGGGAGGTGGAGCTTGTTACCTGGGGAGAGGAGGTGGGGCCTGTTACCTGGGGAGAGGAGGCGGGGCCTGTTACCTGGGGCGGGGCCTGTTACCTGGGGAGAGGAGGCGGGGCCTGTTACCTGGGGCGGGGCCTGCTACCTGGGGAGAGGAGGCGGGGCCTGTTGTCTGGGGGCGGGGCCTGTTGCCGGGGGGGCGGGGCCTGTTACCTGGGATGTAGGTGAACTGAACCTCCTTTGCCAGGGGCCTGATTTTCTGTCGGAGGCTCTGGTACCTGAAGCTGATGACTTTGCCCTTCAGGGTGGCCGCCAGCAGGTCGTGGCCGCCCTCGGGTTTGGCGAAGGCCGCCAACCCGTACATGTTGCTCTGCGACGACAGGCGGCTGAAGCTGTCCTCCAGCAGCGGGCAGCGGGCGCTCGCCGGCGCCTCCATCCGGGGGTGGGTGGGGGGGGAGGGGGCGGGAGGGAGGGAGGGAACCGTCGTCGTCAACAGCAACTGCAACCGCCAGACCGCGCCGCCCCCCTCCCCCCTCCTTCCCGCCAAGGTTTTGCTGCGGGCCACGGCGCGTTCGGATGACGCGTCGAAGCGACGGGAAAAAAAAGCCAGCGTCGAAGATGGCGGCCGCCGTCTGCCATGATCAAAGATGGCGGCCGGCTGCCCCCGCCAGCGTCAAAGATGGCAGCCGCGGCGGGCGTTTGTTGCCAGTATAAAAGATGGCGACCGCCGTGGTTTTGCCAATATCAAAGATGGCGACCATGCACTTGCCACCAATGGACTCAGGTGGAGCGAAGGTCTCACGTGGACCTCATTATAATAACAATAACAATAATAATCCTTGTATTTGACCCACAGCGCCTTATCACACCTTAGACACGTCACAAAGCTCTCCACAGGATGCGCTGTGTGTTTTGCGGGTGAAACTGTCGTGGATTGAAAGTGACCAAATAATTACTATTATTATTTTATTTTGAAGGGATTATTATCCCCCGGAAAAGTGATCCGCCCATCGACTAACAACTGGGGTCCGACTGACTGCCGGTAAACAGAGGCGCGCGTCTGTGTGTGTGTGGGTGAGCAAGGAAACTTGCCCAACGTTTCGCCCTGACCTGCCGGGAATTGAACCCAGGTGTCTCGCTCTAACCACTGAGATACAGGACTCCAGATATAATCGGTGGCTCACCCCACGAATGTGGGACGTCGCCGTGCGCAAACTGCAAACACTGCGAGTCCCGCCCAGCACCGACAGAGCAATTAATAATAATAATAATCCTTGCATTTGATATAGCGCTTTTCACGTCGGGAGGACGTCCCAAAGCGCTTCACAGAACACACTGCAAACTGAATTGACTGTATATTTGTGGGCGAACGCGGCAGCCAATTGCGCACAGCAATGTCCCACAAACAGTCGTAAATTGAAAATGACCCAATTTATTATTATTTTTGGTTTTTGGAGGGATTATTATTAGGCTCTGTGTGGAGTAAGGAAACTTGCCCGAGGTTTCGCCCTCTGCCTGGAATTGAACTCAGGTCTCTCGCTTGCAAAGCGAGTGCTCTAACCACTGAGCTACAGGACTCCAATTAAGTCCTTAATCAAGGGATTCTGATCGCGAGTTGGAAGAGAAAGAACGGGAGACATTAAAAGATGGTCAAACATTCTTTTTATTGGGAGTACAGGCACACAGCTGTGTACAGATGATGATAATAATTCTTGCGTTCGATATGGGGCGTCATCATGTCGTTGAGACGTCTCAAAGCGCTTCACAGGATACACTGTAAAGTGTCGCGACTCTATATTTTTGCGTGCGAAACCCGGCAGCCAATTAATTGCGCACGGCAAATGTTAAGTCACCAAAACAAAAACGGGTGGCTTTATAAATATCTCGGGATAAATGCTTTCTTTGCCAACGCGAGTTTCTACCGCAGGCAATTAGTGTTCGTAGTATTTACAGGACTCTGTAAAAAGTCAGAAACTTCCATGCCTTTGCCACTCTGTTCAACTGTACAGACATCTGGGCTCAATGCTCTCTACGTTTTTTAGTCTAGCAAATACAGCGGGGGGTCCGAGAGAGGGGGGAAAAAAATCACATTGGCCGTAGATCCGATCGGAAATGAAACTCGGGTTTATTTTTTTTTCAGTGGCGACGGTTTACGTCGGGACCACGGTTCTGTATCGTCGTCCCTCTCCCTACTCACTCCCTCCCTCCCTCCACTCTCACAGAAGTCACTGGAAGTTAGGTGAAAATATTGTGGTGGAGGCGGGGGCTTGAGTTAATAGGTTGACCCCTTTTAAGACAGGTGAATCGTTGGGTTGCATGACAGGTCCAATCAGAGGTGAGAAAGGCCCCCCCACCCCAAGGAGAGGGGCAAGATGGGCCTCGTTGGGGGTTGGGGCGGCTCGGAAAACTGGCTGTGGTCCCCCTCAGGGCATCCCCCCTCCTAGCTCCCTTTAAAGGGTGATGGCAGATTGACGTCATGGTGGAGGGGTCTGGGACCACCTATGGCCAACGGTTGGGTAGCTCTGATGAAGGACAAGGTACCTGGTATCACACCTCTCTCTGTCTCTCTCCACCACTTCCACCCCCCAACTCTATGCCATGCGCCATCGCTGAGGCTATAGGTTGCAATCTACGCCTCGCGCAGGTGGAGAAAACGCCAAAAAAAAGCCGAGGCAATGTGGAAATCACCGGGGAATCACAATCTCAGCTGATGCTGAGACCAAACCCCCTCAAGCGCCTGGGAACCCATGTTCAAGGCATCAAACAGCATCCACTGCTCTGACGAAAGCTCATCGACCTGAGACGTTAACTCACTTCCCCTCCCCACCCCCTCTCTCTCCATAGATGCTGCCTGACCTACTGCGTGTTCCCAGCCACTTTGCTCTGTTTTCCTTCCCCCCCCACCCCATTCCTCCCCCTCCTCTCCTCCCCCCCACTCAAGCTCGCTCCTTAAATGCTTCAGCAAAAAAAAATAATAAATTTTTTTTTAAAAAATTGCTCGACAGAATGGGAAACTAACATCGACGGAAACGCAAGAGAATGATTATAATATTAAATCCTTCCGTTTTGACATCGTTCATTCAGCACGTTCGTACCTCGAATGCCGTGGCTTGCAGTGAAATGGAATAAAGGTGAAAAGGCTTTAAGGCAGAGAGAGTCACGTGTTGTGTGGCTCCGTCTCTCTCGGTGGCTTGTCTTGCTCTCTCTCTCTTTCTCCCTCCCCTCCATCAATATTTTTACAAACAATCTGGGGAGACTGGGTGGTGGGTGGGGGTGGGGGAACGGGGAAGCTGGAAGACGCTGTGGACAATACGCTGACACCCAAAAGTTAGGGAAGCACATAAATCAGAGAGAGAGAGATAGGTAGAGAGACTTAGACGGGGGGGGAGAGAGAGAGAGAGACAGAAGATGAAGGGGCATCACAGAGACACACACCCACACACAGACAGACACACACACACACAGATAGACAGACAGAGAGGGAAAGGGAGAGAGAGAGAAAATGGAGGGGAGAGAGAGAGATAAAACTGGATTGGGGGGGGGGGGTTAAGCAAGCCAAACCTGCAGGTAAAAGGAGACAGTTTCACTGCGGATTAAAGGCGAAAAATTGAGCGAAACAATCCCATTGCTGGAATGTTCCCTCCTCCACGTTTTTCGATTTGCAGGTTTTTTTTTGCAATGAACCAGATCAATAATGTCCCCCCACTCCCCCCACTCTCTCTCTTTCGGCCCCCAAACCCACTCCCATCCCCGGTGAGGTGAAGGGAGGGGGTGGGAGGGGAAGAGGGAGACGAGGGGAGAGAGAGTCTCTAACGAAGGTCACTTTCCTCGCCCTGGATAGTCTTCTTGATGCGAAGCAGCATTGTGGTCAACCACTGATCTAACCTCGAGATCGAGTCATATTCCTTTACCTACGGAGCAGAGAGAGAGAGAGAGAGAGTGTTACGTGTTGGAGATCGGTTCGGGGATTCAGTGGAGTCTCTCCCTGTAGCTCACGGGTTAGACCCCTCGCCTCGCACCCCACAGCCCCTGTAGCTCAGGGGTTAGACCCCTCGCCTCGCACCCCACAGCCCCTGTAGCTCACGGGTTAGACCCCTCGCCTCGCACCCCACAGCCCCTGTAGCTCAGGGGTTAGACCCCTCGCCTCGCACCCCACAGCCCCTGTAGCTCAGGGGTTAGACCCCTCGCCTCGCACCCCACAGCCCCTGTAGCTCAGGGGTTAGACCCCTCGCCTCGCACCCCACAGCCCCTGTAGCTCAGGGGTTAGACCCCTCGCCTCGCACCCCACAGCCCCTGTAGCTCAGGGGTTAGACCCCTCGCCTCGCAAGCCAGAGGACCTGGGTTCGATTCCCGGGTGGGACAGGTCAGGGCAAAACCTTAGGCAAGTTTCCTTACTCACAAACCCAGGTCTCTCGCTTGCGGGGCGAGCGCTCTAACCACTGAGCTTCAGGGACTCCACTATATAATATATATATAAAACTTATATTAAATGTAAGGATTATTATTACGATTATGATTATAAGAAGCCCGGTCTGACTGATTGGCAAACCCTGGTACGTACAGCATCGGTGTAGCCTTCCACGTTTTGCTCCTCACAGGCATCGAGCAGCTTCTTGACCAGTTTGCACTCTCTGGAGTCAGAGAAAGCCGGAAACATTTCCTCGTATTTTGACACAGCAAACTGAGGAGAAAGCGACGGAACGCTTAACACAACAGCAACAACAAAATTACATTTGTATAGCGTCTGTCACGCCGGGAGGACATCCCGGTTGGTTATTTTCCGGGGGTAAAAATAATCCCTTCAAAAAACAATAATAATAATAATTCAGTCACTTCAGCCCATGGAGGGCGGGCGGCAAAATGGCGACAACGGTTATTTGTTTGTGGCGCAGTCTCACCTTGGCGTTCAACATGTCCACACAGAAGTGGCAGAGGGAAGCTTTGAAGAAGTATTCCTTGGCACTGTACTTCAGTAAAGGGCTGTCCATCGCACTGGTGCCAACCTACAGGTTACAGAGACACCGGGCTCACAACAACCACCACTTACATTTACACGGGGCCTTTCACGTTGAGAGGATGTCCCAAGGCGCTGGACAATCAGGGATCAGCACCCGAGCTGGGGGGGGGTTGAGGGGTAGGAGAGTGACTGAAGGCGCGGGCGAAGAGGAGGGTCTTGAGACAGGCCTTGAAGGAGGCGAGGGAGTGAGGGGGTGAAGTGGAGGGACTGTGAGATGGAGTTCCACAGGGTGAGGGGGTCTGATAGTGGGGCGAGCGAGGCGGGGGAGGTGGAGCAGGCTGGAGCCCGCTGAGCGTAGGTCAATAACACACCGCTGGGTGCAACTGGCTGTCGTGTTTCGCCCACAAACTACACAGTCACTGCACTCGACAGCGTGTCCCGTGAAGCGCTTTGAGACGTCTCGATGACGTGATGAGGCGCCAGGTCAAACCCCGGGATTATTGTTATTATTATTATTATGATCCTTTCGCTCACTTGTTCGTAGATTTCGATGGCTTTGGGATACTGTTCGAGCTGGGCGGCATACGTAGCCACTTTCAGCAAACACTTGTTGGCGGAGCTGCGGAGAAAAGCAAAAGGTTACTGAAGAGACGAGTTTATTCGGGTCAGGTCAGCTCTCACGGGGGAACGGGATACACGGAGACTCGGAATCACACACCAGGGACACAAAACCCTCTGTCTCTTCAGGACCCAAACCTATCCGCTCCGCTCGGACACCCCCACGCCCCCACACAGGTAAAGTAAAGCGACACCAACCTGTTAGACTCCTCTCCTTTGTAGTAATCGGCTGCTTGTTCGTAATGAGCGATCGCCTGGAAGTTCATGAGAAATCGGGACAAGTCAAAGGTTACACGTTCAACCTCCCCACCCCCCCCCACCGCCACCCCCAAGCTAGCACTCCCCAGTTTACAGCAAGGATTAATAATAATAATAATAATCCTTGTATTTGATATAGCGCCTGATTATGTCTACTGTTTAAATGAGAGCTTTAGTAAGCGCCAGTCCCAAGACGTACCTTCTCCACATCCACCAACTCTGTCTCGTAGATCTCCGCGATCGATATATGATGCTTTGCCGCTATTGTAAACCGGCCCTGGAGACAACAGGGAGGGGTCGGAGACACACAGGAGCTTAGACTGACTGCAACACCTTATAGCAGGCAAAATTGAACTGTATATTAATAATAATCCTGGCATTTGCCGCAGGGCTTCATCACGTCGTCGAGACGTCTCAATGCGCTTCGTGGGATACACCGTAAAGCGTAGGGACTGTGTATTTTGCGGGCGAAATGCGGCAGCTAATTGCGCCCAGCACTCCAAAATGCAGGTAAGAAGCATGCGTCCATCTAGGGAGAGACAGAGAGAGAGCGCATTCCATCCAGACAATCTCTCTCTGGGGTTTCCAGGTGTGGGGGGGATGTGGGGAATTCTCACTTGGGTTTGGAGACTCTTAAGCAACGTGTCAGACACCCGGCTGATCATGGTGACGGGTTTCCGTGTGGGTCAGACCCCCACAAGGGGCTGACCCCCAAAAAACACCAAATAAATAAGATGAAGGATAACAATTTGAATACTGAGTACAATTTCTGCAGTTGAGAATTCATCGTCTTACCATGTCTGTGTAAATCTCTATAGCCCTGTTCAAACAATTAATGGCCTCTGAAACAAGGAAACACAAGTTAGAATGCATAGTAGGGTTTAACAGCACAGTTAAGTATAATAATAATAATAATGATAATCCTCGCATTTGATACAGCGCCTTATCGCGTCTTCGAGACGATTCATAGCGCTTCCCAGGATAGGGGAGTAAGAAAACTTGCCTAAGGTTTCGCCCTGACCTGACCCGCCAGGGAATTCAACCCGGGTCCTCTGGCTTGCGAGGAGAGTGCTCTAAATCACCACCACCAGCAACAACTTGCATTTTTATAGCTCACGTAAAGTGGGGTAACTTCCCGATCTGCTACGCTACGGAAACATTTTTTCCGACCTCATGACCATCCGGAGGATCCAGAGGGAACGAACGCAAGGCCGGAGGGAATTAAGAGCAAAAAGAGAAACACGTTACCCTGAGGATCGGACTTCTTGAAGGCATTCCCTGCGTCCACAAAATTGGTGGCTGCATCGTGTTTGCTCTGTAGCTGGAGGTGAAGCCTGGCGGCCTGACAGAAGGCATTGCCTGCAGCTAAAAGTCGCAAAGAGACATTAGGTGAGCCTGATACTGTCAACAACAACAACAAATTACATGTGTATCGCGCCCTTCACGTTGGTAAGATGTGCCAAGGCGATGGACAGTCAGGAGTTTTGGACCCGAACTGGGGCTTGGGGTCAGGAGCGGTGGAGGGGAGTGGGAGAGTGTTCGAAGGCATGGTTGAAGGAGGGTCTTGAGACGTGTCTTGAAGGAGGTGAGGGAGGGGGTGAGGCAGAGGGACTGTGGGATGGAGTTCCAGAGGGTGGGGGCAGAGTGGCAGAAGACTGCCTGCCAATAGTGGGGCGAGCGAGGCAGGGGACGTAGAGCAGGCTGGAGCCCGCTGAGCAGAGGGAGCGGGCCGGGTGGTAGGGGGTTAGGAGGTGGCAGAGGTCGGGGGGAGCAAGACCATGGAGGGCTTTGAAGGTGAGGACCAGGATCTTGAACTGCATCCTCTGTGTGATGGGGAGACAGTAGAGTCGGGCGAGGATGGGGGTGATGGGGTCGGGGAGCCTGGTGCGGGGAGAGGACACGGGCTGCAGAGTTAGTTCTGGAGGATCCGCAGCCCGTGGAGGGAGGAGTTGGGTGCGAGTCACACTCAGTTTGTGAAGGGCAGCACGACTGGCGAGATGAAGCCGGGCCGGGCTGACTCTCTCTGCACTTACCACTCCAGTTTTTGGCCATTTTGAACATGTTGCCCGCTCTGCAATACATCTCGCACGCTTCCTCCACCTTAGACGATCCCCTGAGACGGAGACGAAGCCAGATGTTGAAGCAGCTCAACTTTTAATGACGCATTACAATAATAATAATCATTGCATTTGATGCAGCGACTTCTTTGAGAAGTCTCAAAGCGCTTCACAGAATATACTGTAAAGTTAACTGACTGTCTATTTTGTGGGCGAAACGCGGCAGCCAATTGCACACAGCAGCGTCCCCCACAAACAGTCGTTTATACCAACAAGTCATTATTATTAATAATAATAATACTCATTGTGGATTCCTGTAGCACAATGGTTAGAGCAACGACGACAACAAATTACACGTGTATAGCCCCCTTCACGTGAGAAAGACTGAAGGCGCGGTTGATCGAAGAGGAGGCTCTTTAGACGGATCTTGAAGGAGGCGAGGGAGGGGGCGAGGCGGAGGGACTGCGGGATGGAGTTCCAGAGGGTGGGGGCAGAGTGGCAGAAGGCCCTCCCACCTATGGTGGGGCGGGCAAAGCGGGGGACGTGAAGCAGGTACAGAGCCCGCTGAGCGGAGGGGGTTAGGAGGTCGCAGAGGTGGGGGGGGGGTGGAGCAAGGCCATGGAGAGCTTTGAAGGACTCGGCAGGAATAAATGATTGATGGTCAGCAATGTTTGCACTGATTGTGCTGCGTAAGCATTGCCTAATCGGCTGTTGCACCACTTCTTCGTTGAACACTGCAGCTGCAGATTGAACTCCCAACAGTGGAGACTGTTCATTGTGAAGTGAATCTGCCGTCCGCACAACTCAGGCACTCCCTTTGCTTCCGTTTGCAATCATATCAGGCGAAGCCTGGCTGAGTGGGTGGGGAGAGTCACGCGGCAGAGTCAGCCGCTCGTGCCCCAAACCCCAATGTCTTTGAACTGCGGTCACTCAACCCACGACGGTTCACGGGACGCTGCTGTGCGCAACTGGCTGCCGCGTTGCGCCCACGAAATACACAGTCACTACACTTTACAGTATATCCTGCGAAGCGCTCTGAGACGTCTAGAAGACGTGACAAGACGCTAACGAGGATTATTGTTATTACAATAATTGTTTCTGCAAGTCACGAATAGCGACACACACCCAACGCTTTACAGCAACACGAGGGAGGGCTCTGAAAGATAATAATAATCCTTGCATTTGATATAGCGCTTTTCACGTCGAGAGGACGTCCCAAAGCGCTTCACAGAACACACTGTAAAGTGAATTGACTGTATATTTGTGGGCGAACGCGGCAGCCAATTGCGCACTGCAATGTCCCACAGACAGTCGTGGGTTGAAAATGACCAATTTATTATTGTTTTGTTTTTTTGGAGGGAATATTATTAGGCTCTGTGTGGAGGAGAGAGAGGAGGGGGGAGAGAGAGGGGGGGGAGAGAGAGAGGGGGGAGAGGGGGGGAGAGAGAGGGAGGGGAGGGGGGGGAGAGGGGGGGGAGAGAGAGGGAGGGGAGAGGGGGGAGAGAGAGGGGGGGGAGAGAGAGGGATGGGGGAGGAGGGAGGGGAGAGAGGGAGGGGGGGGGAGGAGAGAGAGGGAGGGGGAGAGAGGGTGGGGATGAGAGTGGGGGGGGAGAGGCAGTGGAGCCTGGCGAGGGCTGGGGGGGGGCGGTTAGTGGGGGTGAGAGGGGGTGTGGTCTGAGTGCAGAGGGGGTGTGGCCTCGGTCTCGCTGGCCCGCCCCCTCCCTCCCTCCCTCCCTCCCTGCCCCTCTCTCGCTCTCCCTCTCTCGCTCTCTCTCACCCGAACAGGAAGCTGAAGACATTCCTGGACGAGCTGAGCTTCTTCTCGGCGTCGGCCATGAGCCGCGTGGCCTCCTTCTCCTTGGCCGAGGTGTCCATGGCGGCGGCGGCGGCGGCGGCGACACAACACCAACACACAACACCGCTCGACCCCTTCACTTCCGCTGACTGCCACCACCACTTCCGGTTGAAGCCGCCGCGGACGTCACCCGCCCGTCCCACCTCGTGACCTCCTCCCCCCCCGCCGCTCCGCCCCACTAGCACGTGACATCACCCCCTTGCCACGTGACCAGAGTGGGGACCCGCCCGAGTCCGTCCCACAGCGGCGGCGGCAAACGCAACTCACTTCCGCAGGCGGTGGTGACCGCTTCCGGTTGAAGCCGCCGCGGGCCCACATCCGCCACCGCCACGTGACGCCAAATGAGCGCCCTCCCAGGTGAACCCGCCACCCCCTCCCATACACACGTGACGCCGCTCGCTCCTCCCCTCCCCCACACACACACACACACGCCCCACCCACCGCTCCTCGCACGTGATCAGAGCGGCGCCGACCTCGAGCGCACTGCGCAGGCGCGGGAGGTGAAAGGTCGCCAACATGGCGGCGCGCCGCTGCTGCCGCCGCTGGGCGCCGCTCTTGCTGCCGCCCTCGGTCCGCCCGGCGGCTTCCCTCGGGCCCGGCGGCCGCCCGCGGGTGGCCGGGCTCGCGGGGCGCGCTCACTGCGCCCGGAGCAGCCTGTACGAGCACGTGCGGGGCGGTTACTCGGCGCGGCCGGCCCTGGACATGGAGCACGTCTGCGCGCGCACCGACGCCGCCGTGGCCAACGTGGAGAGCCGCAAGGGGGAGCTGAGCGGCCGGGACCTGCGCGACGTGGTGGGTCAAGCGGCGGCCCGCGGGCCGCACCCGGCCCGCCGCGGCAAAGCTTGAGTTTGGGTGGCGCCCGCCATCAGGCGGTGGGTGGCGTCGCCGGCGGGGGGGGCGCCTGACAGTGGCGGAGTCCGACCCTGAGCCACGGGGTGGGGGGCGGGGAGGGAGAGGAGGGAGGGGGTGACCGTGAGCGCCGTCGAAAAATGTAAGGGCTTCAGGGCGGGATTTGAACGTGTTGTGCTCGTGCGGCGCTGTTCTCCCTCGAGGTGTCCCGGCCGACAATTCCCCCACTCCGCCCCCCCCCCAAATAAGGTCAGTCGCTCCACAACCGTCTGTGGGGGACGTCGTTGGGCGCGATCGGCTGCCGCCTTTCGCCCACAAAATACACGGTCGCTAACACTGTGCGGCGTGTCCCGTGAAGCGCTCTGAGACGTCTGGAAGACGCTGTGTGTCGAATAACGACGACGGCAAACGCTCTGTCTCTGACAGGTGGTCACATGGGAACAGCTGCGGGAAGTCAGACAGAAGATAGAGACGTTGGAGAAGGAAAAGCGAGAAATCAGCGATCGAATCAAAGCCCTTCTGGTCAGACCCCTCCCCCCTCGCACCCCACAGCCCCTGTAGCTCAGGGGTTAGACCCCTCCCCTCGCACCCCACAGCCCCTGTAGCTCAGGGGTTAGACCCCTCCCCTCGCACCCCACAGCCCCTGTAGCTCAGGGGTTAGACCCCTCCTCCCCTCGCACCACACAGCCCCTGTACCCCAGGGCTGTTTGTGGGAACATCGCTGGGCGCGATCGGCCGCCGCGTTTGGCCCCCAAAACACAACACACAGTCACCACACTTTACAGCGCGTCCTGCGAAGTGCGTCGAGACGTCTCGAAGACGTGACCGGGCGCCGGGATTATTATTACTGTTTTATTATTCCCAAACCTCCTTTGCAGCCGGAGTCTGGCCAGCGAGCACTGCCTTCGGTAAGTCACTTTCAAATCCCCTTCACGTCGGGTGTTGGGCAATCAGGGATTCAGGTCCGAGCCGGGGGTCGGGATCGGGAGGGGTGGAGGGTGGGGGTGGGAGGGTGACCGAAGGCACGGTTGAAGATAGGGAAGGTAAGCGGGATGCAGTTGCCCCTCGTAAAACTTTTTACTCTCTTCCCCCCCCTCCCCAACCCCCGCCCCCCCCCCGCCCCACGCTTCTTATTCAGCATCCCGAGTTCCTGAAGCTTCGCCAACGAGGGAAGGAAATACGTGAGGAGCTCAACGGGTTGTATCCGGAGGAGAGCCAGCTGGATGAACGCTTTTATCTGAAAGCCTTGAAGATCCCGAACCAAACTCACCCGAACGTGGTAAGGAAGTGATGGATAATAATAATAATAATAATCCTGGCGTTTGACCCGGCGCCTTATCATGTTTATGCTCCACGTGAGCCTCCTCCCGCCCTTCCTCAACTGAGCCTTCGAACAGAACCTTCTATTCCTTTCTCCCTCATGTACCTCTCCAGCTTCCCCTTAAATACATACATCTGTGCTATTTGCCTCAACTATTATTATTATTATTATTTTTTGAGAGATTTATTACGCCCCAGAAAAGTGATCTCCAAATCGACTAACAAGCGGGTTCCTACTGACTGCCGGTTAACAGAGGCGTGTGTGTGTGTGTGTGTCTGTGGAGTAAGGAAAGTTGCCTAAAGTTTCGCCCTGACCTGCTCGGTTGGGAATCGAACCTGTGTCCTCTGGCTAACGAGGCGAGGGGTCTAACCCCTGAGCTCCAGGGGCTGTGGGGTGCGAGGGGGGGGGTCTAACCCCTGAGCTACAGGGGCTGTGGGGTGCGAGGGGGGGGGTCTAACCCCTGAGCTACAGGAGCTGTGGGGTGCGAGGGGGGGGTCTAACCCCTGAGCTACAGGGGCTGTGGGGTGCGAGGGGAGGGGTCTAACCCCTGAGCTACAGGGGCTGTGGGGTGCGAGGGGAGGGGTCTAACCCCTGAGCTACAAATCCAATGTGTTGGTGATGATTTTGTCTTTGTTTCTCTTTGCAGCCGGTGGGTGATGAGAGTCAAGCTCGTGTTATGGAGGTGATAGGCGAGAAACCAGGTGAGAAACCTCCCAGTTAGCTACAGAGAATCGTAGAACCTGACAGCACCGGAGGAGGCCATTCGGCCCATCGAGCCTGTGCTGGCTCTTTGGAGGAGCCACTAATTAGCCCCACTCCCCCCGCTCTTACCCCAACTAGTCCCCACTCCCCCCGCTTTTACCCCAACTAGTCCCCACTGCACTGGAGGGTCAGCCTACCCTGTGAGGCCAAATTTGAGGCTTTTTCCTTTTTTGTCTTCCAGTGTTCAATTTTAATATCAAGGGCCATTTGGAGATTGGCGAAGACTTGGACATCATCAGACAGAGGTGACAACCGCGAGCAATCCCTTCCCCCTAAGTGTTTGACTTGTATTAGACTGTAGGGAACGTAAGGAAAGATCTCAGCATTTTTTTATGACCATTAAAAGCTATTAAGGGAAGTGTGGCCACCGCACAGGGCAGTAATAACCGCGATGATAACCCTCGCCTTTGCTACAGCGCTTTATCGTGTCTTCCAGACGTCTCAAAGCGCTTCACAGGGTACACTGTAAAGTGCAGTGACTGTGCATTTTGTGGGTGAAATCTGGCAAGCCAGTTGTGCCCAGCGATGTCCCCGCAAACGGCCGTGGATTGAGTGACCAAAGTTATTATTGCTGCTATTTTTTTAAGGGATTATTACCCCTGGAAAAGCGATTCCCCGAATCGACTAACACGCGGGTTCCTACTGACTGTCGGGAACGTGTTGGGAGGAGAGGGAATAATTCTGCTTCCAACTGCTCGTCTTTAGGTGAACAAATGGCAATCAGTCAAAGTGCCGCCAACGCCCTACATTAAGCGATTGGCTGCCTTTTCCCATCAAAGGCAAAGGCATGAATGTTGTATGAGCCTCTGTCGATAGACCAAAAATAACGGATGAGTTGCCCTCGGGCAGGACACCCGACGGGGCACTGCTCTGCGGGTGTGTTTGCGCGTGTGTGTGTGTGTGTGTGTGTATAAGTGTGCAAGGTAGCTGTGTGTGTGTGTATATGTACGAGGTGCGTGTAAGTTTGTGTGAGGTGTGTGTGTGTGTTTTCAGACACGTGTGTGTCGGCCTGTTACAGTATATGCACGCGGGGTGTGTGCTTGTAAGCTGCTGTGAGCGCATATGGCAGGGGTCTGTGTGCGTGTGTGCGTGCACACGGGCTGCGTGCAATTTTGTACATTTGTTTTCCATGGAATCAGTAACACGTCAGCAAAAAATACCGGAAAGCTCATCCTCCCAATGAAAGATTTGAGCTTAACACAAGATTATCACAGGATTAGTATAGATCAGCCTCAGAGAGAGAGACAGAGAGAGAGACAGAGAGAGACAGAGAGAGAGAGACACACAGAGAGAGAGAGAGAGACAGAGAGAGAGAGAGACACACAGAGAGAGAGAGAGGGAGACAGAGAGAGACACAGAGAGAGAGAGAGAGAGAGACACAGAGAGAGAGAGGGAGACAGAGAGAGAGAGAGAGACACACAGAGAGAGAGAGACACAGAGAGAGAGAGAGGGAGAGAGGGAGACAGAGAGAGAGAGAGGGAGACAGAGAGAGAGAGAGAGACACAGAGAGAGAGGGAGACAGAGAGAGAGATGACATTCCTTTGTCACTTCTTCCAATTATTTCTCAAGTTGTCGTGTGCTTTTAACACCAGAAAATAATCCGCTGGTTTAATAATAATAATAATGATAACAATCCCGGCGTTTGACCCGGCGCCTCATCACGTCTTCGAGACGTCCCAAAGCGCTTCGCGGGCCACGCCGTGCGGTGTAGTGACTGTGCATTTTGTTACTGTGTTGTTGCCAGGCGCTTGTCGCACATCTCCGGCCACAGGTCCTACTACCTGCGCGGAGCGGGCAGCGAGCTCCAGCTGGCTCTGGTGCAGTTCACGGTGCGGAAGCTTCTCGACAAGGTGAGCCGCGGTGACCAACCGGCCAAAACGGCCGACTTCCGGGGGTCAACCGTGCGCGACGAGGGACTGCGATCGGCTGACCTGGAAGTCATCCGTTCAGGGCAGACATTTTGCATTGTGCGGGCGATATTATAATAATAATAATAAATTCTAATAATCCTCGTGTTTGGTGCACCGCCTTCTCACATCGCCAAGACACCTCGAAGCGCTTCACAGGATCCGCTGTAAAGTGTAGTGACTGTGTTTTGAGTGTATTTTGTGGGCTTTCCAATGAACAACAACAACGACAGAAACTTGTACAGACCCCTCACGTTGGGAAAGCCGTCCAAGGTCGCTGGACAGTCCGGAGTTTTTGAACCCAAGCTGGGAGTTGGGGTCAGGAAGGGTGCAGGGGGATGGGAGGGTGGCCGAAGGCACGGTCGAAGAGGAAGGTCTTTAGACGGGATTTGAAGGAGGCGAGAGAGGGAGTGAAGCAGAGGAATCACAGCTTAGAGTTCCAGAGCGTGATGGCAGAGATGCTGAATGCCCAGACTGCCAATGGCAGGGAGGGAAGTGCGATTACCACTGTCAAGTGTTCGGGGACGGGAGTCCAGGGGAAGGGCACAAGTTAACTCCAAGTCACTCTTGTTATTGTTGTTTGGGATCCTCTAGGATTTAGGATTATTTCTTATTGTTGTCGTTGATTTTTATTTATCTGTTTTCCTCCTTCAGGGATTTGTTTCAATAAGTGTTCCGGACATGATGAAAGGTGTTGTGTTTGTAAGTACTCAGCCGTTTACGTACAGTTCTCCTGCTCAGATCTATAGTAAGGAAACTTGCCCTGACCTGACCCGCCCGGGAATCGAACCCGGGGCCTCCGGCTTGCGAGGCGAGGGGTCTAACCCTTGAGCTACAGGGGCTGTGGGGTGCGAGGCGAGGGGTCTAACCCCTGAGCTACAGGGGCTGTGGGGTGGGGGGCGAGGGGTCTAACCCCTGAGCTACAGGGGCTGTGGGGTGCGAGGCGAGGGGTCTAACCCCTGAGCTACAGTTCTATCCAAAGATTAACGTGAGGACCTGTGGTTTGTAGGAAGGCTGTGGAATGCCGCCTGGAGCCAAGGCTTCTCAGGTTTACCGGCTCGACCCGACCTGTTACGAGGACCTTAACTTGGCAGGAACTGCGGAGGTGGGCATTGCAGGTAATAATAATAATAATAATAATTCTGGCGTTTGACCCGGCGCCTGATCACGTCGTCGAAACGTCTCAAAAGCGATTCACAGGATGGGCTGTACAGTGTAGTGACTGTGTGTTTTGTGGGTGAAATGCAGCAGCCAATTGAGCACAGCAACGTCCCCACAAACAGCCGTGGGTTGAGTGACCATATTTTTTTTGAAGGGATTGTTATCCTTAGAAAATTATTGCACCTGAATTCCTATTTACTACTACATAAACACAGGTGTGTGTATGTCTGTGCGTATATGTGTGTGTGGGGAGGGGGGGTGGGGGGTGAATAAGGAAACTTGCCCTAAGGTTTCGCCCTGACCTGACCCGCCCGGGAATCGAACCCGGGTCCTCTGGCTGTACGAGGTGAGGGCTCTAACCACTATGAACTCTGGCACGGACCCAGTCGGGGCAGTCAGTCCGTGTCTGTGTAGATGGCTGTGAATTGTCGGTGTGTTCTCGTTCCCGTTGCCTCGGGTCGGCCTCTCCTGACTCTGTCTGACTCTCCGGCCCCACAGGTTACTTCATGGACCACGCTGTGAGCTTGAAGGACCTGCCTCTCAGGTAACTCCCTCCCTCCCTCCCTCCCTCCCTCCCTCCCTCCCTCGCCTCCTTCAAGACAGTCCTCTTCGACCAACCGCACTTTCATCACCCTCGTACCCCCCACACCCCCCCCCCACCCAACCCCTGCTCTCCACCCCCTCCTGATCCCGACCCCCAACTCGGGTCCAAACCCCTGACTGTCCAGCGACTTGGGACGTCTTCCCGACGTGAAAGACAAGTGTAAATGTCCTGTTGTTGTTGTTGTTGAGATGATAACACACGGTCACAAGGGGGCGATGCATTTTTTTTGTTTGAATTAAAGTGCCTTCGTCTTCAGATTTATTATAATAATTTTATTGAGGGGATTATTACACCACCGATCGACTAACAACCGGGTTCCTACTGACCGCTGGTAAACAGAGGTGTGTGTGACTGTGTGTGTGTCTGTGTGTGTGACTGTGTGTGTGACTGTGTGTGTGTCGGGAATGGAACCCGGGTCCTCTTGCTTGCGAGGAGAGGAGAGGTTCTCTGACCCCCGCAGTACCTGAACGAATTTGGGAGAATCCGGAGTGAGTGAACGAGCGAATTATTAACTGAAATCCCTTCCCCTCTCAGACTGGTTTGCTCCAGCACCTGCTACAGAGCGGAGACGGATAGGGGCCGAGACCCTAGGGGTTTGTACAGGGTCCACCACTTCACCAAGGTTTGCGTCTCTCTCTCTCCCCCCCCCCCCCCATCTCCTCCAAGGCCCGTCTTAAGACCCTCTATGACCGACTGAGTCTTCAGCCAACCCTCCTGCCACCAGCTTCGCCCCCTCCCCCCCCCCCCCCCCCCCCCTCCAGCTCGGGTGCAAATCCCTGAGTGTCCAGTGCCTCGGGACAATCTCATTTTGTGTTGTCCTCAGGTAGAGATGTTTGGGGTAACGGCAGCGGAGACCGGGGGGGAGAGTCGGGAGCTGTTGGCTCACTTTGTGGACATCCAGAAAGAAATCTTCTCCGACCTCGGCCTCCATTACAAGTGGGTCATCATTAACAACAATCCGCGGGGGATTGTCTGAAAATAATAATAATAATAACAATCCTTGTATTTGATTAGAACCCTCTGGCTTCCGAGGCGAGGGGTCTAACCCCTGAGCTACAGAGAACCCTATGATAAAAATGTCTTGTGTGGTTCTCTCCCGCAGGGTACTGGACATGCCAACCGAGGAGCTCGGGCTGCCCGCCTACCGCAAGCTTGATATTGAAGCCTGGATGCCCGGGAGGGGCAAATATGGAGAGGTGGGCACTGGGGTTGGGGGCAGGGGCGGGGGGCGGGTGGGGGGCTGGGACTGGGGGCGTGAAAGGCACTGTGTACATTTAACAATAATCCTGGCATTTGGCCCAGCGCCAAAGCGCTTCACAGGATACACTATAAAGTGTAGTGACTGTGTGTTTGCGCCCAGTGACGTCCCCACAGACAGTCGTGGATTGATGGTCTCGCCCGGACCTGACCCGTCCGGGAATCGAACCCGGATCCTCTCGAACCCAAAGCACGCAGTGACTGTGGTTCAGTGGGACGTCCTCCCGACGTGGAAGGCGCTATACAAACGTAATGTTGTTGTTGTTGTTCGGTGGTCCTGGGCACTGGGATGTCTCGGTGGCCTGAGTACTGGGTGTCTGTCGGGTGAGGATGATTCTGACGTTGGTCCCACATCCGCTGTTGTCTGATTCCCTTCCTCTCAGATCTCAAGCGCTTCCAACTGCACCGACTACCAGAGCAGACGGCTGAACATCATGTATCGGGACAGACAGACACGATTAAAATACGCTCACACTGTACGTACGTCTCTGTACTCTACCCCCCCCTCCCTGCTCTCGCTCTCTCTCTGTCTCTCTCTCTCTGCCCACCCCCCATCGTGTCTGTGCTGGGGCTCGCTCCCCCCCCACTGGCGCTCTCTCTCTCCTCTCACCCCCACTCCCTGTGAGATTCTACGACGCAGTGATTCTCTGATTGTCCTTCTCTCTGGGTTTCGCTGTGTGTCTCGCTGTGACGTGTCTCCTCTCTCTGCCGACTCCCAGGTTAACGCCACCGCCTGTGCTGTGCCTCGCACTCTCATCGCCATTCTGGAGGCCAATCAGCTGCAGGTAAACAACAACAACTACTTGTGTTTATACAGAGCCCCCTCACGGGGGGTGGGGGGAGTGGGGGGGAGCTTCCCTGAGCGCTTGGAAAGGTCTGAGACACTCGCTCGATGCGAGAGAGAAAGGCGGAGACAAAGGTCTTAGAGAGAGAGAGAGAGACACAGTACTATTTATTATTATTTAGCCCACAAAACGCACAGTCACTACACCGCACAGCGTGTCCCGTGAAGCGCTTTGAGACGTCTCGACGACACGATCAGGCGCCGGGTCAAACCCCGGGGGTTGTTGTTATTATTAACCCATTCCCTCCCTGGACAGGACGGAACGGTGCAGGTCCCGAAAGCCCTGCAGAGCTACCTGGGAGGGCGAGAGGTGATCGACAAGCCCCAGCATTCTCCCCTCGAGTACATCGGGCCCAACCGGCGACACAGGAAAGACGTCTGAACTCTCTTGGGGTCTGTGGAGGTTCGCATGTGTAGTGACTGTAAGAGGAGCTTTCCCCCCCCCCCGGATTTTCGCGGCTCGGGAGTTGTCTGTAGCCGGGAACACTGCGGAGTGAGGCACCACGGAGCATCGAGAGAACTCCCGGCAAGTCACTACACTTGACAGTATATCCTGCGAAGCGCTTTGAGACGTCTCGACGACGTGATCAGGCGCCGGGTCAAACCCTGGGATTGTTATTATCAATAATAAAACTCCCTTGAACTCATGCCCACACCCGACCCGCAAATGGGAGGGGGGAATGGGAGAGAGCGATGGGGGGAGTCAGAAGGACGTGGGGAGGGAGGGAGGGAGGGAGGGATGTGTGGGGAGAGGGGAAAATTGGAAGGATGGGGTTTGGAGGAGGGGAGGATGGAAGAAGTTAATTAACCAAATTACAACCACAAGAAGGGGGAACATTTCGGGGAAATATCCTCAAAAGCTCATTAAATTAACAGCATTGATGACGGGGGTGGGGGGGCCGGGGGGTGAGCTGCAGACAATAAGGCCTTACAATCACGAGGCACCTGTTCCTTTTTAGTTGATGGCTTCTCAACCCAATTTCCCCCCCCGAGGCTCCACTGAATTATTTATCGAATACGGCTCTCCCTCTCTCTCTCTCTCTCTCTCTCTGGTTACAAAGTGCTTTTGTCTGTCCTTCGCCACCGTCTGGTCACCTGTTAAGTGGAAAAAGACTTTACTAAACGTGTGTGTGTGTGTGTGTGTGCGTCAGTAATCCTGGCGTCTCTCCCTGTAGCTCAGGGGTAGGGCCCTCGCCTCGCGAGCCAGAGGACCTGGGCTCGACTCCCGGGCGGGTCAGGTTAGGGCGAAATGATGGGCGAGTTTCCTTACTCCCCCCCCCCCGCCCCCCCCCCCCCCACACACACACACACGCGCCTGTTTACCAGCAGTCAGTGGGAACCCACTTGTTATTCGATTGGGGGAATCGCTTTCCAGGGGTAGGAATTCCTTTAAAACAAACCGACAATAATAATAATAATTCGGTGGCTTCAACCCCACGGCTGTTTGTGGGGACGTCGCCGGGTGGCGCAATCGGCTGCCGCGTTTCGCCCATAAAACACAGTCACTACACTTTACAGCGTGTCCCGTGAAGCGCTTTGAGACGTCTTGAAGACGTGATCAGGCGCCGGGGATTATTATTATTGTTATTATGAACCGTCTATGTCTCTCTATTCTCTTTCCTGTGTGTGTGTGTGTGTGTGCGTGTGTCTGTGTTTGTCTCTGTCGCTCCGCGCTGTGAAGCCCCCCCCACCCCCCCGTATCGTGGCTTGGAATCACTCCAGTGTAGCGCTGGGGTGGGTGGGGGCTGCACTGTTGGGGGTTAATGGAGGTCTTGGCTATCTGTTTGGGGGGATGTTAAAGATGGCGCTGCTTGAAAAGTCTCTCTCTCTCCGGGCGTCCCGGCCGACAGTCGCCCAAACAAAACCGGTCGCCCACTCATTCCGCCACTGATTCGTGGGACACCGTTTCGCTGCGTTTCACCCACCAAAACCGCAGTCACTACACTTCGAAGCAGTCGAGACGCCTCGAAGTGATAAGGGCGCGGTTTCAAATGCAGGGATTGCTGTGGCCCCGGACGGCTGAGAGTCCGGCGCAGGCAGCACGGGGTTAAACAGCGAGATCCCTGGTCAGTGGAAAGCAATGAACTAAACTGCGTTATTGCGTCTCCCGTTGGTTGAGCAATCGAAATAAACCTAAATTGGAGCGCAACGAAACAGCCGCTTTCTCATCAATAATACACCAACTCCAGTTTCCATCAAAGCCGTTCGTAAAAAAAAAAAAAAACCGCACTGTTTGACGGCGGATCCCAGTCGTCGTTCCATTGTGTTCCCTTCGTCTCTCGTGCCAGGAATCTCGCACCGGGAACGTGGCGCTGTTTTGTGGGGGAAGTCGCCGGGCCACGAGGCACACAGTCACTACACTTCACAGCGCGCCCCCGCGAAGGGCTTCGAGGCGTCTCGACGACGTGATCGGGCGCCGGGTCAGACCCCGGGAATATTATTATGATTATTATTGTCCATCTTGGGCGGCTCCGAACTGCTTTTGTCGGATATCTGACATAACTCGTCATCAATAATAATAATAATAATCTTTGCATTTGATAATAAACCAATTTTTTTATAATCATTTTTTAGATAATTTTGATTAATAGGGCCCCCGATCCCAACCCGCGCCTCGGGTCCAAATCCCTGACTGTCCGTCCACCCGGAGCACACACTCACTCACCCACCATCACACTTATTCACACACACTCAAATAGTCACTCACTCGCTTATTCAATCACTCACACTCACCCACACACACTCCATCACTCACACACTCACCCACACACTCCCTCACTCTCACACACTCACCCACACACTCCCTCACTCACACACTCACCCACACACTCCCTCACTCTCACACACTCACCCACACACTCCCTCACTCTCACACACTCACCCACACACTCCCTCACTCTCACACACTCACCCACACACTCCCTCACTCACACACTCACCCACACACCCTCACTCTCACACACTCACCCACACACTCCCTCACTCAGACACACTCCCTCACTCTCACACACTCACCCACACACTCCCTCACTCACACACACTCCCTCACTCTCACACACTCACCCACACACTCCCTCACTCTCACCCACACACACTCCCTCACTCTCACACACTCACCCACACACTCCCTCTCTCTCACCCACACACACTCCCTCACTCTCACACACTCACCCACACACTCCCTCACTCTCACCCACACACACTCTCAAACACTCACCCACACACACAAACGCACACTCTCACTCACACACTCAAACACCGACCCACACACCCCACTCATCCACACACACTCACTCACCCATACACACCCTGAACCACACACTCACTCTCTCTCACCCACACGCTCTCACAACGCTCGCTCGCTCACACCCACGCTCCGGGGTCACTCTGGTCGATGTCTCCCCGGTTATTTGTGTGCTGTTGTTGCAGCCCAACGATCAACTTTGCAAACAAACAAACAACAGAGAGAGAGAGAGAGAGAGACGGTTCAACCAGGAATCGTTATTTCCTTCCAACGCGGATCAGATCGTTTTCTTTTAGGAAATAACGCTGTGGGGCATAGCACCTGAGTAAAGGGAGTTCGGGACAGGTCAAGCGACCGACAGGAAGGTGGAAGGCGAACGGGATCGACCTCAGTCTTTTTGTTATCTGGAGTTTCTTACTTGCATTTATATAATAATAATAATAATAATAACAGTAATAATAATCCCTGGCGTGTGACCCGGCGCCTGATCACGTCTTCGCGACGCCTCAAGGCGCCTCGCGGGACACGCCGCAGAGTGTGGTGACTGTGCGTTTTGCGGAGCGGCGGCTGGGAAAGGAGAGAACGGGAAGCAGAATTCCCGAGTCGGTTACATAACCAAGACCCGTCTGCATCATCCTCTGCTTTGTGCCCGGCGGCCAACAACTGCATCTGTCTGCACCTCCTTTAAGAGATCTGTACGTGAGCAAATCTTTGGGATAATTTGACATCACTTCCTCCGCCGTCTGCAGGTTATTTAAAGTCCCAGAAGGTTTGCCGAGGCTTCAGACCATCAGCACATCGGTGGAGAGAGAGAGAGAGAGAGGGGGGAGAGGAGAGGAGAGGAGAGATAGAGGAGAGATAGAGGAGTGGAGAGAGAGAGACAGAGAGAGAGTGGTCTAACAGAACCAGTTAGAATCCATCCCCAATCATCAAACCATTGCTATATTTCCTACCCACCTTGTGATTTATTTCTGCTTTTTAACCCTTATTTACAAACAATTTATTTACGAGCAATTTATTTATTTGCATCACTGACCTGAACAGACACAATGATCCCCAAAGCCTTTCTGGCTTTGCTGTTGTTTTGTTGCCAAGGTAAGTGTTTTTGTTTTTTTTTTAATCTAATTTTATCAGCAGATTACCAGAGGAGGGGGAGACGGGGAGAGATTAGCGAAGCCGGGATCGTGCTCCTCACAGCAGAGAGGGTTGAGGGGAGATTTAATCGAGGGGTTCACAATTACGAGGGAGCAGATGTATTCCCCCCTCTTATCTGCACTTTTGATAAGAGTAGACAGAGGGGGGAAACCGGACACAGGTTTAAGATGATCTGCAAAAGAACCAGAGGGGGTGGGGGGGGGGGAGGGGGTGGAGACCAGAAATTATTCTACGCAGAGAGTTGTTAGGGTCTGGAACGCATGGCCCGGTGGCCCTGACAGACCGGTGGGAGCAGATTCCATAACAACTTTCAAAAGGGAATTGGTTAAAGGACTTGAAGGGGGGAACACTTGCAAGTAAATGGGGTGAGAGCGGGGAGGGGGGGTGTCTATGTTGGGGGTGAGGGGGGGTGTCTATGTTGGGGGGGTGAGGGGGGTGTCTATATGGGGGGTGTCTATGTTGGGGGGTGAGGGGGGGTGTCTATGTTGGGGGTGAGGGGGGGGGTGTCTATGTTGGGGGGTGAGGGGTGTCTATGTTGGGGGGTGAGGGGTGTCTATGTTGGGGGTGAGTGTCTATGTTGGGGGTGAGGGGGGGTGTCTATGTGGGGGTGTGTGTCTATGTGGGGGGGTGAGGGGGGTCTATGTTGGGGGGTGAGGGGGGTCTATGTTGGGGGGGTGAGGGGGGGGTGTCTATGTTGGGGGGTGAGGGGGGTCTATGTTGGGGGGTGAGGGGGGGTGTCTATGTTGGGGATGAGGGGGGGTGTCTATGTTGGGGGGTGAGGGGGGTCTATGTTGGGGGTGAGGGGGGTCTATGTTGGGGGGTGAGGGGGGTGTGTCTATGTTGGGGGGTGAAGGGGGTCTATGTTGGGGGTGAGGGGGGGTCTATGTTGGGGGTGAGGGGGGTCTATGTTGGGGGGTGAGGGGGGTCTATGTTGGGGGGTGAGGGGGGTGTGTCTATGTTGGGGGGTGAAGGGGGTCTATGTTGGGGGGTGAGGGGGGGTCTATGTTTCTGTGCACGGATTTTTATCTTTGCAGAAGTTTGGAATGATTTAGTTTGTTTGTGTTTATTGGGGACTGAGGGGACGTCACTGTGCGCGATCGGCTGCCGCATTTCGCCCACAAAACACAGTCACTACACTTTACAGTATATCCCGTGAAGCGCATTGAGACGTCTCGACGACGTGATCAGGAATCGGGTCAAATGCCAGGATTATTATATTATTATTATTATTATTATTATAAGATCAGAGTATTTTTGATGTGAAAAGCTTATTTCAGCACCAAGGACAGAGGGGGGTCTGTTAATGAGACACTGTCGGGGAAATAGAGAGACACAGAGAGAGAGACAGAGATAAACAGAGAGTGAGAGACAGAGAGAGTCAGAGATAGACACAGAGATGAACAGAGAGAGCGAGAAAGAGAGACAGAGATAAACAGAGTGAGAGACAGAGAAAGACAGAGATAAACAGAGAGAGAGACAGAGATAAACAGAGAGTGAGAGACAGAGAGAGTCAGAGATAGACACAGAGATAAACAGAGAGAGCGAGAAAGAGAGACAGAGAGAGACAGAGATAAACAGAGAGTGAGAGACAGAGAGAGTCAGAGATAGACACAGAGATAAACAGAGAGAGACACAGAGATAGACAGAGCGAGAAAGAGACAGAGAGAGACAGAGAGTGAGAGACAGAGAGAGTCAGAGATAGACACAGAGATGAACAGAGAGAGAGAGACAGAGATAGACAGAGGAGAGATAGACAGAGGAGAGATAGACAGAGAGAAACAGAGAGAGAGAGACAGAGGAGAGATAGACAGAGAGAAACAGACAGAGACGGAGAGAGAGAGGGACAGCAATAACAGGTACAGCGTTAGACACGGACGCTGTCTGTCTGACGGTTACATAACCGGGGATTAAAATCAGCCGCGTGCTGTTAGGACAAATCTTTCCCCCAAAATAAATTCCCCTCAACCCAACCCCCCCCCCCACCCCCCAAACCACTCCCCCCACAAACCCCCCCCAGCCCACAACGCGCCCCCCTAACCACCCCCCCCCTCTCACACACCCCCCCAACACAACGCCCCCCACCCCCCGGGCAGTGAGCAGCGCTGCAGTCTGTCACATCGCTGTCAGTTGATTTGGAAATCTTATAGATATATATATATATAAATTCTAATTTATCCATTTTGGGTGTGTGTGGGGGGGGTGGGGGGTAATTATATTTGTGGGTGAGGGGGTGTGGATTATATCTGTGTGTGCAATTCTGTGATTTTTTTTAGGAAAAAAATGATTAGGTATTAACAATAATAATAATAATAATAATATTGTTCAATTATGGTTACGTCTGATATAGAACCTTTTATAGCAAAGGTTCCTTCAAGGTCAGTCTTACAGGTCTGAAGCCATAATAATAATAATAATAATAATAATAATAATAATAATTCTGGCATTTGACCCGACGCCTTATCACATCGTCGAGACGTCTCAAAGCGCTTCACAGGTCACGCTGTAAAGTGTAGTGACTGTGCGTCTCGTGGGCGGCCGCACACGGCCGTGGGTTGAAAGCGAACGAATTATACTTATCATTTATTTGTTTGTTTATTTACTTGTTAATTTTTTTTAAAAGGTGGATTAAGATAAATCGGCGAGAGAGGACAAAAAAAAAAAGGGGGAGAGGTTTAGGAGAACGCCCGCCCCGCCCCGCGCCGGCTCGCACACTTACCCGCCCGCGGAACGCACAGTCACTACGCTTCGCAGTAAATCCCATCGAGTCGTTCTCCTGTTTTGTCCAACGGGAAAAGCTGTCACGAGGAAGCCCAGCGTGGGGGCGATTCGTTTCGGGGGTGCGGGGGGGCAGACGGGCCGGCGATTCCCTCCGCCCTTAACCTTTTGTCGACTGGAACAGCCGCCGGTATTAACCCCTAAAACACCAGTCAATTCGTGTGTCTGTTTTCCAGGCAGTTCCTCTCCTCTTCCCCGCGAGGCGCTGAGAGATGAAAAGGTACAGTGAGTCCGGATCTCTTTGGGTGCGACTGGGTCTGTATGTACCCCCCACCCCGTGTGTGCGTGTGTGTTTATCTCTCCCCCCCCCCTCCCCCACCCCCCGTCAAGCGCTCCGGGACCCTACCCCGGATGAAGGGCGCCAGGTAAGTGCAAGTTGTCGTTGCTGTGCGCAAGACCTAACTACCGTGTACCCCGCCCCCCACCCCCCCCCCACACACACACACACCCCCGAAAAAAATATTCCGCGGTCACCGCACTTTACGGCAGAACTCCTGCGAAGCGCTTTTGAGAGATGTGTCGAGCGCGCGATAAGGCGTCGTGTTAAGTGGCGAGATTGTGAGTTGTTGTTGTTGTTGCCCTCTGTATCTCCCCCCCCCCCCCCCACTGCCCACCCCAACACTCCCCCACCCCCCACTCCCCCCCACTCCCTCGCAGGTTACCAAGTGTATCGTTGAGGTTCTGTCCGACGCACTGTCCAAACCGAATCCTGTCGTAGTGAGCGGTGAATGTCTCAGGATCCTCAAAGAAGGTATCACACAAATCTTTTTATTCTGCTCCATTTCTCTCTCTCCCTCTCGTTTCCCCCCTTCTCTCCCTCTTTCCGCCCCTCTCTCTTTTCTACTCTCTCTCTCCCCCCCGCTTCCCCCCCCACTCTCTCTCTCTTTCCCTCCCGTCCTCCTTCCTTCCTTTCTCTCGTTCCCTTCGCTCTCTCTTTTTTTCTTTCTTTTTTTCTTTTTTTCTTTCTTTTTTTCTTCTTTTCTTTTTTTCTTTTTTTCTTTTTTTCTTTCTTTCTTTCTTTCTTTCTTTCTGTCTGTCTGTCTGTCTGTCTGTCTGTCTGTCTGTCTGTCTGTCTGTCTGTCTGTCTGTCTGTCTGTCTGTCTGTCTGTCTGTCTGTCTGTCTGTCTCTCTCTCTCTCTCTCTCTTTCTTTCTTTTCCTTCCTTCCTTCCTTCCTTCCTTCCTTCCTTCCTTCCTTCCTTCCTTCCTTCCTTTCTTTGAATCCCCTCTGTCTGGGTCGGGAAAGGCTCAAATCGCAGTGAGAGGGGCTGTGCTCTGGGGACTTAGGACCACATTGGGACGTACCATCGACGGCAACTCATGGCATTTACACGGAGCCGTTCACGTCGGGAGGACGTCCCCAAGTTTGCTGGACAGTCAGGGGTTTGGACCCGAGTTGGGGGTCTGGATCAGGAGGGGGTGGAGGGCGGGCGGGGAGGGTGGGGGTAGGAGGGTTGGTCGAAGAGGAGGGTCTTGAAGGAGGCGAGGAAGGAGGGAGGGAGACACACGATTTACCCTTTGCTGTTTCGTGCCAGACGAGCGGATGCTGGAGATGTTGAGACACCAACAGCTTCTGAAGGAACTCCAGGAACTAGTCGATCACCGTAAGTCTGCCCTCGAGAGACAACAACAACTTGCATTTACACAGCGCCCTCTCCCTCCCTCCCTCAGCGCAGTCAGGAGGGGGGGTGGGGGGAAGAGAAGTGAGTTTCTCTCTCCTGGTGTCCTGGCCGACAATCCCCCCCCCCCAAATAAAACTGGCCGCTCAATCCACGCGGGGGACGCCGCCGGGCGCAATTGGCTGCCGGGTTTCGCCCGCAAAGTACACAGTCACTACACTTTGCAGCGTGTCCCGCGAAGCGCTTTAGAGGACGTCTCGAAGACGTGATGAGGCGAGGGTGATTACTAACCACTGGCTGTGCTGAATCCCCTCGTCTTGGTGCACAGAGGAGGCGAGAGAGAGCAAGAGGCATCTTGAAGGTGAGTTGAAGTGGCCCCATACCACGGAGGAGGAGGAGGAGGAGGAGGAGGAGGAAGAGGAGGATGAGAAGAAGAGCGATGCCTATTGGGAGGAGGAGGAGGAGAGCCTCGAGAAGCGAGCGACGGCGGCCAAAAAGGCAGCGGTCGGCCAAGCGAGCAGGCGGGCACCGGCTGAGAAGAAAGACGGCGCCGTGAAGAGAAGGGAAGACCTGGAGAAGATTGACAAGGAGCAGTGGGAGGAGAAGGAAGTGGTTCACGGAGGGGACGACACCAAGACCGAGCTGCGCGATTCCGAGGAGCAGCTGAGCCACGAGGAGGACAAGAGGAACCCCGAGAAGCGAAGGCAATCGTTTGAGGAAGGGGGGAGCAGATCGGAGGAGGAGGAGGAGAAGGAGATAGACGAGCTGCTGGAGAAGGAGGAGCGGGAGAGGGGGGAGGACAAGAGGGCGGGCGAGACGAAGAAGCGTCATGGCGGAGAGGACGAGGAGGAGGAAGAGGAGGAGGAGGAGGAAGGTGAGTTCAGGAAGAGAGGAGGGAAGGAGCGCAGGGACTTTGAGAAGCGGGTGGAAGAGAACGCCAGTGACGAGGAGACTGATCAGTTTGAGGCGGAGCAGAAAGGGATTAAAATCCTCGACTCCCAAATGCACCTTCACGAGGCCATGACCCGCGGCTCTCCCGAGAAGAAATCCCCGGGAGCCGGGAAGAGACGGGGAGAGGACGAGGAGGGAGAAGACGAGGAGGAGAGGGAGGAGGAGGGGGAACTGTGGAAAAGGCACCACGAGGAGCCTGAAGAGGAGAGAGCGGGTGAGGGAATGAGGGAACTGAGAGACGAGGTTAGTTTTTGTCTTCAATTTTGTCACACACACACACGACACACACACACACGACACACACACACAACACACACACAGACACACAACATACACACACACACACACACGCGCCTGTGTTTACCGGCAGTCAGTAGGAACCCGGTTGTTAGTCGATTGGCGGATCGCTTTTCCGGGGGTGATAATCCCTTCAATAATAATAATAATAATAATAATTCGGTCACTCGATCCACGACTGTTTGTGGGACCCAGCCATTGGCCGCCGCGTTTCGCCCACGAAACATACAGTCACTACACTTTAGAACATGTCCTGCGAAGCGCCTTGGAGACGTCTCGAAGACGTGATAAGGCGCTGAATCAAACTGCTATTAATTATTACCGCCGGCCGTTATTAATTGCCGTTATTAATTGCTGTTATTAATTACGACGACAGGAAATGGAGCTGGAGAACCTGGCGGAGATCGAGGCAGAGTTGAAGAAGGTCGCAGAGAAGCTGAGAGAAATCCGACAAGGCTAGGCTCGCCTGGAGCCCACCTCCGAGCTACTTTGGGGGTCTTTGCTGGCGTCGTACTGTTGTGATGCGAGGCTTGCAGCTGTGGCGGTGCGGGTGGGGGTAGGGGGGGCTGGTGGGGGGCGGGCGGGGGGGAAATGCATGGTGTTAATGCAGCCTTTATCGTTTCATCACCTCCCGGAAATGTCTCTCACTCAAAGCAAAACTGGATTTTCAACCTATTTCGTACAGTCCTCTCTTACCCACTCCCCCTTTCCCCCCCCGTTACCTCCTTCTGCTCCACTCCCCCTCCATTATCCCCTCCCTTCCCCCCACTTCTTCTTCCTTGCCCCCCCCCCACTTCCCCCTCCCTTTCCCCTCAGCTCCCCGCTCCCTCCCCCCACCGCTATCAGTCACTACACTTGGACTGTGAAGTCCCACAGCGACCAACTGAAGCCTAAACTACTGGAATCTCCAGCTCTGGGTGTCTGAGCGACATTGCCGGTTTCTGACTGTTAAATTAAATACTCTTTGCTGCTGACTGTATCTTACATTGTGTTTATTACAGAGGGTCTGTTGTTATTTGGGTGGTGGGGGTGGGGGGGGGGTGCGGTGCCCAAATAGCCGTGTGTGTTTATTTGAATCCCCAAAGGTGCCAGACCGAGGCGAGGGTCATCGCAGTCGGCCATACAGTTTGGAGGCCATTTTATTGTTTGTTTTCCATTACGTGTGTCTTGATTTTTTGGGGATAATCGCAGCGCGTGAGATAATAAAGCTTTACAACTCTCCTCCGTGCCTCCCTGGGACTTCTTGTCTCTTGTTTGGCTTCAAAATCTTTGACAAGATATTTATCCCCCTCTCCCACACCCCCCTCTCGCTATCCCCCTCTCCCACACCCCTCTCGCTATCCCCCTCTCCCACATCCCCCTCTCGCTATCCCCCTCTCCCACACCCCCCTCTCGCTATCCCCCTCTCCCACACCCCCCTCTCGCTATCCCCCTCTCCCACACCCCTCTCGCTATTCCCCCTCTCCCACATCCCCCTCTCGCTATCCCCCTCTCCCACATCCCCTCTCTCCCCCTCTCCCACACCCCTCTCGCTATCCCCCTCTCCACATCCCCCTCTCGCTATCCCCCTCTCCCACACCCCTCTCGCTATCCCCCTCTCCCACACCCCCTCTTGCTATCCCCCTCTCCCACATCCCCCTCTCGCTATCCCCCTCTCCCACACCCCTCTCTCTCTCTCTATATCACGTGCAGGACAGAGTCAGCTGAGAAGGAGACAGATGGTCAAGGCTGACAGCTGACGGACCAGCACAGAGCTGAGTCTCGCTCTCACCAGTTCGTGTCGTTTCTCTGAACGGAACTTGTTTTTTTCTCCATATAACGCCAAATGTAGTATAAAGAGTGTTAATTACTGTTTCATTGATTGTATTTAAAGAATGACACTAATTTTGCACTCTGCATTACTGAGGCACATAATAACGCAAATAATAATCCTCGCCTTAGATTTGACTTGTGTAACAATTGAATGCCACAAAGGGTTTCACCGGGAATGTCTTATCAAGTGATTAAGACGTCTCAAAGCGATTCATAGTCAACACACTGTAAAGTGAATTGACTGTGTATTTTGTGGGTGAAACCCGGCAGCGTCCCCACAAACAGTCGTGGGTGGATTGAGTGACCACTTTATTATTATTATTTTTTTGAAGGGATTATTATCCCCCGGAAAAGCGATCCGCCAATCGACTAACAACCGGGTTCCTACTGACTGCCGGTAAATAGAGGCGAGTGTGTGTGTGTGTGTGTGTGTGTGTGGGGGGGGTAAGGAAACTTATCCAATGTTTCGCCCTGGCCGGGAATCGAACCTGGGTCCTCTCGCTTGCGACACGACAGGACTCCAGGCGATTTTAATCCCACCTGTTTAATTCCGCCTTTCAACAACTTGACTTCCCAAAAGTGCAACAAGGAATCATTTAAATCCTAACATTCAAAAAACGAGAGTGATAAAACATAACTAATTTTTAATAAAGTGGAAGGTGAAACACAATACAGCAGCCCTTGGGGTGAATCAGACACAAGGTCAATGACAAACAAACACAGGCAGCCTTGGAGCTTCTCACTAAATGAATTGACCCAGAGATCAAACACTCACAGGAGATTCTTAAATCCTCGGTGAGAAGGATAGAATAAAATGCGAAGCCTTAATGGGAGTTTAAGGAGACAGTCTCCTCAGCACCTTGATTTCTAAGGTTTTGGAATCCTGTTTCTGTGCCCTGTGCTGTCTGTCTCTCCTGGTGTCCGTTAGCTGCTGTTCGCTCTCCATTTCCCTCCTACCTGAGGCAGCTTCTAGGAACGGATCCACACTCTCAAACTGTGGAATGATAAATAGTCAGATCCTCCTCTGCGACCGTGCCTTCACCCACCCTCCTACCCCCTACCGACCCTCCCTGCCCTCCAACCCCCCCTGATCTCAATCACCCTTCATTGGTAACTTGTTCCAGTCATTAATTACCAACTGGCTAAAGAAATACTTCTTGGTGTCTGTCGTGAATTTGCCCTCCGCAGCCCTGAACTTTGCAGCCAGTCCATTTGTCTGTTACCTTGGAGTATCCGAGACAATGTTCTGGGTTTATAACGGTCTTTGCATTTGATAGCCTTCGCATGTTGTTGAGATGTCTCACAGAATATAAATTATAAAGTGTGGTGACTGTATATCTTGTGGGCGGAACGCGACAGCCAATTGCGCACAGCAGCGTCCGTCCCACAAACACTTCTGGATTGAGTGACCAATTTATTTTCTTGGAGGGATTATCACCCCCCGGAAAATGATCTGCCAATCGACTAACAACCAGGTTCCCACTTACTGCTTGGTAAACAGAGACGTGTGGAGCGAGGAAACTTGCCTAAGGTTTCGCCTCGCTCCTCGCACCCGGGTGGTCACTCAAAGTCCAGAAGCTGCAAGTAACAATTGTGGAGTCCTGTAGCTCTATGGTTAGAGCACTCGCCTCACAAGCGAGAGACCTGGGTTTGATTTCCGGACGGGAAAAAACCTTGGGCAAGTTTTCTTACTCCACGCGGCTGATAATAATCCCTCAAGCAAAAAAAAATAATTGGGTCACTTCAATCCACGACTGTTTGTGGGACTCTGCTGTGCGCAATTGGCTGCCACATTTCGCCCACAAATATACAGTCACTTCACTTTACAGTGTATTCTGTGACGTCGAGAAGATGTGAAAAGCGCTATATCAAATGCAAAGATTATTATTATATTATTATTATAAGGGTGTGGGTGAACCAGAGCCATAGAAATAGGAGGAGGCCATTCAGTCCCTGTTCCGCCATTCGATTAGATCATGGCTGATCTGTACCTCAACTCCAATTACCCGCCTTTGCCCCGTATCCCTTGATCCCGGCCTGACAAACATCTACCCACCTCAGTCTGGACATTGTGAATAGATCCAGCCATAATCCACAGCCTTTTGGAGGGGAGGGGTGGGGAGAGAGAGAGAGGTTCCCACTGGCCTTTGTGCGTGTGTGAAAACTGTCTCCTTATTTCTCCTTAATGGCCTCCCTCTAATTTTATGATGATGCCCCCTTGTTCTGGATTCCAGAGGAAATAGTTCTTCCCTTCCTCTTATTCCCTACACTCCTCACCTCCCTCCCTCCCTCCCTCTTCCCTTCCTCCTACACCTCACTTGCACCAGAGGAAATGTTCGGCACTTACCTGACTCTTTCCGGCTGTTAGGGTTTGTTTTAAGTCGGTAATGAGTAAATGGGGAGCCTGTTTTGGAGCCTGATTTCGATAAGCCCGAGTTGTGTTCAGTGGTGGTTGAGGAGGTGGAGGAATCGTCCCCTTGGAAGCCATTCAAGGTTGGGTGAACATATAAGATATCTGACTCTGTCAAAAATTACAAGCAGCCGTCAAACAGGGTAGCGCCTCTGAGCGCTTAACAGTGCTGGAGCAGGATGCCGAGACTGGTCGAAGAGGAAGGTCTTCAGGCGCGATCTGAAGATGGGCGGAGGGATTGAGGGAGCGTGTTTCATAGATTCAGGATGTAGTGGCTGAAAGCTTGGCCACCGATGCTGAGCCAGAGGGATGGGGTAACCGTAAGCACAGTCGAAGAGGAACGTGTCTTCAGGCACAATACATATGCAGTTTGACATTTTGTCAGTTCTGCTACCACCCCATCCCCTCGCCATGCACTCCGCCCAATTCCCAGCTTGTCCCAATCAGGTTGTGTGGAACATCAGATTCCATAGAATCTTACAGCGAAGAAGGAGGCCATTCGGCCCATCGTGCCTTACTGGCTCTTTGAAAGAGCAACCAACTAGTCCCGACTCCCTCGCCCCACTCTAACCCCAACTAGCCCCCACGCCCCCCACTCTTAGCTCAACTAGTCCCCACTCCCCCCCTCTTACCCCAACTAGTCCCCACTCCCCCCCTCTTACCCCAACTAGTCCCCACTCCCCCCCTCTTACCCCACAGCTCTGCACATTGTTCCTTTTCAATTCAGTTCTCTTTTCAAAGCTATTATGGAATCTGCTCCCATCAGCCTTTCAGGCTGTGGGTTCCAGACATTAACAACTCTCCGGGTAAAACAATGTCTCCTCGTCTGTCCTCCCCTCCGGCTCTTTTGCTAATTATCTTAAATCTGTGCCCTCTGGTTCCCGACCCACCCACCAGAGGAAGCAGTTTCACCCTATTTGCTCTATCAAAACCCCCCATTGCAGTACCTGTGGTGGGCACGATTCTTGGATCGATCTTTGCTATTGACTTTTTGATCCGTTCTCCAAACCAGATTTGAAAGCAGCGGAAAATTATGAATATCAGCAGAATACACCAAATGACTGCCAACGTAATCTAAACCAAAAGGGACAAGTGAGGTTCAGTGACACGTGGAATTCACAGTGGATAGAGGTAAATAATAATAATAATTTTTGCATCAGATAGGTCTTCGAGACGTCTCAAAGCGTGTCACTGAATATACTGTAAAGTGTAGTGACTGTATTTTGTGGGTGAAACGCCAATTGCGCGGGTGTGTGCGTGTGGGGGGAGAGGGATTATTACCCCTGAAAAGCAATCTGCCAGTTGACTAATAGGCGGGTTGCTACTTACTGCTATGTAAACAGAGGCATGCGTGTGGAGTAAGGAAACTTGCCAAAGGTTTTGCCCTGACCTAACCCGCCTGGGAATCGAACCTGGTTCCTCTCGCTTGCGAGGCGAGGGCTCTAACCACCTCAGTATCACCACAAGGTGATACTGGTTAATATTTTTAGCTACGGACCACAATTTGTTACCCGGCACATTGCGAGGGTGGAATTTGAGCCCACTGGAGTGGACGCAAGTTGGTGATCCACAAGAGATATAAAATAGCACCAACTTGCTTTGCTTCTTACCAGCATGTAATGGAGTCCTAGGAAAGGGCCGAGTGGTAATCCATGTAGGTGGAGCAGGAACTCCAGGCGATAATCACAGTAGGTACTTTCATCTATTCCCCTGTAAGTCAAGCACCACCAACATTAGTCTTATGTACAGAAGCTGTGGAGATATCGTGCTCTCTGGTCTCACGCTAAGGACAAAATTATTCAAGAGTCAGTGGATCAGAGGGACAGCGTTGGCTGGTTTACAGAATCGTAGAATCCTACAGCACAAAAGGAGGCCATTCAGCCCAGCGTGCCTGGGTCCCACAAACACTGGTGGATTGAGTGACAAAATTATTATAATTTTTTTTGGAGGGATTATTACTCTCGGAAAAGCGATCCGACAATCGATTCACATCCGGGTTCCTACTTACTGCTAAGTAAACAAAGGCATGGGTATGGAGTAAGGAAACTTCCCCAATGTTTCGCCCGGCTGGGAATCAAACCCAGGACCTGTGCCTTGAGAGGCGAGTGCTCTAACCATTAAGCTACAAGATCTCATCTCACTGCAACTGTGACTCAAATCTGAGGCTTGTGTGAGGGAAGGAGAATATCAGGAGGTAAGTTCTAAGTCAGATCACCTGTTGGACACTTCGATGATCAGGATGTACTCGGGACTGTGAAAGCCTCCTAGGACATTGGCGCATGGCGAGTATCTCTCACAGATCCACCTGCAGAAAGAGGGCAAGACAACTCCTGATAACTCGTCACTCCGAGGTGAAAGGGCTCAGTGACGAGTTATCAGGTGTAGCAAGTTAGGCAAACATATAAATACAGCAAATAATAATCCTTGCATTTGATACTGCGTCTTATCACGTCTTCGAGACACCTCAAAGTGCTTCACAGGATATACTTTAAAGTGAATTGACTGTGTATTTTGTGGGCGAAAATTGCACACAATAATGTCCCACTGTTGAATTGTCCTGACTTAAGCCGAGTGCCACGTTAAATCAGGGTTGTCAGGAGTTCAATGCAGCTTCCAGTTTGTTTGCTCTGCTCTGTTTGGCCAGATAATAAATCCTGTGCTGGCCATAAAATTATCTTTAACTGAGCATTTATATTAATAATCATCATAATAATCCTTACATTTGACACAGTGCTTTATCACGTCATTGAGACATCTCAAAGCGCTTCACAGGATACACTGTAAAGTGAACTGACTGTGTATTTGTGGGCGAAACAAGGAATATTATTACTGGTCCCAGTTTGTGAGCTTACACGATTCCTTGGGTGGAATTGCCGTTGAAGATATAGAACCCGTCATCAGTGTATTTGTCAGTTGATTTAGCTCGAAAGGGTTTCCAGATGGCTGCATACTCCTTTCTGTCAGAAAGTATAAAAACACTACAGTATTTAGGTCTCCTGTTTCTCCCTCGTGCCCTCCGTTTCACCATCGGTGGTCGCACTTTCAACCACTACGCACCAAAACTCTCTCCCTCCATCTCTTCAGCTTGTCCTCTCCTAACCAATCTTTGGCCGGGCCTATGGTCGCATCCCTTCCCCCGGCGTGGCGCTGTGCTTCCGCCACTGTCAAGTGCTCTGAGATGCTACCCTGCGTGATGGGTGCTGCGTAAATGCAAGTTGTTGTTTGCATAGTCCTGTAGCGTTGGGGTTAAAGCACTCGCCTCGCAAGCGGGAGGACTCGGATTCGATTGCCAGTCAGAGCAAAACTTTAGTCACGTTTTCTGACTCCACACGCCTCTGTTCAGCAGTAAGTAGGAACCCGGTTGTTAGTCAATTGGTGGATCGCTTTTCCTGGGGGTAAAAATCCCTTCAAAAAAAGTGATGATTTGGTCACACAATCCACGACTGTTTGTGGGACACTACTGTGCCCATTTAGTTGCCCTGTTGCGCCCACACAGTCACTACACTTTACAGTGTATTCTGCGAAGTGCTTTGAGGCGTCTCAAAGATGTGATAAGGCGAGGATTCTTATTATTGTTGTAGACGAACATGGCAGATTGTGCACAGCGACGTCCCACAAACAGCCATTGACCCACCTTTATCTGGAAGGTAAAGGTACGGCAATAGGCAGAGGAAGACACAATTTCCTGACACTTGTTTATCCCAGCTGAGAATAAGAAATCATAATAATCTTTTACATTTGATACAGATCCTTTCATATTGGTGGGGAGGGGGTGGGGAGGGGTGAATGTCTCAAAGCGCTTCACAGGACTTACAGTTGACCATTACCTGAAGAGTATGGAGTTATAGTTCATGATCTCATCCTGGTAAAAATATCGAATATTTTCCACATTATATGGGCCGCCTCCAATTATTTTGAAAGTGTAGCTGAGAGAGAATAATGAGGCATGTATTACTGATCTGAAATATTAGTGCCTATCACACAAGAGGTAGTTAAAACGATTAAAAAGCTGCAGCCCCAACAATCTTTTTATCTACCGCCAAAATCCTCTGTGTCCCCCTGCCTGGCCTGCCCCACCATCATAGGTTGGGCCTTCAGCCTCCGTGCCCCCACCCTCTACAACTCCATCCCACACTCCCTTCCACCAGCCCCTTCCCCCGTCTCCTTCAAGGCCCGTCTCAAGACCCTTCCTCTTCGACCGTATCTTTGCTCACCTCCCCCCCCCCACCTCCCTCTGGCTCAGCGTTGTGCTCTGGGACACTGCCCTGCGTGAGGAGTTGTTGTTGTTGGATTAGGTAAGCGGTATGCGTCCCTCCAGGGCATTCTATTCCAGATACAGGGAGATTTCTCTGTGTGGGTGGCCTCTCTACTGGCCGGTAGATCAAGTGGTCATTCTTCACTCACCTGCCCTTAAACCGATCAGATTCTCCCGTTACCAAATCTTGAGTCAAGAAAAAAGGATGAAATACTGCAACAAAACAGACAGAACGGTGTGTTACAAACCTACAGAGCGGAGAATAAATTGGCCGGGTTGACATGTACTCCAGAATTAACTCCGATATTAACTTTGTTTAGTTAGTGTGGAGTGGTCGGGCCTTCAGCCTCTCTTCCCCTCATCTTTTGGAACTCCATCCCACAATCACTTCACCTCCCTCCCTCGCCTCCTTCAACACACGTCTCAAGACCCTCCTCTTCAACCAACCGCGCCTTCAGTCACCCTCCTACCCCCACCCTCCCTGCCCTTCAACCCCTCCTGATCCCAAACCCCAGCTCGGGTCCAAACCCGACTGTCCAGCAAACTTGGGACGTCCTCCCGACGTGAACGGCGATTTAAATGTAAATCTTTTGGTGCAGCCAACACACACTTACCGTATTCATAGTAGAAGCACGGCATATCCACTTTAGGATAAATACAGTCAAAGAATTGGGTGTTTTTTTGAGTCATGTATTTTATTGTTTGGAAAATATCGAATGCGAGCCGTTTACCAGGTGGGCAGCCTATGAATATTTTCATTGAATTTTTGCCCTGAGAAAAAGAGGACACATTCGCAGAATATTCACTGACCAAGCCTAACAATTCAGGACAATTAATGACCAGCTAATGTTTGTATATAATAATTATACATAAACAGATTATGTATAATTATATACATCTCGAAGACGTGTCAGGGATGCTGCTGTGCACAATTGGCTGCCGCATTTCGCCCACAAAATACACAGTCACTGCACTTTACAGTGCATCCTGTGAAGCGCTTTGAGAAGTGGATGAGAAGTGGGTGCTGGGAATCCATTGGAAGCCAATCTGCACGCAGTAATGTCCTGCAAACAGCCATGAAAGTGAGTGACCACTTTTATTTGGGGGATTGTTGGCCAGGACAGAGAGAAACTTGTTTTGAATAGTTGCACGGGATCTTTAACTCCCATCTCAACAGGCCTCGGTTTAACGTCTCGTCCGAAGGACAGCGCCTCCGACTATGCCGCACGCCCCCAGCGCTGCATTGGAGTGCCATCTCGGCAGGGCATCTTGTCCAACTGGTGTCCGGCCCACAGGCCAATTTCATTCACATGTAGAGAGATGGAGCAGGCCGGAGCCTGCTGAACGGGGGGAGCTGACAGGTTGATAGTGGGCTAGCAGGTCAGAGAGTTAGGAGGGAGCAAGGCCATGGAGGCGTCAGAGGCGAGAGTGCTACCGACAGCCAACCAATGTGTCACAGGGACAGAACCGTTTGGTGTTTAACCCTGGGTGAGGCACATTCTCTACCAGAGTCTGGTGTGTCCAAGTGGTTACCTGATTCAACAAAGTTCCGCCCAATTCATGAAAGCAGGAGAGTTCAGAATTCACCACCTGAAAAAGAAGAGAAATAATAATCATAATAATCCTTGCAGTTGATATACGCAGGTCAGCGTCTCAGAGCACTTAATAGTGGCGGAGCCTGACTCCGAGCCGGGGGGAGGTGGCCGTAAGCACGGTCGAACAGGATAGTTTTCAGGCGATTCGCCTACAAATATACAGTCAATTCACTTTACAGTGTATCCCGTGAAGCGCTCAAAGACGTGATAAGGCGCTGTATCAAATGCAAGGATTATAATTATTATTATTATTATCATTATTAATGGCCTACAATGGTCCAGTCACAAGCTCACCTTGAATATAACGGAGATCGATTTTAAGTTTTCACCCGGCAGATTCTGACCTACGTACAGAGAACGATCTTGTACCTTGACCTATCACAAGAGGCAGTGTGAATACAACAACACAAGACATTTATACGAAGCCTTTCACGTCAGGATATCCCAAGGTGCTGGACAGTCAGGGATTAGGGCCCGAGCTGGGGGTTGGGATCAAGAGCGGTGGAGGGCGGGGATAGGAGGGTGACCGAAGGCTGGGTGGAAGAGGAGAGTGTTGGGACGGGCCTCGAAGGAGGCAAGGGAAGGGGCTAGGTGAAGGGACTGTGGAGTTCAAAAGGGTGTGGGCAGAGAGGCTGAATAAACCAGCAGCAAAATATTTTTCTGATAACAAAAAGTGTTGATGACATTTGCTTCCCTCATCATCTCAGGGGCAGCCTCACCCACAGCAAAGAGCAGAGACAGACCTCTAGGCTGCCTGGATTGACACTACTCAAATCCATTACCAGAGGTGCCAACTTTAGGAAGATAGGAACGGGAGTAGGCCATTCAGCCCATCGAGCCTGTTTCACCATTCTATTAGATCATGGCTGGAAGTAAGAATGAATTACTTATTATTATTACTACCTGGTACACCAGAGTGTCTCGATGGAATTCCTCTTGTCTGACTAAAGAGATATGAATGTATTTGGGGTTGGAAGTCAGTGCTATCAGCCACACCTCGTTCATATACTTCTCCAGAAGAATATTGGCTGTAAAGCACAACACAAATTGTTTATTCGTTAAGGCGACGCTCGCTGTTGAGGTAAAATCTTTAGGCACTCGCTTTATGGATTTGTTTGAAAAAAATAGCTGGATGCTATGATGGGAATAGGGGAGGGTGGGTATCCTGCAAGGGTTGAGATCAGATAGGCCGAAGGGTCTTCTTCAAACCCAAACCAATCCCCTGATCTTGGGATTTCAACGCTCTATATTTCAACGCTCCGGGACGCCAACCCGTGAAGGGCACTATATAAATGCGAGTTGTTGTTGCAAATTGATGGAGGTTAAAATAGATTAGCAGCCACCTGATGTGGATTGCGCAATCGGCTGCCGCGTTCCGCCCACAAAATGCACAGTCAATTCACTTCGCAATATATTCTGTGAAGCACTTTGAGACGTCTCAAAGACTTGGTAAGACGCTATAAATAAATAACCAAACAATAGTAATTTGGTCACTCAATCCACGATGGTTTGTGGGACACTACCATGTGCAATTGTCTGCCCACAAAATACAGAGTCGATTCACTTTACAGGATATATCCATTGACATGTCTCAGCAACGTTGCGCTCGCTCAAGCGCATGGATTGTTGTTATTATTATTATTCATATTGTTAAACACGCATGTATTTTGAGAAAAATTCAACTCACTGCTTTTCAAAGAAAAGTAGACAGAAAACTCATACGAGGCATTCATGTCCAGGTATACAGAGTGAGGGAGGCTCCCATAAGGCTTTAGATCATACACCTTCTGGTAATCAAATGTCTCCACGTGGAATCCATAATCCGTAAGCTTGTTACTGGCCATATAGAAGTAATAATACTGCAATGGGGGTGGGGAGGGGGAGAGGCAAGGAAGGAGGCGGAAAGATGATGAACAGATATAAGATGCTTTGTCCAGCAATGCAGCCTGCATGTTCTGCTTGTCAAAACATAAAAATACAGCCTACTTACAATAACAGTAATAATCCTTGTATTTGCTACAGAGCTTTATCACGTCGTTGAGACGTCTCAAAGAGCTTCGTGGGACACACTGTAAAATGTAGTGACTGAATTTTGTGGGCGAAACGCAGCAGCCAATTGTGCACAGCAGTGTCCCACAAACAGTCGTGGATTGAGTGACCAAATTATTATTATTATTATTTCTGAAGGAATTATTACCCCCTGGAAAGCGATCCGCCAATCGACTAAACAGACGAGTGGAATAAGGAAACTTGCCCAACGTTTCGCTCCGCCTGGGAATCGAACTCAGGTCCTCTCGCTTGTGAGGCCAGTGCTCTAATCATTGCTACGGGCACTATATCAAATGCAAGGTTTGCGCTTTCAAATCATGTAAGCAGTAGGACTTCATACCTCATTCTGCAATTGATTTCTCCACCAGCGCCAGGTTGGGTCATGTATTTGATCTGCGTAAGACTGGAAAAAAAAAAGCTTATGTTAGTAAAGCCAATTAATTAATCTGCTCACCTTCAGACCGATGATCTTTCACCTTCAGACCGATCATCATGTTACTTCTGACCACCAAAGCGAAGCAGGTGGTAACCATTTTAATAAACCATTACTGTATACTGTAATGCTGGTAACCATTGCCTGAAAGACTGGAGGAAGCCGATTCGATAAAATTTTAAGAGAGAAGTAGATAATTATTTATCTACTTAAATAAGTAAATAAAAAATTATTTATCTACTTAATAAATAAGCCTAATAATAATCCCTCCAAAACAAAACAATAATAAATCGGTCATTTTCAATCCATGGCTGTTTGTGGGGACTCTGCTGTGCGCAATTGGCTGCCGCGTTTCGCCCACAAATATACAGTCAATTCACTTTACAGTCTATTCTGTGAAGCGCTTTGAGACGTCTCGAAGACGCTATAAGCCGAGTATTATTATTATTATCATAATTTACAGGGGTATATGGCGAAACAGCGGGGGAGTAGGATTGATTGGGTAACTCTTCCAAAGAGCTGGCACAGGCACAATGCACTGAAGGGCCTCCTTAGTTATTTCTGTGATAGTAACTACAGTGGTTAGCTTGGTATCTTTCCTCACTCTATAAAAGGTAGAATGCAGCCAGAGTATCTGGTAAATCAATCCCTGATAAGTTTGAAGCGCCAACTCGTTGTACAGCCCTAGTTCGGAGAAGGTCCAAGGTGGCTGGGTTCTGTAGTGTTGCATCCGATTAAATTTCTGCAGATTATACAAGTTTTTGAACTTCATTGATGTGAAAGGACAACGCTGGATAAACTCAATGTAATTCTTCTTCCTGCAAAAATAAATGGACAGCACGTTAATCCTTTTCACTTACACTTGTTCCTCGTGCAATTATTATAATAATAATCCTCGCGTTTGATATATAAACCCCCCCAAAAAAATACAAAATGACATTCGTATAGTGCCTTTCACGTCGGGAGGACGTCCCAAGGCGTTGGGTCACTCAGGGATTTGGACCTGTGTGCCTTTGAGTCGTCTCAAAGCACTCCACAGCATATTGTAAAGTGAATTGATTGGGTATTTTGTGGGGAAAACGCGGCAGCCAACTGTGCATAGGTGGTCCCACAAACAGTTGTGGATTGAGTGACCAAGTTATTATTTTTTAAGGGATTATTACTATTACCCTGGAAAAGCGATCTGCTAATCAACTAATAACCAGGTTCTCACTCAGTGCTCGGTAAACAGAAGCATGTGGAGCAAGAAAATTTGATTTTTGCCCTGTCCGAGAATTAAACCCAAGTCCTCTCGCTTGCGAGGCGAGCTCTCTAAACAGTATACTATGGGACTCCACCTACGGATGCTGTGGTTTTCATCAGATTAGTTTGGATAAAGAACTCATCTTATCCAATGCCAATTGACAGCGTTGCTTAATTTCACTCACCCAGAAGTTTCTTTGGAGAAGAACAGTGTAGAGAAACTTGCATGGGATAATATTTCATTAAGTGGAAATCTCCGTTTGAAGATTTTGGTGCCATTAAAGTACTGCACACGGACCAACTGAAACAAAGGAGGCAAATGTCAACTGTGACACGACTCTGATTCAATAATAATAATCCTCACATTTAACATAATAATAACCCTTGCATTTGATACAGCGCCTTATCACCCCTTCGAGACGTCTCAAAGCGCTTCACAGGATATATTGTAAAGTGTAGTGACTGTGTTTTGTGAGTGAAACACAGCAGTCAATTGCGCACAGCAACGTCCCACAAACAGTCGAAGGGGCTTCTTCAACCAAACTAATCTTATAATCTGTGAGATCGTATACAGCAATGAGATGAATGACCCGAATTTAATATTTATTTTGAACAATATAGATTAAGGAAATTATGGATTCATCCTGATACTTTGTCAACAATTCTAAAAGTAATTTGAATCTATAGAGGGAATCAATCTGTTCAAAATTATGAGGGGTTTGGTAGAGTAAATAGGGAGAAACTGTTTACTATGGTGGGTGGGTTGGTAACCAGAGGATACAGATTTAAGATTATTGGCAAAAGAATCAGAGGGGAGACGAGGAGAATTTTTTTTACCCAGAGTTGTTACGGTGTGGAACGCACTGCCTTAAAGGCTGGTGGAAGCCGATTCGACAAAAGCTTTCAATAGGGAATTGGATAGATACTTGAAAAGAAAAAACTGTCAAGGCTGTGGGGTAAGAGCGAGGCAGTGGGACTTGCTGGTAGCTCTTTCACACAGGCACAACAGGCCAAATGGTTTCCTTTTGCTCTGTAAGATTCTAAGTAAGTAGGAACCCGGTTGTTAGTGAATTGGCAGATTGAGAGTAATAATCCCTTCAAAAATAAATAAAAAATAAACAAGTAATAAAATTTTTTTAAAAATGTGGTTACTCAGTTCAACGACTGTTTGTGGGACACTGCTGTCTGCAATTGACTGCCGCGTATACAGTCAATTCACTTTACAGTATATTCTGTGAAGCGCTTTGAGACGTCTTGAATACGTGATAGGGTGCTATATCAAATGCAACGATTATTATTATGATGATGATCCTATGACATTTAAACTCAACAAAGATCCTTTAATAAGTGTTCACTTACCTCCTGTAATTCCTTATTCCTGTCAAAAAAGATGGATAACATACTCTCCGAAGTGGAGTAACTATGATGCTTATTTAACATCTGTAGACTCAAATACAAATTCCAACTGGTCGAAGGACGCAAGCGGATGACCTCTGGGCTACCTTCCACGCCGTACCACACCTGAAATGAGGGTTTTATTAATGAATAATAATAATAACCCTCGCATTTGACCCGGTGTCTTATCACGTCTTCGAGACGTCTCAAAACGCTACAAAGGATATACTGTAAAGTGAATTGAATGCATTTTGTGGGCGAAAGTCGTGGATTGAAGTGACCAATTTTTTTTTTGAAGGAGTTATTACCCCAGAAAATGTGATCCCCAATTGCTTTTCCGGGTTATGAAGCAGAAATGTACGAATGCAACATGAATTAGTTACACGGATGTACAGGGCGGTCTTGTTAAAGGTACATTCATCATAATAATATTTGCATTTGATACAGCGCCTTATCACATCTTCCAGACGTCTCAAAGTGCTTCACAGGATGCACTGTAAAGGGCAGTGACTGTGTATTTTGTGGGTGAAATGCAGCAGCCAATTGCGAACAGCAATATCTCACAAACAGTCGTGGAGCGAGCGACCAATTTTATTTAGGAATTGTCGGCAAGGACGCGAGAGAGAGAGAGAAACTGCCTTCTCTTTTCGAATAGTGCCTTGAGATCTTTAACGTCCACCTGACCGTGTTTCGTTTCGCCCACAACATATACAGTCAATTCACTTTACCGTATATTCTGTGAAGCGCTTTGAGACGTCTCGAGGATGCGATAAGAACCTATATCAAATGCAAGGATTATTACTATTATTACTATTAGCATCCAATTGAAACACACCAGTGAACACACCCGTGTTTACCTAGAGTTAAGTAGGAACCCGGTTGTTAGTCGATTGTCGGATTGCTTTCAGGGGGAAATAATCCCTTAAAAAAAAATAATAATTTGGTCACTCAATCCACGACGGTTTGCGGGGCGCTGACTTGCTCATTTGGGCACCGCGTTCCGCCCACAAAATATGCAGCTTCACGGTACTGGTCTACACACCTCTTTCCCGTCAGCGACAAAGACAAAATCTCCCTTCCAAGAAGAAACAAAGTAATCAATAACGGTAGTCGGAGGAATATTTGGGATCGCCAGCCAGTTGATGCCATTGTAACTGAAATGACATGCAAGTAAATCTTCGTTAGGAGTTTGCCCCCAATGTAGAAATATAGACAAACCCCAACAAGCCGAACCAATGGGGCTGGGGGGGTAATGTAGAAGATGCAGGCTGGTGAGCATCTCCAGCTGATGTCGGGAGGACATCGCAAAGCCCTGTAGTTCATTTCCGAGCATTGCATATGACCACTTTACCGTTGTGTAAAAACACGTAGTCACTCACCCACCCACCCACCCACCCACACAGATGACAGACAACAGACAAAGGATGGTGAGGCAGGAAGCTGTGAGATCACCTGAAAATTAAAAAAAAAGTTTTGGGTGTTTCAGACCCGGTCCGACCAGAGTTCAATTATAATAACAATGATAAGCCTTGCATTTGATATAGCGCCTTATCACGTCTTCATTTGTCTCAAAGAATATACTGCAAAGCGACTGACTGTATTTTGTGGGCGAAACGCGTCAGCCAATTGCGCACAGCAGTGTCCCACAAACAGTCTTGGAACAACTTATCATTTTCCAGACACCTGGAGTCCAGAATGCCATTTTAAGTAAGAAAGGTAAAATATATTAAGATGAAAAAACAGCTGCAAAGTGTGAACAGAAATAATACAGACACAGAGGGTCAAGTGGCCACTTTCTGTTCTGAAAATGTATTCAGTATTCAGAGTTTCTGAAACGGTTAATAAAAATTAAAGGAAATAATGATCAGAAATATTACCTGGTGAATAAAAAGTTTCCCCATAAGAAGGACATTGAGCTCTCTGCATTGACTGCAATTCCTTTTGCAACCAGAGGATAGTCTGTATATTCTTCAATACCGAGTATTATCACAAAGCTACGCTGCTCTAGAAGGTGGGAACAAGCCACTCATTAAATAATAATAATCCTTGCATTTGATACAACACCTTATAACGTCATTGAGATGACTCAAAGCGCTTCACAGAATAAACTGTTAAATGAATTGACTATATTTTGTAGGTAAGACGCGCTCGCCAATTATGCACAGCAGCGTCCCACAAACAGTCGTGGATTGAGTGACCAAATAATATTTTTTTTAAGCCATTATTATCCCTGGAAAAGTGATCCACCAATCGACTAAAAATGGGTTCCTACTCACTGCTGGTAAACAGAGGCGTGTGTGGAGTAAGGAAACTTGTCTGAGCCCCTGCCCGGGAATCAAACCCGGGTCCTCTCGCTTGCGAGGCAAACACTCTAACCAATATACTACGGGACTCTATCAAATACAAGAACACTAAGATGGGGTGTAACCCTCTCACAATAGGATGAAGAACGGCAGAGAAAATACCACTTACCTTTGGGTACAAATTGAGGAAGTATAAAGTGAAGCTTGCACCGTTTTGTTTCTTTAAGACGCAGAAAAACAAAGAAATCATGAGTCAACAACAACAAACAAAAAGGGACATTTACTAACGACCTGATTCCTACTTACTGCATGGTAAACAAGAGATAGGAAACTTGGCCAACATTTCGTCCTGATCCGCCTGGGAATCGAACCCAGGTTCTCTTGCTTGTGAGGCGAGTGCCCTAATCACTGAACTCCATAAACTTACTTAAAGAATAATGCATCAGGTAGTATAATATCCCTTGCTTGACAAATGATACACCTTCCACCAATATCACAATAATGTCATTGAGATTATCCAACGATGCCCAAATTATACTGCAATCTCCTGCAGGAAAAAAACAAATATAAAGCTCAGCCCATCTCAACTGAACATACAGTTTCAGCTATTGTTACATCTCCTAAAATAGTCACAGGTTTAAATCTTGCAATTCCGAAACTAATGGGAACACAAATTCTTCCCACTCAGCTCATTAATAATACAAAATTACATTTGTAAAGCCTCTTTCATGTCGGGAGAACTTCCCAAGGCACTGGGGACTAATAAATCTTGCATTTGATACAGCGCCTTATCATGTCATCGAGACGCCTCAAAGAGATTCACAGAATATACAATAATGTGAATTGACTGTGTATTTTGTTGGTGAAACACAGCAGCCAATTGCGCGTACCAGTGTCCCACAAACAGTCTTGGGACAAAAAAAAATCCCTAAAAAAATTCTTTCAAAACAAAGATTATGGCAAATGGAATTAAAGACAATGAGACTACCTGAATAGAAAGATATTCGGACAACATAAAACAAAGAGTAAGATGTAAGGGTAAAGAAAAGCTTCTCAAGACTAGGAAGGTTAATAATAACAATAATCCTTGCTTGCATTTGATATAGCGCCTTATAATGTCGTCAAGACGTCTCAATTACTTCACAGAATACACTATAAAGCGAATTGACCGTTATATTTTGTGGGCAAAACTTTCAGTGATTTGTGCTTCACTTTGGGGAGAACAAGTTCCAGGGCTATGGGGAGTGTGGGGGAGTGGGACTGAATTGGATAGCTCTTTTCATAGAGCCGTCACAGCACAATGGGCTTAATGGCTTCCTTTTGTGCTGTATAATGCCATGAAAGGATTAGTTGAGGTACAGAACAACCATGATCTAATTAAGGGAGGAGGCGGCGAAGGCACTGGGGGATGGAGTTCCAGAGCCTCGGGGCTGAGAGGCTGAAGGCCACCGATGGTCGGGCGGTTGGGGCGGGGGATGTGGAGCAGACCGGAGCCAGAGGAACGGAGGGTACAGGCAGGTAGGTAGGGGGATAGTAGGTCGGAGAGGTAGGAGGGAGCGCGGCCGTGAATGGCCTTGTAGGTGAGGATGAGGATCTTGAATTCGATCCTCTGGGGGATGGGGAGCCAGTGAAGGCGAGCGAGGGTGAGGGCGAGGGTGGGAGTGATGTGGTCGAACAGAACCCCGAGGTTCCTGATGGCTTTGAGAGGTGGAGAGTGCGGCCTTTGATGCTGATGCTGTCAGCGCCTGAGGTGCGGAGGCGCTGACGCGACCCAATCAGGAGGGCCTCAGTTTTGCGCACGTTGAGCAAGATATAATCATGTTCTTACTTACTTTTTATGTGTCGACATATCTTTCGAGTTTCTGTCACAGTAGTGATTGTCAACTCTCCATCTAAACACAGAACAAATTAATGTTAGGTGAACAAGTCATACTACAGTAATTGAAAACAACCAAAATCTATTCAGAAAAACAAACCGTCTCTTTTCAAAATCACCCTTTTTAATCTTATCTTTTATTTTAGAACCCCAAAACTGTGGAACTCTCTCCCTCAATCCCTCCCTCTGCCTTGCCCCCTCTCCTCTCTCCCCTTTTTCAAGTCCCGCCTGAAAATCTTCCTCTTCGACCATGCTTACGGTCACCTTCCCCTAACCCCTCACTTCCGGCTCGGAGTCAGGCTCCGCCACTGTTAAGCGCTTGGAGATGCTACCCTGCGTAGCGGGCGCTAAATACGTGCAAGTTGTTGTTGTTGTTACCTCTAATCTCGATCACCATTAATAATTTTACTTATTCAGTTCTCTTTTATCAGATTCGGAATCTGTCCTTTAGGAAACAGAAACACAGTATAACGTACTGATCTGTTATATTGCCAAACCTTTGATGGTGCCCAGAAAGAGATAAGCTTTATGTTGACCACTTCCAATGATGAAAATCTTCTCTTCGATATCCTGTGAATGGAACACTGGGATCAGTCTGCCCACACAAATGTTGCTCATCACACGTACCCAACGCTCTGCCAAAGAAAATAATAATCATCCAAGCATTTAATCATAATAATAATCCTTGCATTTGATATAGCGCTTTATATCATCTAGATGTCCCAAAGCGCTTCACAGGATATACTGTTAAGTGAATTGACTGTATATTTTGTGGGCAAAACACGGCAGCCAATTGCACACAGCAGCGTCCCCACAAACAGTCGTGGGTTGAGTGACCAATTTTTTTTGAGGAATTAGCAACCGGGTTCCTACTTACTGCTAGGTAAACAGAGGTGTGTGTGTATGGAGTAAGGAAACTTATCAAACGTTTCGCCCTGTCCCACCCAGGAATCAAACCCAGGTCTCTCGCTTGCGAGGCGAGTGCTCTAACCACTGAGCTATAGGATTCCAGGCCAGAAATTTGGCTAAATCCAGGAGTGTTATAAACCGGGTCACCCTTTACCATAATTAAGCAGTGCCTATGCTAGTACCTGATCCACCAGACACCAGTGGTAGCAAGCTGTAATTTCCTCTGAAATAATACATCAGCTGATTCTGACGAAAAAATAGCATACTCTCCATGGCAATAGCGTCATGTATGGTGGCTGAGTAATCACCTTCGGGGCAGGAGAGTCTACTGAGCCAACAGCTGTCAACGGCCACCTGTGAACACAACAGATACATAGAAGCTTACAGCACATAAGGAGGCCATTTGGCCCATCGTGCCTGTGCCAGCCCTTTGAGCTACTAACTAGTCCATCCCACTCCCCTGCTCTTACCCCATAGCCCTGCAAACTTTTCCCTTTTAAACCTATTATCGAATCTGCTTCTACCACAGTTTCAGGCCATGCGTTCCAGATCGTAACAACTCTTTGTGTAAAAAAAATCTCTCCTCGTCTGGTCTCCCCTCTGGCTCTTGTTGGATTTTCAATTAACCCTGTGTTTACAAATGACAATCAATGCCATTTGCCTTCGAGATGTTACAAAATTATGACATTAAAAAAATGCAGATTAATTTCTACTAAATGATCTTTGAAAGAGCTACTAACTAATCCCACTCCCCCGCTCTTACCCCATAGCCCTGGAGATTTTTCCTTTTCCCAGAGTTGTTACTAAAAAAATTCTCCTGATCTCCCCTCTAGTTCTTTTGCCAATTATCTTAAATCTGTGTCCTCTGATTACTGGCCCACCACTCGCCAGAGGGAACAGTTTCTCCCTATTTACACTACCAAGTACCTATCCAATTCCCCTTTGAAAGCTACTATCGAATGAAATATTCTTCTGCTCTGAACCTTTCTAAGGATAAATATACTTTCAAAGCTGTTCCACAAATGATATTTTACCGTATTAGTGGGCAAAGCTCTGTTACCTCCACTGCAGTAAATGTATCAAACTCCGTGGTAGATAAAAGGATGATTTTCTGGTCCCACATTCCTCCCAAAATGAGGACAGGAGTAACGTCGTTCACAAACCACAGAGGTTGAGGATATACGGGATATAATAGCATGTCTGAAATGTCTTTCAGCTGCAAAACAGATCAGAATTGAAAAGAATCAAAAAAAACAGCACACAACACATGACATTTACACTGCGCCTTTCAAGTCGGGAGGATGTCCCAAAGCGCTGGACCGTCAGGTATTGGGACTCGGGATCAGGAGGGGTTGAGGGCAGGGGTAGGAGGGTGACTGAAAGTACAGTTAAAGAGGAGGGTCTTGAGATTTGTCTTGAAGGAGGTACGGAAGTGAGGTGAAGTGACTGTGGGATGGAGTTCCAAAGGCAGGGTGGGGGCAGAGAGACTGAAGGCCCGACCGTCAATGGCGGGGTGAGCCGGGTGGGGGCGTGAAGCAGGCAGGAGCTTGCTGATCGGAGGGAGCGGACAGGTTGGTAGGGGGTTAGCAGGTCACAGATGTAGGGAGGAGCAAGGCCATGGAGGGCTTTGAAGGCGAGGACGAAGATTTTGAACTCTATCCTCTGAGGGATGGGGAGCCGGTGCAAAGAAATGATAAATGTAACTTTTTCAGATTTGTTATATGTCCTTGCTGTGTGCAAATAAGGTCTCTCAGCCTTTTAAGTCAGAAGATTATGGGTGAAAACCCATGTGGGGACTTTGAGCTCAGTCTCAGCTGTGCACTAATTTAGAATCAGCATCGGAGAAGTAAAAACATTAAGCAATAAGCAGATTTAAGATAATTGGCAAAAGAACCAGGGAGGAGATAAGGAGACATTTATTTTACCCAGAGAGTTGTTACGATCTGGAATGCACTGCCTAAAAGGGCGGTGTAAGCAGATTTGATGGTAGCTTTCAAAAGGGAATTGGATAGGGATTTGAAAAGGAACAATGCGATAAGAGCGGAGAGTGGGACTAGTTGGTGGCTCTTTCAAAGAGCCGGCACAGGCACAATGGGCCGAATGGCCTCCTTCTGTGCTGTAGGATTCTACAATTTTGTGACTATGGTAATAGGTAGGAAGTGGGATTTATTTTTTAAAAAGCTGAAATTTTCTCCTGGTTTGTGTAGGCGTGTGGTATGTGTGTGGCTGCATGTGCTTGGAACATGTTTGTCCGAAACACTGATTATCCAGCGCCTTGGGACGTCTTCCCGACGTGAAAGGCGCTATACAAATGTAATTTTATTGTTGTTGTTGTTGTTGAGATGTTAGTTCTGGGTTTGACTCGTTTGACCATGGTTATTTTCATCGAGTACTTGGCATCTCACAGACGGTAATATTCCCACTTTATTTACTTGGCGTCCAATGATATGTTCGTGGACTTCAAGCTTCCCATTGGATCCTGCAGTTGTGTCCTTTGCGTATCCATCAATGTTTAAAAGTAACCTGGAGAAACAGAGCATTGCATAAAAGGAAACAGCAGAAACAAAAAGATTACAAAAAGGCCAACACAATTCATATAATAAACAATATACTATAATAATACAACAAAATTACATTTGTATAGCGCCTTTCACATTCCAAGGTGCTGGACAATCAGTTTTTTGGACCTGAGCTGGGGGTCGGGATCAGGTAGGGTGGACAGCAGGTGAGAAAGGAGGGTGATCGAAGGCACGGTTGGTTGAAGAGGATCTTGAAGGAGGTAAGGGATAGGGTTCCAGAGGGTGGAAGCAGAGTGGCTGAAGGCCCGCCCACCAATGGTGGGGCGGGCAAGGCAGGGGACGTGAAGCAGGCCGGAATCTGCTGACCCCCTAACCCCCCTGCCAACGGGCAGGTTGGTAGGGGGTTAGGAGGTTGCAGAGGTAGGGTAAGCAAGGCCATGGAGGGCTTTGAAAGTGAGGACCAGAATCTTGAACTCCCATCTGTGTGATGGGAAGCCAGTGGAGTCGGGCGAGGATGAGACGAGGATGCTTGTGAGACGAGTCCTCTAAACACTACCCTACAGGACTCCATATTAATAATAATCCTTGAACTAAAGATCCCATGGCCCTATTGGAAAATGGAAAGGAGTTCTGGCCAACAATCACCCAGATAAAATTGGTGATTCACTTCATGGCTGTTTGTGGGGTACTCCTGTGCGCAAAGTTAGAATCAGCGCGGGAGCAGCATACATATTAAGCAAGAAACAAATTCAAGATAATTGGAAAAAGAACCAGAGGGGAGACGAGGAGACTTTTTTTTACCCAGAGAGTTGTTACGGTCTGGAACACACTCCCCGAAAGTCTGATGGGAGCAGATTCGATAATAGCTTTCAAAAGGGAATTGGATAGGAACTTGAAAAGGAAAAATTTACAAGGCTGTGGGATATGAGCGGGGGAGTGGGACTGGGTTTCAAAGAGTCGGCATGGATACGATGGGCCAAATGGCCTCCTTCTGTGCTGCACGGTTCTGTGATTCTATAATCCAGCCAGCCAGTAGGCCAAATAAATCTCCCCCATGCCTTTAGTTAAAAAAAACTGGCTAAATTTGAAAGAATGCTATCAGCGCCAATTCCATTTCAACATTAGTTGTTTCTTCGTCACTTTATTTTCAGAAAGCAGTTACGTTTATGAGATGCAGTCTTACCAAGCGTTCCCAGGACGCTACCCTGCGTGAAGGGCACTATATTAATGTAAGTTGTTGTTAATTTGATCATAATTCACTGAAATAACAATTTGTAAAATGTGTCGCCATACTTTCGGTCCGGTATGTGAAAGCCAATTCCATTGGTTCTGATGTGCGCTTCAGATCTCACAGACCCGTTCCTATATGGCAGAGGAAGGTACCAGGCTATGTCACAAATTTCGCTCTTGCAATTTTTAGCTGTGAACAGGAAAACGAAAAGCATTTTAGGAACACATCCCTTGAGGTACATGTTTACAAATTTACTCCAACACCATGGAGATAAGTCAAACACATCAGCTCCTCTGCATATTGGATATAAGTTCAAGTTAATTACAATAACAATAATTTCTGCATTTGATAAAGCACCTTATCACGCCATCAAAACAACAACTTGCATTTACACAGCGCCCCTTACACAATGTACTGTCCCAGAGCGTTTGACAGAAGACTGAGTTGGGGGAGGTGACTGTAGGCACGGTCGAAGAGGAAGGTCTTCAGATGCAACCTGAAGGGGTAGGATGGAAGAGGCAAGGTGGAGGGATCAAGGGAGCGAGTGACAGAGTTTCGGGCATAGAGGCGGAAGACACGGCCACCGATGATGGAGCGGAGAGCATGAGGGATAAGCAGGAGGCCGGAGCCAGTCAAGCAGAGGAAGCGGATAGTGGTTGGGGAGTAAGCAGGTCAGAGAGGTAGGGAGGTTCCAGAGATTTGAAGACGAATGAGAGGATCTTGAAATCGATCTGTTTGGTGATGGGGAGCCAGTGGAGCCTGGCGAGGGCTCAGATGATGGGGGAACAGAGTTTAGTGTGTGTGATAGGGAGCCAGTGGAACCTGGTGAGGACTGGGATGATGGGTGTGCAGAGTTTAGTGCCTCAAAGCGCCTTGGGTTTCTGTAAAGTGCATGACTTGTGCATTTGTAGATATATGCCAACTTGCACCCAGCAATGTCCCACAAACTGCCAAGGGATAAATAACCAAATTTACAGTACAGTTGGTTGCTAGCCCACTGAGATAAACTCTGTTTTCTTTTTGAATAGTGTTTAAACTCTCAACTTCTGGCTGTCAGTCTCCTGTCCTTGGAACCCTGACAGTTATGTTGCTGGATGATTTTTTCCCCTGCGCTAATAACTCCATCAGCGCTGGTCACCTACTGTTAGTAGCCAGTGGTATGGCTGTCATTTGAAGCTCCAGAAAATCCGGCTTTTCAAAAACTGCGTGGACAGGTTTCTGAAACGTTATTGTGACGAACGGTTTCATTCCTTGAAAGTGCGCTGATCGCCGAAATAGCATGCTGTTTTTCTTTCGGATGAAAAGAAATGTGCAAATTGACACCAAATAAGAAGCTGCATGGAGTTGATAATAATAATCCTTGCATTTGATACAGCGCTTTATCATATTTTCGGGACGTCCCAAAGCGCTTCACAGAATATACTGCGAATTGGACAAAACGCGGCAGCCAATTGCGCACAGCAGTGTCCCACAAACAGCCGTGGACTGAGCGACCAAATTATTATTGTTATTTTTTTGCCCATTCGCACAATTTGATTGCGTTTGCTGGTGTCTGGCAGTCTACCATCCATTTCCGTATCAAAGCCACGGGCAGATAGACGGGCATGTGAATAACATGAGTTCCACTGTACAGTAAATCTTTGGATCACAGTACCTTTGTTCCACAGTCGAGATCAATTTGAAGGTAGTAAGGGAAAGCAAGATAGTTCTGAAAACAAAAGATTAGTTGTTCAGATCAGACAATAGTAACACTGTGTAATAAATGCAACAACTTATTCAGAAATAAACAAATTATGGTCTCCACTTCCAACACAAGTAATTAACGTTTTAGTAACTAATAACACATCACACTAACCTAGATTAGTTGGAACTTTCATTTTAAAATTTCAAGTCTTTGATGGTTTGGGATTTTCATGTGGTAATAATAATCCTTACATTTGATACAGCATCTTATCATGTCTTTGAGACGAATTGACTGTATATTTTGTGGGTAATAGTTCCTTCTAACTAATTCAAACTTACGCATAGCACTATGGGACTAAAGAAGCGGTGTTCTTTTGTTCACTCGGCAGACTCCGGCCTGCTCGAATCCCCCACCCTGCCCACCGCTTCGGCAGTCAGGCCTTGAACCTTTCTGCCCACGCCCTCTGGAATTCCATCCCACAGTCCCTCCGCCAGCCCCTTGCCTCCTTCCAGGCCCATCTCAAGGCCCTCCTCTCCTACCGGGCCTTTGGCAATCGGGTGAGGAGCGCTGACTGTCCAGCAAACTTGGAAAGGCGCTGCGCAAAAGTATATGTTGTTGTGGCATCGCGCACACTCACTCACTCACGCACTCACCCACTCACTCACGCACTCACGCACTCACTCACTGACTCACTCACTGACTCACTCACTCACTCACTCACCCCATACTTCTGAAGAGGATCGATTTCCTGATCGGTCAAATTCTGAATCAGATCGTGGAGGTCGGCCACCGGCCATTGCTCCTGGATGATGTTCGTCATGACGTTCGCGTCCTGGAAGATCTTGATGTCCACGTTCCACTTGCAATGAACGTCCGCCCCCGCGGGACGGCGCGAGAGCAGCGCCAGGAGCACGAAGCACGGCGCCGAGGGCAGCATCTGGATCCCCTACAGCTGGAAAGGAATTAGCGCTTAACGACCAACAGTAACAGTCCTCCCGTTCGATGCAGCGCCGCATCACGTGGTTGAGACGCCTCAGAGCACTTCACTGGACACAGTGCGAAGTGAATATATTGTTAACCCTTTTAAATGGAACTCAACACACACCCATTTTAAACTTAACCCTTAAACCCCATTGGTACCACTCAAATTCGATGGGAGAACTGGAGCACGTGTGGGGGAGGGAGGGAGCGTCACGTGGGGGAAAGTGGGCGGGGCGAGCGTCACTCGAGGGGAGGGGTCTGGTGCCACGTGGGGAGGGGAGAGCGTCACGTGGGGGAAAGTGGGCGGGGCGAGCGTCACTCGAGGGGTGTGTGCGCGTGTGTGGTGCCACGTGCGATGGGGAGAGCGTCACGTGGGGGAAAGTAGGCGGGGCAAGCGTCACTCGAGGGGAGGGGGGGTGGTGCCACGTGGGGAGCGGAGAGCGTCACGTGGTTAGGGGGGGGTTAGAGCATGTCACGTGGAGGCGGAGTGTCACGTGGGGGGGGGCGGCGCGCGCGCGCTCTGCAGACGTAACGGTCGCTTTTTGACGGTTGGGATCGAAATCGCCGCCAACGCGAACCTCCCACCGCTTTCCCACCGGCGCCGCTCTCTCTCTCTCCCCCCCCCACTACCTTACACACCTTTACACACTCACCCGGCACCTTGCACACTCATGCCACTTACACACGCGAGCACCCCGCGCCTCACACTCACCTCACACTCGCCCCGCGCCTCACACACTCCCTGACGTTCCCTCACCCGCCAGCGCGCGGCGCCCGCCCTCTGTGCCTCGAGACCGGGAGCGCGGCGACCGCCACTGAGCATGCGCCCAGGTCACGTGGCGCCGATAGGGCGGGGCCGGCGGGCGGGGGTCTGACGTCAGGGGGTGAGTGACGTGCCCGGTCAGTGGGAGGTGTGGCCTCGGGCGGAGTGGGGCGGGGCCAGAGATATGGGAGGAGTGAGCTGTGGGGTCAGAGGGGGAATGGGGGGGAGATATGGGGTCAGAGGGGGATGTGGGGGGGGAGTGAGATATGGGGTCAGAGAGGGATGGGGGGGGAGGGGAGTATGGGGTCAGAGGGGGATGGGGGGGGGGGAGTGAGATATGGGGTCAGAGGGGGAATGGGGGGAGATATGGGGTCAGAGGGGATGTGGGGGGGAGTGAGATATGGGGTCGGGGAGATATGGGGTCAGAGGGGGATGTGGGGGGGAGTGAGACATGGGGTCAGAGGGGGATGTGGGGGGGGGGGAGATATGGGGTCAGAGGGGGATGTGGGGGGGGAGTGAGATATGGGGTCAGAGGGGGATGTGGGGGGGGAGTCAGAGGGGGAGGGGGGGGGGAGATATGGGGTCAGAGGGGGATGGGGGGGAGATATGGGGTCAGAGGGGATGTGGGGGGGGAGTGAGATATGGGGTCAGAGGGGGATGTGGGGGGGGGGAAGATATGGGGTCAGAGGGGGATGTGGGGGGGAGATATGGGGTCAGCTGTATAACGGGGGGGGGGGAGGAGGGGGGTACAGTGGGAAACGCCCCATTCCCTGTACGCGATGACGCAGACCCTCACTCGTGCAGTTGTCAAAATTCTCGCCGTGTGCGTAAAAAGATTAGTTTTTCTCGTTCGCTGCAGCGATTTGGGTGCAATTTTGAAAAAGAGCAGCTGCCGGTCACGTGCCTTTTCACCACATCAGAAGCCGTTGTTGTTTCCAGCCGCGCAAACAGCGTTTAATAATAATAACCACAATCCTCGCAGTTGACACAGCGCCTCATCGCGTGGTTGAACGCGTCTCAAAGCGCTTCACAGGATACGCCGCGGAGTGTGGCGACCGCGTGTTGTCGCGGGTGAAACGCGGCGGCCGATTGCTCACAGCAGCGTCCCCGCAAGCAGTCGTGGATCGAGTGAGCAATTTATTACTTATCCTCGCATTTGATATAGCGCTTTTCACGTCGGGAGAGGACGTCCCAAAGCGCTTCACAGAACACACTGTAAAGTGAATTGACTGTATATTTGTGGGCGAACGCGGCGGCCAATTGCGCACAGCAATGTCCCACAAATAGCCGCGGATTGAAAATGACCAATTTAATTATTGTTTTGGGTTTTTTGGAGGGATTATTATTAGGCTCTGTGTGGAGTAAGGAAACTTGCCCGAGGTTTCTCCCTGACCCGCCTCGGAATCGAACCCGGGTCCTCTTGCTTGCGAGGCGCGCTCTCTAACCATTAACGCTATGGGACAAGCGTAGTCTGTGGCTGAAACAACACAGCAGCTGCGTCCCACAAACGCCCGCGGAGCGGAGCGAGCGAGCGACCAGATTATCTTTTGCCGTTAAACCGCTCCTAAAGCGTCAACGGAGAGCAAGACGGGGGGGGGGGGGGGGGGAAAAAAAAGCAAGTCCACTTCGATACCAGTCCAACAACGCGCAAGTCATTTTATTCACGGTCTCCTCCTTCACAAGTTCTTCTTTTAAAAAAAACAAAGTAATAATTTATCTTCACGTCGTTTTTAAGGCTCGATTGGCATAAGGTTGAAACAAGATAGTGAACCACAGCTTCAGATAAAACACCTGCAAACTGGGAAACAACAACGGGAAACCGCAGACGGGCGAGAAAAGCATCTCTTAAAAAAACGCAAACAACAACACCGCTGTTCAAAATAAGTAAAATCAGCAAAATCAACGGAGTTATCGGTTTATTTTTGAAATCACATTTGCCATGCTCCTCACAAGTGCTACTCTAAGGGCAGTTACAAGCAGAATAGGGTTTGCAAGATCCCGTTACTTACTTTACATACACTTAATTACACCGAATAAAGATTCCCTCTCAACGGACGGTGAGAATCGAGGGGCGCGGGGCGGGGCGGGCGGGGCGCGGGGCGGGGGAGAGGGAGCGATAAAATGCGAGAGACGAGGGAGTAAGCCTCCGAAAAGCGTCCTGAACTCAGGGCGAGGAGTACCAATGGCAACGGTCCCGGGAAAGCTTCCATCCCTCCGTACAAAATCCTCGCATCCTCGGGTTGTGTGGGAAATCGCGGCAGTTTATTACAAAAGACTTTCGGGGTGGGTGGGGGTGGGGGTGGGGGGGGAGAGCGGGGGGTTTAAACGGGTAAACGGAGCAAGCATATTTACCGAACAGCCTACAGATAACAAGCCACCAGGTTGAATGCAATAACGGTTTGGGTTTTGTTTAAGAATTTCGTTCCAGTTAAAACACTTAACAGATCTACACATTTATCAGGTAATCACTGGGGGGCGCGTTCCTCGAATACGCCTTCCGTGTACGGAGCAGTACGTTGCCTATTTTGTACTGCGTGATTAAGCCGAGTGCTACGCTTCACAACACTTACGATACAGCGGATGAGTTAGACGGCTGTTAAGAGCCGTAAGGAAATTCTCTTGAAAGACTTACGTCGAAAGGTAAGACATTTTCTGCACAGAAGCGGGCGGGTCAGCTATCGTCTCTCTCTGTGTCGCTGCCTGCGTGTCGCCCCCCGGGTTTATAAAAATCTTTCGCGTCCTCGGTTCGAGAGCTCAAAGTTCCACGATCAGGTCATGATGTATCAGTGGGCGGTATTATTATTAATTATTATTATTAACGATTATTAATAATAATAATCCTCGCATCTGATACAGCACCTCATCACACCTTCGAGACGTCTCAAAGCGCTTCACAGGATACGCTGTAAAGTGAATTGACTGCATTTTGTGGGCGAAGCGTGTACACCTCTAATAGTGGACTTACATTATTTCCCTCTGCACAACACACCACTCTACGTGAAGGGCAGTGACACAGCGATCGTATCGGTAACGTACAAACAGCACCGAAATTTTGGAGCGTTAATAAGAGAGAGAGAGAGAGAGAGAGAGATGGAGGTGGACAGCTTCGAGGTCTCTCTCGCTATCGAGGAACCTCACCTGAACCTCTTTTGGTGGGGGGAAAAAAAGCTTATTTTCAACCCCGCCGCCCCCCCACCCCTCTATCTCAGACATATTCTCATGACAGAATGTCAGTGGGACATAATATAATAATAATAACCCTCACATTGGATACAGCGCCTTCGAGACATCTCAAAGCGGAACGCATAGTAAAGCGTAGTGACTGTATATTTTGTGGGCGAAACGCAGCAGCCAATTGCGCACAGCAGCGTCCCACACACGGCCGTGGATTGATCAACCAAATTATTAATTTGTGGGGGGGTGGGGGAGAGATTATTACCCCCCCCCCAACCACCCACCTCCCCTTATTCAGCTTATAAACTCCCTCTCTTATCTGCGATGGGCTTTGTCAGCCTAACGCATGCGTCACGTGCCCAACGCCCAGGATACACACAACAAAGGTGGGTGTCTTATTCCTGCAATGTGCGTACATACCGCTCCGGCAAAGCAAAGAAAACGTACGCGAAGCCATCTTGGCCACTGTACACCTTTAAACATCTTTAATAAGACAGACACACACCTCCATGATAACACGTATGAAACTTGCCCACGTCAACTGACTGCCGCTTGGCATGATTTACCTTAATAATAATAATAACAATGATAATAATTATTATTATTATTACCTCCTCCTAGATCTGAGAGAAACGTACACCTGCAGGAACATTGTGCTTATTTAGTGAGATGAGTCGTAGCGACTTGACAAAAGAGGGGTCCGGAGCGAGTCCGGTGAAACTCAAGCGAACCGTTCCAAGGCGTCTGGGGAAAACATTCACTGAAACATGGTTGAGATATCTTTACAATGGCTCTCTCTTCCTTGGTGTCCGTGACCCAGCGGGTACGTCAAGCCGGGGGGCATCGACCGACCAACCGACCGAAAAGAGTCTGAATCCGTCGGAAGTTCAAAAAGAAAACAAAAAAACGAAAGCAAATGTTGGCTTCGCGAAGATCGTCACAAAGTCGACAGCAGGACCCCCTCCCCCATTCCCCCCCCACCACCACCACCACCACCCCACCGAGGCCAGGTAGCTCAAAGGACAACTCCGCCAGCATCTCATTGTGTGCGCGCGCGCGCGTTTTTTTTTGCCGATAAAAGAGGACAAGACAAAGTCTGGGAGCCTGTCCTCCGAGATTGGAATGTGTCTCACTGTTAAGTGTCTTCGGCGGTTGGGGGTGAGAGAGAGAGAGAGAGAGAGAGAGTCTGCCCTTGGCCTGGCCTGGCCTGGCCTGGCCTGGCCTGGCCTGACGTAACGTACGGGACCCCTGAGCCTCAGAAACCCTTTATCTGGCAGTAGGTTTCCAGGGCCGAGAAGAGGACGTACAGCAACCAAAGGCTGAACAAGAAGACGCTGGTCAGGATTTTGTAGCACCGCGGCCCGCCAAGCTCTCCGCCTATGTGAGGCCTCCGCCGGTACAGGAGGACGCTGACGCTGATGAAAGCGAAGATGGTGAAGAGGGTGACGGAGAAGGCCAGCGAGCCGGGCTCCACCTTGAACTCCTTGCCCTGCACGGCCCAGTAGACGGCTGCCACCGACCAGGCCACCCCGATGCCCAGGAACACGTTGACAGCGTTGCTGCCCGTCACGTTGCCGATCGAGGCGTCCGCGTACTGGTCGTGCTGAGCCGCCACCTTACTGGCGAAGGTATCTGGGAGGTATCACAACAACGGTGACGGTCATCATCGTCGTCGTAATAGGAATAATAATCCCCGGCGGCCGACCCGGCGGCCGACCGCGCCCCCCGACGGCCCCCACAATCAGCCGTGGGTTGAAGCCATCAATTTATTTATAGATATATATGTTCATTTATTTGTTCGAAGGGATTATTACCCCCCCCCCAGCCCCCCCCGCAGTCACTCACACACGCACTCACACGCACTCACTCGCACACGCACTCACACGCACGCACTCACACACATTCACACACAGCCCCTCTCACATGCACTCACTCATACACGCACTTACACGCACTCACACACATTCACACACACACTCACACGCACTCACTCGCACACGCACGCACTCACACACATTCACACACACACTCACACGCACTCACTCGCACACGCACTCACACGCACTCACACACATTCACACACACTCACATGCACACTTACAAGCACTCACACACATTCACACAGCCCCCCCCCTCACACACACTCGCTCACACACGCGCACACTCACACACTCACTCGCACACGCACTCACACACATTCACACACACTCACACGCACACTTACAAGCACTCACACACATTCATCCCCCCCCCCCGCCCCCTCACACACACTCACTCACACACGCGCACACTCACACACTGATCCTCTGGACGTCTAAATACAGTTAAACACTTGTTACCGATTACAATTAAACCACTGTACTTTTCAACCACAATTACCATCATTCCTCCTTCATTGTTGGTCAATGCCCTGCGTGTGCGTGTGCGTGTGCGGGGGGTGTGGCGGCGGGAAACATGAGGCTGACGGGACCCCCTGTGTGGGGAGGGGGTGGTGAGGTGGGGGGGGGGGGGGGAATGTGCAGCACCTCACAGCAGACGCCACCAGGTGGCAGCAGATCTCTCCGCAATAGGGCTTAACCTTTGAACCAATCTTTGGGTCACTTTCCGCCCAACTCAACGACGGTTCCAATTCCAGAGGCCAACAACAACAACAACAACAACAACAATAAATCAGCCTTCAAACAGCGGGTGGCATTTACACGGCGTTCCCCAGAGAGCTCGACAGTGGCGGGTCTGACCCCAAGCCGGGCGGGGTGGCGGGGGGGGGGGGGGGTAGCGGGAAGGGAGAGGGGGACGGGGTGTGACCGTAAGCACAATCAAAAAGAAGGGTCTTTGTGTGGGATTTGAAGGTGGGGAGGGAGGGGGTGCGGCGGAGGGATCGAGGGGAGAGAGTGACGAGAGTTTCAGGGCGCAGCGACTGGAGCGGAGGGAGCGGGCGGGTGGGTAGAGGGTTAGGAGGCTGCGGAGGTAGGGAGTGGGGGGGTGGGGTGGGGTGGGGAGCGAGGCCATGGGGTGGGGGCTTTGAAGGTGGAGGATCTGGATCTGGAGCTGCATCCTCTGTGCGATGGGGAGACAGCGGAGTCGGGGGCGAGGATGGCGGACGGTGATGGGGTCGCGGAGCCTGGTGCGGTGGGGGGGTGGGGGTGGGGAGGGGGTGGGGGGGGGAGACGGGCCCTGGGAGCTGGAAGGAGCCGGCGAGGCCTCGAGGAGTTGCTCACCCGGGACTGAGGTGCCGAGAGCCACGAAGACCACAGCGGTCACTGTGTCCTTCAGGCCGACGGTGCAGCCGAAGTGCGAGGCCAGGTCCCCGATGAAAGCCGTGAGGATCCCGATCACGAGGATGCAGACGCAGAAGCAGGCCCAGCCATGCCAGTACTCCGTGGGGGGCACCACGGCGAAGAGGACCTTCCAGAACACCGTCAGGAAGTGCATGACGTAGTCGAAGCAAGAGGGCAGCCTCTCCTCGTGGGCCTCGTCCTCATCGTCATCGTTGCCTGGGAGGGAGGAGAGGGAGGGAGGAGAGGGAGAGAGGGAGGAGAGGGAGGGAGTGAGTGGAGGGAGGGAGGGAGGAGAGGGAGGGAGGAGAAAGAGGGAGGGAGTAGAGGGAGGGAGGAGAGGGAGGGAGGGTGGAGAGGGAGGGAGGGAGGGAGAAACAACGACAATAACACGTGACACTTTCACATCGGGAGGACGTTCGCTGGACGGTCGGGGGTCTGGAGCCGAGCTGGGGGGTGGGGGTGGGGGGGTTTGGGATAAGAAAGGGGGCGCGGGGCGGTGGAGGGGAAGGTGGGGTGGGGGGGGGGCGAGGCTCGGTCGGTTGAAGAGGAGGGTTCTTGAAGGAGGCGAAGGAGGGAAGGAGGGAGGGAGGGAGACGAGGGCGGGATCGAGGGAGGGAGGGAGGGAGGGAGGGAGACGAGGGCGGGATCGAGGGAGAGGGTCCCAGATTCGCAGCCCCGTGACGGTGGGCTCCTGACCCGCGACACGGACACTGACGGACGTGGGGGGAAAGGGACCTCACCGGCACTGACGGTGACCGCAGCCGTGAACTGCTCCCACCACGAGTGAGTCCCGATCACCAGCGCCAGGTTGGTCTTCTTCACCAGTTTGTCCACCGTACTCTGCCGATCAGAAACAGGTCACTCCACTCACTCACTCACTCACTCACTCACTCACTCACTCACTCACTGCCCCCACTCACACTCACACTCACACACACACTCACACTCACACACACGCTCATACACTCACACACACTCACTCACTCACTCACTCACTCACTCACTCACTCACTCACTCACTCACTCACTCACTCACTCACTCACTCACTCACTCACTCACTCACTCACTCACTCACTCACTCACTCACTCACTCACTCACTCACTCACTCACTCACTCACTCACTCACTCACTCACTCACTCACTCACTCACTCACTCACTCACTGCCCCCACACACACTCACACACACACTCACACACACACACACACACACTCACACACACACACACACACTCACACTCACACACACACACACACACTCACACACACACACACACACACACACTCACACACACTCACACATAGACTCACACACGCTCACACACACACTCACACACGCTCACACTCACACACACTCACACTCACACACTCACACACACTCACACTCACACACTCACACACACACACGCACACACACACACACTCACACTCACGCTCACACACTCACACACGCTCACACTCACACACGCTCACACTCACACACACACTCACACACACACACTCACACACGCTCACACACACACGCTCACACTCTCACTCGCACACACTCACCCACATACACACGCACTCTCCCCCCCGCACATACTCACAGACACACCCATACTCACACACACACACACTCTCACTCGCACACACTCACCCACATACACACGCACTCGCACACACACACACACACACACACTCACACAACACCCAGACATAATCCTCCCGTTAGACCCGGCGCCTTATTCACGTCGTCGCGAGGTCCTCAAAGCGCCCGGCGGGAAGCACCGCCAAGCGTAGTGACTGTGCGTTCGGTGCTGGTGAATGGGGCCGCGAGAGGGGACGTACCTTGAATTCGTAGGACTCCTCAATGATGACCTCGAGTTTGGAATGCTCTCCCAGAACGGGCTTCCCCATCTCGGCGATGCGGCTCGCATCCTTCGTCAGGTTATTGTCGGCTCCATCTGCTCGGCCGGAAACAGGCAGACGGACACCGTAAGCCACAGCCCGGCCACTCACACCCAACCCGTCTCTCCCCCACCAACGCCCCCCCCGCCCCCCCCCCACCCCTCTCCCCACACGCGAGTCAATCACCACAGCAGTCGGCGGCGGAGAGCTTAACAGGCTTCGACCTGCTCTACTTGTCCCGTCCCGTCCCACCATCGGCAGCCTCTCTGCCCCCAACCCTCTGGAACTCCATCCCACAATCCCTTCACCTCCCTCCCTCCCTCGCTCCCTCCTCCCTCCTTCCCCTCCTCCCTCCCTCGCTCTCTCCTCCCTCCTTCCCCTCCCTCCCTCCCTCGCCTCTTTCAAAACCCGTCTCAAGACCCTTCTCTTCGACCAACAGCGCCTTCGGTCACCCTCTTACCTCCTACCCCCACCCTCCCCGCCCGCCCTCCACCCGCTCCTGATCCCGACCCCCAGCTCGGGTCCAAACCCCTGACTGTCCAGCAAACTTGGGGACGTCCTCCCCGTACGTGAAAGGCTCCGTGTAAACGCCACGTGTTGTAATTGGGAGTTGAGGTACAGATCAGCCACAGTCCAATAAAAATGGCGTCGCCAGAAGTGTCTGTTGGAAGCCAAGTCAGTGACGTCAAACCCGACCCCTTGTGGTTTGAGATTACGCTGAGAGGAATGTATAACTGTGACAACACGTGCGTTTGATAGAGAGCCTTTCGCGCAGGGAAGACATCTTGAAGCACTTCACAAGATATACTGCGAAGGCACTTGTGTGTCGTTCGGGGTCGTTAGGCAATGAATCGGATTTTCCTAAACAATGATCAGACTTCCAACCCGTTGAGCAATGAAAATATTCTCATCAGGAAATAGGAATGGGGGAGTAGACTTTAGAACCAGCAGTTTTAATAATAATAATAATAATAATAATGCTTGGTTCGACCCGGCGCCTCATCACGTCTTCGTGACGTCTCAAAAGCGCTTCACAGGATACCCTGTACAGCGTAGTGACTGTGTGTTTTGCGGGCGAAACGCAGCTGCCACTTGCGCCCAGCGACGTCCCCCACAGACAGTCGTGGATTGAGTGACCAATTTATTATTATTATTATTATTATTGTTTTTTTAGCGGCGTGTTATGATGTACAAACCTTTCGGAGCACTTCACAGCAATTACAGTCAGACCCAGGGACGCGGCAATACACAGACAGTATTTGTGCACAGTAAGACGCAACGCACAGCCGAAAGGTTAATAACCACTTTACAATAACCTTTGCATCTGATACAGCGCCGGAGGCAGACGGAAATCTCGGGACTGCTTTTTGCATGATAATGTGCAAATGTGCATTTCAGCCTCAAGTTACACAGTCACTACGCTTTACAGTGTATCCCGCGGAGCGCTTTGAGACGTCTCAACGACGTGACGAGGCGCCGGGTCAAACGCCGGGATTGCTATTATTATTAAATCCCGTAAGCACCTCTCAAATCACTTCAAAGTTTGTGGCGTGTAGGACTTGGTAGGAGAAGACACCCGTGTCAGGAGAATAATAATAATAATAATAATAATAATAATAATCCCGGCGTTTGACCCGGCGCCTGATCACGTCTTTGAGGCGTCTCAAAGCGCTTCACGGGATATAATGTAAAGTGTAGTGACTGTGTGTTTTGGGGGACAAACGCGGCAGCCAATCGCGCCCAGCGACATCCCCACAAACCCGGGTCCTCTCTCTGGCTTGCGAGTCGAGGGGTCTAACCCCTGAGCTACAGGGGCTGTGGGGTGCGAGGCGAGGGGTCTAACCCCTGAGCTACAGGAGCTGTGGGGTGCGAGGCGAGGGGTCTGACCCCTGAGCTACAGGGGCTGTGGGGTGCGAGGCGAAGAGGGGTCTAACCCCTGAGCTACAGGGGGACTCCTACGCTGAGGGATATATCGAGAGAGTGTGTGGTGGGGGTGGGGGGTGGGGATGGGGGGGGAGGGGGTTGTATAGAGTTTAACATAAAAGAAAAGCGACTTAGGAAAAACAGGTAATGGTCACATTGGACGGCCCCATCCTGTGAGGAAAATAACTATTTCTAACTATAGAAATTTAACGGCGCAGCAGGTGCCCCATTTATCTCATTGGGTGAGATCTCGTTCTCTGACAGAACCGTCTCTCTCTCTCTCTCTCTCTCCTCCTCAGCCTCTCATTTCCAATGTTCCCAAAGTTAAATGTCTAGAAAATAGATTGTTTCTCTCTCTCTCTCTCTCTCTCTCTCTCTCCCTCTCTCTCTCTCCTGGGTCCATACCAACCCTCCCGCTCCCTCCGCTCTGCGGGCTCTGGCCTATTCCACGCTCCCCACCGCCCCCCCCCGCCTCGCCCGCCACACCATTGGAGGTCGGGCCTTCAACCTCTCCGCTCCCACCCTCTGGAACTCCATCCCGCAGTGCCTCCGCCCTCCTCGCCCCCTCCCTCCCTCCCTCCGTCCCTTCCTTCAAGTCCCGTCTCTCTCAAGACCCTCCTCTTCGATCAACAGCGCCCTCGGTCGCCCTCCTACCCCCCCAACCCAACCCTCCCCGCCCTCCTGTTCCAATCCCCAGCTCAGGTCCAAATCTCTGACTGTCCAGAAAACTTGGGACATCCTCCTGACGCGTGAATGTCAGGTGGCGGTGGTGTTGTTGTTGTTGTGTCATACAAGGCTGAGTATGTGGTCTGGTCTGGAGAGCGAGAGAGAGAGAGAGAGAGAGAGGCCGACACAGAGAGGGAGAGATGGAGAGCACAATGGTTCGGAAGGAGTTTGGAGGCAGAGGAGGAGGGGATCAGGTCTATCGCGAGAATAAGGTGAGGGACCAGAATCCTGAACACTGTATCCTCTGTGTGATGGGGCGCCAGTGGAGTCGGGCGAGGGCTGGGGGGGGTGATGGGGTCACGGAGCCTTACGGCGCCTCATCACGTCTTTGAGTCGTCTATTGTTTTGAGGGGATTATTACCCCCGGAAAGTGATCCCCCAATCGCCTGACAAGCGACTGACTGCCGGGGACACGGGCGCGTGTGTGTGTGTCTGTGGTGTGGGGGTGTTGGGGGGGCGCGGAGTAAGGAAACTCGCCTAAGGTTTCCCCCTGACCTGACCCGCCCGGGAATTGAACCCGGGTCCTCTGGCTTGCGAGGCGAGGGGTCTAACCCCTGAGCTACAGGGGCTGTGGGGTGCGAGGCGAGGGGTCTAACCCCTGAGCTACAGGGGCTGTGGGGTGCGGGGCGAGGGGTCTAACCCCTGAGCTACAGGGGCTGTGGGGTGCGAGGGGAGGGGTCTAACCACTGAGCTACAGGGGCTGTGGGGTGCGAGGGGAGGGGTCTAACCCCTGAGCTACAGGGGCTGTGGGGTGCGAGGGGAGGGGTCTAACCCCTGAGCTATAGGGGCTGTGGGGTGCGAGGGGAGGGGTCTAACCCCTGAGCCACAGGGGCTGTGGGGTGCGAGGGGAGGGGTCTAACCCCTGAGCTACAGGGAGAGACTCCACGGTTTAACAGATTAAATAGTCTGAATAATATAAACCGACACCTTACCGTCAACCAGCAAGAGAGCTGCAGAGGGAGAAAAACAGAGGAGAAGTGAGAGTACTCTTGGTCTGACCCCATCGCCCCCCCACACCCTCGCCCGGCTCCACTGGCTCCCCATCCCCCCGAGGATACAGTTCAAAATCCTGTTCCTCACCTTCAAAGCCCCCCATGGCCTCTCTCCCCACTCCCTACCTCTGTGATCTGCTGACCCCCTACCAACCTGCCCTCCCCTTCTGCCTGCTGCACCCCCCCCCGCCCGGCCTGGCCCACCATCATCAGCCTCTCTGCCCCCACCAACCCTCTGGAACTCCATCCCACATTCCCTCCGCCTCGCTCGGCCCCTTCCCTCCCTTCCTCCCTCGCCTCCTTCAAGACCCATCTCAAGACCATCCTCTTCGACCAACTGCACCTTCGGTCACCCTCCGACCCCCTCCTGATCCCAACCCCCAGCTCGGGTCCAAACCCCTGACTGTTCAGCGGACTTGGGGACGTCCTCCCGATGTGAAAGGCAACACATAAATGTCCTGTGTTGATGTTCTGGTCGCAAGACCTTCACTTCGCCCCATCTGATCTCTTCCCTCCACAACAGCCACCCAACTCCCCACCCCCACACCCCCATCACAGCATCCAGCTGCTTCTTAACTGATCTCCTGGCCTCAACCCCCTACTTCCTTGTTAACCTTGTTCCACCTGTTAGTTACCCTCAGGGGTCTGTCCTGGAAATTGCCCCCTTTGCCCCCTTTGCAAGTCTAAGCCCTCATCCTCTTGTTCTACTGTCTCGGTCCGTTCGAGAATATTGTTCTGGGGTTTACTGGTTCAATCCCCTTTAGAATCACGGACGTCTTCTCGCAAGAACAGGCTGCCTAGGGAGACAGTCGCAGACAGACAGACAGACAGACAGACAGACAGACAGACAGACAGACAGACAGACAGACAGACAGACAGACAGACAGACAGACAGACAGACAGACAGACAGACAGACAGACAGACAGACAGACAGACAGACAGACAGACAGACAGACAGACAGACAGACAGACAGACAGACAGACAGACAGACAGACAGACAGAGACGGACGGACGGACGGACGGACGGACAGTGGAAGCAGAAAGTCTGGATTCTTTCCAGAACAGATGAGACAGATTTCTATCAGGAAGTAATGTCTGGGGTGAGGGGCCGACAGTATACAGTTTGTGCACACGAGGTGTCAAGCGATGGAAGGTGAACTGGGTGTGACCTTGGACCTCTTTTCCCAGGAAATTCTTATGTTCTTCAGCCTGAAGAGGTCTTTGCTTGTCTGAGTGTGGCTGATGGCTCGTCCCTCTAACACTGCTGGTCTCTCCTGCTGTCTCACAGGGCTTGGGCGTTCCCTCAACCGACCAACCTCTCCGCTCAGCGGGCTCCGGCCTGCTTCACCTCCCCCACCCCCGCCCCCCGGGCCTCGACAGCCCACCACACCATCGCCGGTCAGGCCTTCAGCCTCTCTGACCCTGCCCTCTGGCACTCCATTCCCGCAGTCCGTCCACCTGGCTCGCCCCCTCCCTCCCTCCTTCCCTCAAGGCCCGTCTCAAGACCCTCCTCTTTGACCAACCGCTCCTTCGGTCACCCTCCTTACCCCCCCACCCTCCCTTTCTCCTCGCCCTCCTGATCCCAACCCGCAGCTCGGGGCCAAACCCCTGACTGTCCAGCGAACGTGTATGTCCTCCCGAGGTGAAAGGCGAGGTGTAAACTGTGCTGCGTGGGTGTTCCAGTGTCGAGCTAGCTGTCCAGGCGGGGTAACTAAAATGCCTTTACATTACAATACTTGTCGGCTGCGTCGAGTTATATTTTGAGGACTTTCACAAACCTGAAATTCCACGTTTCAACCACTTCGGTTTCTCCAGAACGATGTAGAAATTCTCCTGCTTTTCATACTCTTCGTCGTCAACTATATTCACCCGGATATATTTCCTGCAGAGAGAGAGAGAGAGAGAGAATAATAATAATAATAATCCTTAGTAATCCTGGCATTTGCTACAACGCGTTTTCACGTCTTCTCGACGTCCCAAAGCGCTTCACTGGATACGCAGTAAAGTGACTCTGTGAGTTTGTGGGCGAAACGCGGCAGCCAATTGCGCACAGCAGCGTCCCCACAAACAGACTGAAGTGACCAATTTATTATTGTTATTTTTCCTGAGGGATTATTATCTGTGTGTGTGTGTGTGTGTGTGGAAGTCAGGAAAACTTTCCCAAGGTTTCGCCCTGACCTGCCGGGAATCGAACCCAGGTCTCTCGCTTGCGAGGCGGCTCTAACCCCTGAGCTACAGGACTCCACACAAGATCACACAAGAACATTGCTGGCGAAAGAACGCCGAGACCCATCCAATTCGGCCTTGGAGAGGAACAGGAGGTTGGAGATGGGGGCGACAGCTGGAGGGGAGGGTTGGAGTCCAGGGGAGGTTTTGTGAAGATGGGGGTGAGGGCAGCTGTTTTTAGGGGGAGGTGGGGGCAGTGCCGGGGGATAAGGAGAGGTTGATAATGTTGGTTGAAAGTGGGGACCAGGAGGTGGAGCTGGGAGGTGAGGCGAGGGGGAGGGGATGGGGGTCGAGGGAGCAGGTGGTTGGGTAAGTGGTTCCAGGAAACCTTGGCCAGCAACGACACGTGCAACTGGGGAAGTGACACCTTGTGCACTCAGCGTGTGGTGGAAGTGAGACACGTCCTGAGGCTGGTGGAGATGTACATCACCGAAACATCTCCCACACCCCCCCACCACCCACCCCACCCACCCCCACCCCACCCGCCTTCGGGTCACACTGAATACACAATCCTCCGTCCTCTTCGCCTCTCACGTGGTGAACACCGAGAGGCCACCAACCATCCGCTTGTTTACGGTTTACATCAGTCTCACGGATTTATTCCCCGGGGGGCGTTTTCATCACGTCGTCAAGACATCTCACATCACACCACTTCTCGCCAGGCTCCACTGGCTCCCCATCACACGCACTAAACCCCGTCCCCCGCCCCGTTCCCCCCCTCCTCCCCCCCACCCCCTCGTCACCCCAGCCCTCGCCAGACCCCACTAGCGCCCTATCACCCCCACTAAACCCTGTTCCCCCCATCACCCCAGCCCTCACCAGGCCCCACGGGCTCCCTATCACCACTGGATCGGTATCAAGACCCTGCATGATGGGGGGGGGCAAGTCGTAGTATTTTTGGGGTGGGGTGGGGGTGTGGGGAGGTCAGAGGGCTGACCCCCCAAAAATACAGAGAGCAGCTTCAGGAAGCAACCATTACATTGCAAGCTCTCTCTCTCTGTCTCTCTCTCTCTCTGTCTCTCTCTCTCTCTCTGTCTCTGTCTCTCTCTCTCTCTCCAAAGGCAGGAATGGACGTGTAAACAGGTGGTTTGACTGTGGGCTCTGGATATTGAAATCTATTCCGGGCTTTTAAGCAAAGGAAACATTTGTGTAGTAGAGGAAAAAAAATAAAAGAAAAAAAGACATCAATTCTTGCCTCCGCAATTATCTTGACGTCAGTGAAATAATTACACGATGGCAACAACATGTCCGTAACACACACACGAAAAACATCGGTTAACGCAGGAGGACATGTGTATAGATATATCTGTGTGTGTGTATATATATATATATGTATTTATTTATAGGGCGATCAAAAAGTCATGATACCATTACAATGTCTAATCATTCTCAGAAGACTTGACGATATTTTTGTGTGTTCGATATTGGATAATAGGGGCTGTTTTCACGACGTTTTGGTCACCTCGCAATACACTGCGTGACTATATATGTATATATATATATATTCTTGCTTTTGAGACGTCTCAAAGCGCTTCGCAGGATACACCGTCAGGTGTGGTGGTGACTGCGTGTTCCGTGGGCGAAACCCGGCAGCCGATTGCGCCGCCCAGCGACCGAATTATTGTGGAATTTATTTGGAAGAGAATGGGGGGAGAGAGAGAGAGAGAGAGAGAGAGAGCGCGCGCGAGGGGGGGTGGGCAAGGCGGAGGGATTGCGGGAGGGAGTTCCAGGGTTTCGGGGCGTAGCGGCTGAAAGTCCGGCCACGGGGCGGGGGGGGGGGGGGGGAGGGGATGAGGGTCAAGCAGGTGGCCGGAGGCAGTGGATGGAGAGCGGGTTGGAGAGACGGGGGGTATGAAACAATACCCCCCCCTCGCAGCTGACCCAGCGCCTTGTCGCGCCTTCCGGACGCCCCAAAGTGCTTCGCGGACCACACCTTCGAGTGTAGCGACTGCGTATTTCGGGCGAACGCAACACCACCAACGCCAAACCCGGGTAGCAAACCCCTCGGAGCAACTGAGGGTCGAGGGAGAGAGAGAGAGGTGAGGGTGGGGGGGGGGGGTTGGGGGTTGGGGGTAGGACGTAGGTTTGATGCCCGTTTGCGCAAATGTCAAACGACTTAAAGAGGAGGGGATCCATTTTGCGGCAGTGGAGGGAGGGAGAGAGGGAGGAGGGAGGGAGGGAGGGAGAGAGGGAGGGAGGGAGGAGGGAGGGAAGGAGGGAGGAGAGAGGGAGGAGGGAGGAGGGAGAGGAGGGAGGGAGGGAGGGAGGGAGGGAAGGAGGGAGGGAGGGAGGGAGGGAGGGAGGGAGGGAGGGAGAGAGGGAGGGAGGGAGGGAGGGAGGGAAGGAGGGAGGGAGAGAGGGAGGGAGGGAGGGAGGGGGAGAGGGAGGGAGGGAGGAGGGAGGGAGGGAAGGAGGGAGGGAGGGAGGGAGGAGGGAGGGAGGGAGGGAGGGAGGGAGAGAGGGAGGGAGGGAGGGAGGGAGGGAGGAGGGAAGGAGGGAGTCAGTGGGTGGCACAGAGCGAGGAACAAGCATTAAAACAGGACATAGCCCGAACCTCAGCAAATTACTGCTGTCGGCTGTGATTAAGCCGCACGGAAAACACACACCAAATATAGCCGTGTACCTCCCCACCGGAGCTGCGTCTGCGGCTGCTCTCGACTCGGAGAATAGGCTCCTGAAACGGAGGATTTTACACGTCGTTAAGACGTCACTCGGAGAAAATAAGACGAGTTTCTCTCTCTCTCTCCCTCTCCCTCTCTCTCTCTCCCCCTCTCCCTCTCTCTCTGTATCTCTCCCCTAGAGATGGTTTCGCCAGGAGTCTGTGTCGAATGGTTCGCTCCCTCTCTCTCCGCCCCACCACCCCCCCCACCCACCCAACCCACCACCCACCCACGCTCCGCTCACCACCCTCTGGAACTCCGTCCTCCGCCACACAGCACCCCCCCACCCCCCACCCCCCACCCCGCCTCGCCCCGACTGGCAGATCACTTCCCAGAGATAATAATATAATGACAACCCCGGCGCCTGATCGCGCCTTCGAGACGCCTCAAAGCGCTTCACGGGACACGCCGTCGAGTGTAGTGACTGTGTGTTCTGCGGGCGAAGCGCGGCAGCCGATCGCGCCCGGCGACGTCCCCGCAAACAGCCGTGGGTCGAGCGACCGAATTGTTATTATTATTTATTTATTCAAGGGGGTTATTACCCCCAGAAAGTGATCCCCCAATCGACTGACGAGAGGGTTCTTACTGACTGCCGGGAACACAGGCGCGTGGGTGTGTGTGTGTGTGTGGGGGGGGGGGGGGGGGGAGTAGGCGCAGATGGCCGTATTACAGTCACTACACTCGACAGCACGTTCTGTGGGAGACGTCCTTCCGAAATGATCGGGCGCTGTGTCAGGTGTGAGGACAACGATAATTATTCTTCACGTTTCTTGCGACAAATAAATACTTTGCGGGAATAGGTAATAACAATAATCAAACGATAACGATAATAATAATAATAATAATAATAATCCTTGCCTTTAGTGCGGCGCCCGATCACGTCTCAAACGCTTCACGGGTCGCACCGCACAGTGCAGCGAGCGCGGGGGGGGCGCGGGGGGGGGACGCGGGGGGGGCGGGGGGGGGACGCGGGGGGGGGGTAAAGACACGAGGCGCGAGGAGACACAGTTCCGATTCCTCTCTTAATTCAGGGCCAAAGCAGCGACAGGAGGGTTCAAACCGTCCTCACAACCGCACACACACACACACGCACATGCACACACACACACACGCGCACACGCACACGCACACAGGCGCACACACATCAGCAGCAGCAGCTTCCATTCCCTTAAAAGGAACAGAATTACATTGGAACTGCATCAACACTCACAACATTCATTCGGTCCGGAAGCGCTTTACATCATATTCGTGTCGGTTGGGCTTTCCCTCTCTCTCTCTCTCTCTCTCTCTCTCTCCCTGTTTCATGGCTGACAACCCCCCCCCCCCCCACCCCCACCCCCACCCACCGCCCCACACTCCTGAACACCCCCAGGATAACACTCTGCTTGTGGGGGGGGGTGGGGGGTCGATGTCGCTGGTGCTCACTGACCGCTGTGTTATTCTCTCGCCGTCAGACGCCGCGGGTTATCATCCGTGGCTTGGAACCGTTGCGGTTAGGGGGAGACACGGAACCGGACAGCACAGGGACAGGGAGGAGGCCATTCAGCCCATCGAGCCCGCGCCGGCTCTTTGGAAGAGCTGCCAACTAGTCCCCACTCCCCACCGCTCTCACCACAACTATCGTTAATAATAATACCTAAACAATAGTGATAATAATCGTTGCATTTGACCCAACGCCTTCTCAGGATAAAGCGCGTCCCAGGACACACTGTGCAGTGTAGTGACCGTGCGTTCTGTGGGCGAAGCGCGGCAGCCGATCGCGCCCGGCGGCGTCCCCCACAAACAGCCGCGGATTGAAGCGACCGAATCATTTTATTTTACCCTGAGGGCGGCAGACGGTGTGAGAGAGAGAGAGAGAGAGAGGGAGAGAGAGAGAGAGAGAGAGAGAGGGAGAGAGGAAGAGAGGGAGAGAGAGAGATTACAGCTGAAAGCCTTCAAGACAAAACAGCTCAAGGCTGTGTGGGAGTGACATTGTTGTTTGGGAGGACGCGGAGCG